TCTAGAGTCAACAGGCACACAAAAGTCAAATTCACATTAATTCACCTTACTGAAGTCTGAGACTATTGCTGGGGATGTCTGGGGCACTACGACTAAGTTTGTGAAAGTTATATAAGTAGCGTGATCTGATCTGGTGCGTTCCGCCATTGTGGGGACAACTACAACGAGTTGGCTAACCTGAACACTGAACAGGCCGACTGTCGAAACCATGAACAAATACGCTCCGCAACACTCGCGCATCTTCAAGGAAGTCTGTGCTTTTCCTTGCTTTCTGAGGAACCGCCGGTTTTCAAAGTTGCATTGATCATGAGTTTATAGATGATCATCGTAGCAGCCCATCCAATCCATTCACATACACGGCCAAGAACACCGCACGGAGGCAGGCAATCCTCAGCGACTACGCTGATGAGATCGAAGCTCCGTACGCCGCCGCGCATCGGAGCGCGCAAAGCAGCATCGAGCCGCCGCCGAGTGGAGCTTGGAGCTGACAAGCACGTTTGTACGGAGGGTTGTGGAAAATGTGCTATCTGCCAAGGTTAAGGGAGAGCGGGTTAAGGTTGGAGGCGACGTTGACTTGTTCCAAATTGGATGCGATAGGTATTACCTCCAGCTGTCTCTGCTACTAAATGTTCTTTGGTACTGACCACTGCCAGTCTGCAGGCAACGTGGATCCGCAACACCATCCTCCGTGCCCTGCGCGAGTCCGCGTCCGCATCCGTCAATACGCGGAAAATCAACGAAAGCGTTGTGTACCAGCACCCGACCATCAATTCGCTCTCGGCCTTCCTGGTAGAAGCTGCCCGCGGTAATGTGGAAGACGCCGGGGTCATTTCAATCTCCCAGCGGGTGGAATCGATGCGCGGAATGGTGGAGAAGTATATAACAGGGGATGTTCCTACGCGAGAGACGACCTCTGCGAACGGGCGACTCAAAGGCGACGGCACCGTGGTACTTGTCACTGGGACGACCGGTGGACTGGGCAGCCACATCCTGGACGTGCTCATAAAAGACTCTCGGGTGAGGCACGTATTTGCGCTCAATAGGCCAAGCCATGCCAGGGAAGATATTCGGACGCGCCAGAGACGAGGGTTCGTGCAGGCGGGTTTGGACGAGGGCGTGGCGATGGATAAGGTGACGTTGCTGGAAGGCGATCTGGTGGACGACTATCTTGGGTTAAGACTAGATCTATACGACGAGGTATGTGTTGTGCGAGCTAGATATTGCCGTTAGCTGACGGTGAACGAGTAGATGCTTAGGAGCGTGACACATATTATTCACAACGGTAGGTGATTTTGATTACAGGTAGGACAGTGTGTGCTAAATGGAGGCACAGCATGGAGCGTCAACTTCAACCTCGGTCTCGACTCGTTCGAAGACAACATCCAGGCTACACAGAACCTTGTCAGGTTCTCCCTGTCATCGCATCTTCCGGCACCACCGAGATTTATCTTCACGAGCTCAATTGGAGTATTTCAAAGTGCGCTGTTGCGCCACAATCTTGTTTACATCTTCTGATCTCCCTTCAGATGTACGAGATAGACAACCTCTCTGTGAGACACCCATCGAAGCAGAAGTCGCCGCCGGACTCGGGTACACCGAGTCAAAGTGGGTTGCCGAGCGCTTTCTCATGCATATGGCTGGTGCTTTCCCCGGGCTAGACGTCTTGATAGCTCGCGTGGGGCAGCTTTGTGGCACAAGTGGAAATGGAGCGTGGAACGCGAAGGAGTGGTTCCCTGCGCTCGTCCAGGCGTCGCAGGCTATGGGTTGCTTCCCCACACAGGACAAGGTGAGCGTCTTCTGATGAGCGCTTATAACTATATATAGCGTAGACGCTTGTTGGCTGATTGAGCGCTGAACAGCCCGCATCGTGGATACCTGTATCAGCAGCTGCATCCGTCCTTGTGGATCTGACTCTCTCGAGTTCGAAACCCAAGGACAGTATCGTCCATCTTGTTCATCCTCAGCCTGTTATGTTTTCGTCGCTTGCAAGCCGTTTCGCTTCGACGCTCGACGTACCGCTCGTGACGTATGACGCATGGTTATCCAAGCTCGCGGCTCTATCGGATGATGCGAGCAGTATTCCGCGCGTCCAACCGAATGGCGATGGCAACGACTATAGCAGCATTCGCGCGCTTCAGCTGCTCCCGTACTTCCGCGGTCTCGCTTTGAACGCGGACAGTGGCGATTCATTTGGACTTCCGTCGCTGGACTGCTCGCAGTTGAAATTATGTTCGAAGGTTGTTTTGAGCACCGAAATGGAGAGTTTAGGTCAAGCGGACGTCGTGAAGTGGGTCGTATATTGGCGGCAAGTTGGACTGTTGCGTTAGGTTGTGTAGGGATCTTCGGAGTTCAGTCTAACTGATCTGCAGTTTTTATTTCTACCATAGACTCGCTATGTTTTCTTGATACATTGCAAGAGAAATACAGCGTGGAATAACTTGTGGTGAAGGGGTAATAACCTACAATCGTGTGTATCGATTTCCAGGTGTACAGTATTGCGGGCCGGATCGGGAGATCTTATGGCTGTCTAGCGCTTGAGATAAGTACTCGATAAGTGCTGGATTTATCGAACCTACTAACAATGCCACTACTTTCTCTTCTTCATCCCACTTGTTGCCAGAAAGTCAAATGGGCAATGTTCAACCATACATTGTATGAAGTTGCCCATAACCATAGGTGGGTGATCCATTACTTGTGGGTAGATCTGTAGAGTACCGGGCAGTCGATCGGAGGACAGCGCTAGAGAAATTTGAACCATTCGCAGTTCCCGGTCCTAAACTGTCTTCAAGCTTCAGCTTCGTCGGAGCTATTACTGACATGGAGTCGGACATCAACTACTCACTATGAGTTTGAATCGGACTATGAATACGACCAAGAAAGGAATTAAGCCCCTAAGGATTCAGAATCCACTAGTCCCCGCGCTTTAGGATAACCTCCTTAACTCTTAGTATCGGCATGTAGGATCCTGCCCCCACCATTTATCAGCATGTTCCGCCTTTGGTGTTCTAAAATCCCTTCCCTCCGACTCCTTGCAGCCGGAGTCTCCTCGGAGTCTCTGCGTCGTCCTTGCTGCCCACTCTCTTCGCTCAAGCCCCCTTTCACGAGGAATCACATCACCACCGCGACTAGTCGACTACCTTCTCATCGACTCTCCAATATGCTAGACCCGAAGTCTCTCATGAAGGATCTGGAGAGCGAACTCTTCAACTACACCACCGGGCGTTTCCTGTAAGTCTCCTACATCTTGTCTCGTCTTTGTCTAACTCTAACTCGTAATGTGACATACTCCGAGCAGTGCCAACAACGCCCTTCGCCTCCGAGAACGCAGGCGCGTCTTTGACATCCCCGGACTGTTTAAAATTATCACTAAGGCACTGCCCTGCAAGACTGAAGAGATCGTCGACTTTAGAAAGCTTGGAGAGGGTGGCCTCAACTGTACCTTTCTCATCACCTTAGACACCGGCTTCCAGCTCGTCGCTCGCATCCCGTATCCCATCCTAATTCCCAAGGCGTACACTCTCGCCAGTGAAGTCGCTACCATGGACTTCCTTCGTTTCAAAGGGCTCCCCATTCCCAAGGTCTACGCGTATTCATTTACGTCAAAGAACGAGGCCGAGGCGGAATACATTCTAATGGAGTACGCTGAAGGCGTCGACTTGAGCCAGATATGGTTCGACCTCAAGGAAGGTGAAGTTATCTCACTTATGGACCAGCTTGCAAAGGTTGAGTCTACTATGATGTCCATGTCTTTCCCTGCTGGCGGGAGCATCTACTATGCCAGAGACCTGAAGGAGCTTTCTGGGAACGAGGGCATCCCGCTCGAGGATGACAGTGAAGGCATCCCACTCGACGAGCAGATCGAGAGCAAATCACTCGAAAAGGAGCGATTTTGTATGGGCCCTGATGTATCGGTACCGCTGTGGTATGGACGGAGGGAACAACTGGACGTATTCCGAGGACCATGTACGTCGCACTTCTCCTATCTCTTCGGCCTCTTCTTAATCAATCGATGACCATAGATGAAGACGCCAAATCGGTGCTCGTCACGGGAGCTAAGAAAGAGCTCGCCTACCTCGACCAGTTTGGCTCACCAAGGGCACCATATCAACGCTTCCGAAGGGAGTACTATAACTACGAGAAGCAGCCACCGTCGGACCACGCTGATAACCTTCGTCGCTATCTCTGTCTCGCACCGTCGCTCGTGCCAGACGACGACTCCCTCAACACTTTCTGCATCCGCCACCCCGACCTCACCGATAGCAATATCAAGATTTCGATAGATTCCAGCGGGTTGCAGATCCTTAGCGTGTTGGATTGGCAGCACGCTGCTGTCCTACCCCTCTTCCTCCACGCCGGTATGCCCGACGTCATCCAGAATGAAGAGGATGAGGTCTCTCGAGGGATGACCGAGCCTAAGCTACCGGACGACTTCGACAAGCTACCGGAAGAAGAGCAAGAATGGGAGATGGAGCTCCTTCGTCGTCGTCTTGTTCACTACCATTACAACCTGAGCACAGCCGCGTACAACAGGATCCACCACAAGGGTCTGGTCTATCCGTTGAATACCTTCCGTCGCCGCATCTTCAATCATGCAACTGCTGTGTGGGAGGGTGAGACGATCAAGTTGCTGTATGCGCTGATGGATATGGTGTTTGGCTGGGCGAGTTTCGCGAATGACGGCACACCATGTCCGGTGGTGTTCACAGAGGACGAGAAAGCTGCGGCGGTTCAGCTGTATGAGGCACTGGGGAACGCAGAAATGGGTGAGAGGATGCTGATGGACGGGGTCGGCTACGGGGAGGAGACCTGGGTGCCCGCCGCTCACTACGAGAAAGCCAAAGCGTTCGGTCAGGAGATGAAGCAGATGACATTGAAGGCATGTGCGGAGGACGAAGAGACGACGGAGGAGACGTACGCTGTGATCGAGACGAACTGGCCCTTGGACGATATGGACGAAGAGGAGTTAGAAGAGTACAAGTAAGGAATTACTATTGCTTCACTCTTTGCGTCGGCCGATCCTCTGCGACGAGCACAAGAATATACGCAAAACTCGACACAGACTAGTCTTCACGCTCCTCCTTGACAATGATGATAGCAATGGTGAGGGCGATAACAAACGAGGATACCTCGCTGGGATGGTGCAACTTGTGGAGGTTGTGCATTGAGTATCCGAGTGGACTTCGCGGTACGAACTTATTATCTGCAGCTTGTCCCGGGCATGGCTCTCTTGCTCCCCTAGTGCCTCTTTTCCCGCGACATATCAGACCTTTTCCCACTCAGCAGCCGTGACTGTCCAAAACTATCCCGGATACATCCAGAACTTTATTTACGAAAATACCTAATCTGAATGGGATCTCCATTGTCCAGAGCCGTGGGCGCTCCGCGACTTGGTACGGACATGTTTATGACATACACGTCTTCGGCAAAATTGCGTGTCAAAGGCCGATCGCGGTGTTGCCGCACAGTCCGCGTTCCTGTGTCTACCTGGGCACTTCCACTTCTTCATTCGATTAGGCGCTTGAACTGGCCAACTCCCTGGTTCGAACCCCTTACTTACCAGGCAGCTGGTTGGGTCGACCGTGAGGGTTTCCTGTGGTGTCCGTCCTACAGTTCCTCACAAGCACTCGCTCTGAGGAAGTCTTATGCCTATTTCAACTGTGGTCCACAATGTGTTTGTTCGTCCACTCCATCGTTTGCGACCTATAAAGCATGGGCCTGTCAGCTACCATGCTTTCTACTAGAGAACATTTTCTCGAACTTCATCATGCCTCCTCAGTGTCGCAGGGTACGATACCTTACTTCTACGTCTGTGGGTTTACATAGCTCATCATATACCAGGACAAATGCCACTGCTGCACCACTTGTCTTAGGCGTTTTACCAGCGCCAGGGACGCCCGTGTACATATCAACCGCCTTCAGTTTGTCACCCCTCAGACTTTGTCGACGTTAGTGGCCAACTGACGCGTATAAATTTCTCCTCCAGCCTTCACATCAACAACTTCAGATGTCTACTTTGCGGGAAGCAAGGGCCTGACCCCAGCGCTATCCGAAGACACTGCCACAACGCTCACAATATATCCAGTGCCGAAATAGCAGTGCATTACGAAGAATTCTATAGTGAGCTTCCATCTAGCTTTTTTGAATGCCGTCCCCACTCAGCTTCATGACTTTTGCAGGGAGTGAGGCATGGAAGGCCCATTACCAGCACCTTCGAGCTGACAACTGCATTGCCGATACCTCATCTGTTGGAGGCCCAACGGTACGGGCAGGCAGGCCGCTTGTGTCCCCGGTATCCCCGAACTTCAACGCCCTGTCTCTATCTGCTCGCACTCAAGACTCAACAATCAGTGGCGGCATTTCGTCAGCCAATACTCAGTATCCAAGCCATCTTGTTGTGAGAAATACACACAATGTCATACCATTGTGCGAAGGCGGTGTCTATCAAGCGACCTCCTCTCAAGATCCAACTCTCCATGGGTATCATGCTAGTCCTACATACAGGGTGCGTCCTTTTATCCGCAGCGTTAATTACAAGGTATGAGCTCATGTGGTGAGATTCTCAAGACCTCCTCGGAGATGTGGAATACGGGCGAGTTCGCGATGCCGTCCTAGTGACTTCGAACTAAGTGTTAAGGTGAGGCCAGGCTGATGACGGACCTTATGTACACTACCGACCACAATAGACTCCGGCGCTACACATGTATGGATCCGAATGCTGCACACGGAATGTTTCTACGATACCGTCAGATCGTTCGCGCTCGGGTCAATAATCCTTATCATCTGTGCTATAATCATTTCTTCTCAGTATGTTGTTTCCCGTACGTGTACTAAAATACTTACTTTTGAATGAATATTGGCTTGGATGTGTAATATTAAACAACTGTTCCGGTAGCAAGTAGCAGACAACGCACAGTCAGTGATACAGCAATACGTCACGCGAAGCTGATGGCTAAATTGCGGATCGGTAGTTGCCGCAGGTGACAAGCGCTCTATTAAGCGCCGGACTGTCATTTTCATCTCCTCTTCCTATTCATATAGATCACAGGATCCAGAGCCCGCATACTCGCAGACAAATGGAGAGAAAGTCCACTTTCAATGGTCGTCCGCGTGTGGGCACATTATTGTGGCGATGTGGTCAGCGGATAGCGCGTAGAAGTGGCATGTAATGACCAATGCAGATCTACCCCGAAGTTTCAGTGAAAAATGTCGGTATGTCCCTAATCGTCTCGAAAGCTTGATAAATTGGTGGGTTGCGCATTAAAATGTGTCCTGCAGTGCATAATCGCTAGCAGCTGCCCACCTCGTAGTGTTCCGAGTCCGCGGTGTGGACAATATTGCGGCGGACACATTGCTTGGACTTCATGGACTTCGTCCGCCATCTTCTGCCAATGTATGTCCGCGCGCCTTCATGACTCTCATGTCTGCACTCGTCCGCCTATACACTGGATGTTAAAAGGATCAGAGTCCTGGTCCTGGTCCCTCCAACTCGATATCCCATCAAACTCAGTATGTCTTCCATTCAAGCTCCCAAACGCTACGTTTGTCCTATGGATGACTGTCGCTTTGAAGCTGGACAGAAAACGGCACTGGATATCCATTACAACGCGAGGCAGTGAGTCCGCACCGCTCCCCTACAGCGCACATTAATGCTGACTTGACGTTTTCCTTTATTTGTTGACTTGATATCTAAAGCACTGGCCTCAAACCATACGAATGCCCAGACTGCGACCACTGCGCTGCGGATCCGTCTGCGCTCACAAAGCACAGGAAACGAGCGCATGATTACATACCCATGCGTCGAGGACCTCTACCGAAGGGGTCTGCATTCAAAAGACGATGCAACACATGCGAGAACACGTTCATGACCAACCAGGAGGATGCCAACATGTGTGAAGACTGCTACCGTGTCATCTTCGACGGTGTGTGTCTGATCGGGCTGTAGGACATGGAAATTGAATGACTCATGAGAATATCGCAGAAATGAATACTCTATCCCAAAATCAACCAAGGTCTTGATAAAACCAAAGGCCAAACGTGCTTGTCTTGTGTATGCAATGTATTCTAGTGTACACGAAGAATATAAGCTAAAATTCAATTGAGAGGCAATGTTTAATATGTCAGTTAGAGCGGAGGAACAGTGGGGATTTAAGCGCACATGCTGACACATTTTTTGGCGCTGGCGTCTTTCCCTTCTAAAGGGAGTGAAACTGGTGAAGGAAGACAGTGTGGGGCCGCGTCGGCAGAAGCCGGCGGGGATTGGAATGGTTGCATCGCTGACTCCATGCATGAACTGTCCCGCGGTCACAGGTGTATTTTAGTCGACGGAGAACATCATCTCACATCATGCTTGAATCTTTCTCTTTACTTCTCCAACTTGCAATTCAATATTCAATCACGTTTCCTTGCTCACGGAATGCCATCTCCCCCAAATTACATGGTTCTTGTTATCTGTTTTGCGTACGAACGCCTGGAGTATGGAATTGTAAGCTCTCACATTTCACACCATCATTCCCAGCAGCGGGCGTGAACTTGGTCTACTTGAGTACGGAGGAGTATGTACTTGGGAAGTGAAAGTAGACTTGAATGTTTGAACGTTCGCATTGAGCAGGTGCCAGTCATGCGCGCCCACGCAATGCCGCCCTACGCCCTAGTCTGGACGAGTGCAACGTCAGCACAATAACGTCTTTGGTCAACATCATCGGTTTTGGTCCGCGCTGACATCCAAAACAAAGGGTACGCATTTCCGTCCACAGCATCGTCAGACCCGAGCTCATCGATGCATTCATCAATAGCAACGGGACTCTCGACATAGTGGCAGATCTCGACCGGGATGCCCGATAGTAACCGTCGAGCGCTTGCGGGAGCTTCAATTGGAACTTCTATTCGGGCATCGGATGTCGTAATGCCTTACCTCCGAAGCCGACGTCGGTTGAACAAGTTCTTGGCAGGCCTGGTGCTAAGTCTCGAGTTTGACTTCAAGCTTGAACATTGGGCGTTTAATGTATGACCCCATACGAGGCTAACGCTTTACGTGGCCTGTCGATGACACCAGGTGAGCAAGATGATCATGGTTTACTCTTTGCTAAAGTACATGAAACCGAGTAAACTGTATCCGGCATTCTTTGAGGGTAATGAACCCGGATCAAGCTTGACAAGGCAGGGCCGAAAGCAGGGCCGGGGTCAGCAGCTAATAACATGTTCCAAGCCTCAAAATCCGACAAGAGTGCATCACCAGCAATGCCAAACGTGCTTTATCAAGACACTATTTAGCTTATCGGTATGTTGTTGAAATCTTCTTCTGTAGTTCTAACAAAGCGTCCTTTGAAGCCTCCCAAAGCAGCGAGTGACACGTTCTTTGTGCCGTCTTAACAATTCTTGCGTGTACGTAACTGCTAGGCGACAATTCCTCTCCGTTCCGTCGAGGACAGTATCAACATATCCCTGCGCCCCGATGCTCGCCTCCTGTGATCGTATGTCATTGATTAGCTGCCTTAATATATAGTTTAACACTCGTTAGACGTTTTCCTCCCCGCGTTTATCGTGTACGCGGCGTCTGCACGTTCACTAGCTGCCTGTCATTGTCGCCCTTCTTCCCATCCGCCATTGAGTCCAGAGACCCGACTTCCGACAACACTACGTGATCCTCTCCTTGGAGATACATAAACCTCGCCTCGCGTTCAATTTTCAGTCGGATCTCTTCCTCCCAACGCTCCCCCTTGCTTTTCGCTCTGTTCGAGGTCGACCTCTTGTCCGCTCTCGGGTAGCACGCTTATTTACGTCCGACATGGCCAGTCCTGCTGAAGCAGCGTGGGTCATTCTTTACTGCTTGACACGAGTAAAAGCTCACTCCGGTCCTCTAGACAAGGGCCGATCCTCATCGGCATATTCATCAATCTCATCCTCTATGGTATTCGATGTGCACAAGCGTTCATCTACTGGAGCACCTTCAAGAAGTGAGTGGTCCCGGCTTTTGGACGGTGCGCGCGGATTTATGGAAGCAACGCAGGGACCGGATTTCTATGCAGCTTTTTGTGAGTGGCCCAACATGCCTATCCCTTCCTTCGCACTCACGGCATTTGTAGGTTGGGCTACTCCTCATCGCGGATACAGTCAAAGTGGTCTTTGACATGATATACATATACGACGGCCTCGTCGTTCACTTCGGTGAGTCAGTTGCCTTCAACTAAATACACTGCTGACGTTGTCTCAGGTGACGATAGTTACATAGCTGTGGCAAACTGGCGTACGTTATTCTCCGTCATCCAATGCATGGCTTACCAACTTCGTCTCTAGTATTTAACACGGATCCCGCACTGAACGTAAGTTGGTCTCACATGACATGACTTCGGCAGGCATGATGACATTCGATAGGGCATCATCGGTGCCATTGTTCAAGCGTTCTTCGCGTGGCGGGTCAGGCAACTCACACGTAACAACTGGGCATTTGGTGCCATCGTTTTCTTCCTCATGATGGAAGGATGTAAGCACGTTCTTCAGTTATCACACTACTAGCTGACGGCCCCTCCTGGCAGTGTGCGGTATCGGAACGGCGATCGCCTGTCAGATTATCCCTGAGTTCCAGAACTTCCAGAGGTTTGAAGTTATCGTCATTCTCTGGCTGGCTAGTGCCGCCCTATGCGACTGCATTGTTACTGCTTCTTTAGTGTACCATCTGGTGAGCACGACACAGTTCTCCCTCCACTGATATCCTTTGGACTCAATTCACTTTTTGTAGCAAACTCAAAGACAGGGCTTCAGTAACTCGGACTCGGTCATCGACAAGATCATTGCCCGTTAGTCCAAGCACACTACTGATGAAGCTAAGCGCTGATATCATGTCTAGTCACGGTACAGACTGGTATGATAACGGCAGTCTGGGCCACAATAGATTTGGTTCTCTTCCTTACGAATGTAAGCGTTCATCTTTCCTGCGTCCCTCGGTCGAGTGCTAATCTGCTACGGTAGAGGAATGGATAGTAAGCGCTCTCTTTTCTCCTTTCGGGCTACGTCTGACATAAACGCTAGCCACTTGATCTTCAACTACAACCTGTGCAACCTCTACTCGAACTGCCTCATGTCTACACTCAACGCTCGCACATACTTCCGGGAGGCAGTCGAAAGCGGAAGACCGTCTATGAGTGGTCATACTAGGAACAAGTCCTCGGTATGTCGACTCTGACTCCGTCGTTCTTGGGTGTATACTCACTAACACGCGCCAGATTTCCAACGTCAAAGACCTCATGAGTCGCCCGAGCTACGGCCAGAGACCTTCCCGCGTAATTCAATCCATAATTTCTGTTTTTGTTACGGTAGCTTACGGCCCACTTTATAGATTCTGGTAGAGGTCGAATCCCAGCGCATGGTTGAGACCGCGAAAGTGCCCAGACTGGACAATGACATAGGAATGGACACTGCGACCAGCGACAAAGCCTCAAGCTGGGTTGAGCAACCGTCGCCCATCAGTCCTACCGAGCGTGTTCTTAAAGAGCACTGGGCGGGGAGGCGAACTTCCTTTATAGAGCCATAAGTGCCCGCGTACCGTGCTCCCAGGGTTTCCTTCGAAACATGTTCCGTTACGCCGTTTTACGCCAATGACGTTTTCCAATAGTTAGACTCTTTTTAGTACTTGTACATGCTACTTTGCACTCATAATCTATCAACAAATGCTATCCTGGTTTCTTGGAAAAGACATTCAGCGACACGACAAACTTTATGCATTATGCATCACACAGGGCACGGCTCATTAGCGTAGATAATGGTGGCGTAGAATGTCCGTCCTTTGTTATCTCAATCACCTACGTATTAAAGGTCATGAAAGCAGAAATACAGCTCACGACACGTCTGATATCAACTGATACTATTACAAATACCAAGAAACTGTCCGATTAATTATGTGGCTGCTTTAGCACGTATATCCGTCAACTACATAGCTATTCGTCGCAGTGAAACAGGAATAAAGTAGACCTTATCAAGTGACCTTAGTAGTACTCCTGAAACCTATGCCAATGGCAGCTAGAGAAGTAAGGGCTGACGCAGAGACACTGTACAATGCACAGGCTGACTTAGCCTCTTTCTTTCTTTGTTGATTCAACATCTAAAGCACCGGCCTCAAACCATACGAATGCCCAGACTGTGACCACTGTGCTGCGGATCCATCGGCGGTCACAAAGCACAACAAGCGCACACATGGTTACAAACCCATGCGTCGAGGACCTCTACCGAACGGTTCTGCATTAAAAGGGCAATGCAACACATGCGAGAAAATGTTCATGGCCGAGCAGGAGGATGACAACATGTGCGAAGACTGCTTTCAAGTTATCTATGATGGTATGTACCCTGATCACGTTATAGGACATGCAAAGGAGATGACTGATGAGGAATATAGACGTTTATGTTGCCTCTCAGATTTCGTGAAGACCTTGATAAAGCCAAAAGCCAGGTTCTCTGGCCCCCCTATCTGTTCATCCAATGTGTTCTATTAATGTCTACGAAAAATGACCTAGCGGTCAATTCAAGCTTCGTTTGGGAGGGAGCTTGAGGCAAGGATGGTCAATGTGTTGTATATGTATGCGTGTTGAAACGTTGAAGGGGTATTGACGAAAATTATTAGAACACATTCGCTGTGGCGGCAGCTTAGCGAACGTTGGAATACGAGAAGCTGTGTGATAGGCCGAGCCGGCAAAAGCCGGCGGTGATTGGAATGGTGGCGCCTGCAACGTCAGGTACAGGCGCAGGCCATTCTCGGTCGATGGCGAGCATCATCGATTCATCTCTCACTACTCGAGTCTATGTCGTTGTATTCTCCGACTAATATCTAAAGCTAACCCGTCGTTCGTGAAGAACTGCGATCTACTCCTGCAAATACCTAGCCTCTGGTCTCTATTTTGCATGCATGATGCGACACACAGCTTGAAACTATAAGCTTTCAGATTCAATCAGCCTGGGTTCACGGCGGTGAGCGTGAAGTCTAACCTCCATCTGAATACGGACCAGTGAGTATTCTGGTACTCGATACAGACCCCAGCACTCACATTGAACGGGCAGCAGATGTGCTCTCATGCGACGCCGTTCTAATGCCCCAAATCAGCTGGAACCTTGACGAACGTGCTGCCAGTGCCCAATGAACATCCTTGGCTCATACCGCCGAAGTTCGTCCGCCAGACGTCCCACAAGATAAATAGGGGGCGATTTCTGCCGACACCAACGTCAGAGTCGAGCTCATCGATACGCTGACCGACGACAGAATTAGTCGGGATTCGGAACCCAACCGGGATGCCCGCTTGGCGCCGGGGCTCACAGAAGCATTCAATTGGCACTTCTGTTCGGGCGTCGGATGTCGTAATAATTTGTCTTTCCCAAGTCGACATCGGCTACAAACGATATCAACGCTTCCTTGGCAAGGCCCGGTACCCGAATCCTGGCCCATGAACGTTGAACGGCGAACGCTACGCTTCGCTCATCATCAACGCGAATCAGGATTCGAAGACAAAGTCACCCATCGAATTTCTATGCTATCTTGTATGAAATAGAGCAAACCCCTCGGACGGATTCTTTTGGAAACCGAGTGCAAATTGCCAGGCCACCAGGGCAGCAGGATCAGAATAGCGACGCAGTAGGTAGTTATTTTATGTCCCAAGACTCACAAATTCTAACAGGAACGCGTCACTAGTAATGCTGAGCATGCTCCTTGAACATGCTATGACTCAATATTACTGTAGGTTGTAGACGTCTTCACTTTGGTACAGCAGACATGGTATCACCTCAAGCCTTCAAACCATCCCAACACTCTCGAACTTGGTGCAGTTCTGACAACTGTTGTGTATAGGTAAGTAATAAGCGATATTTTCTCTCCGTTCCACCGAAGGTAGTGGTATCGACATATGCATCCGGATCCCTGCGGGTCGATGCTCGCCTCCCTGGATCGTCCCCTACCTCCGGCTCCAAGTTTAGCTGAGTACTTATTAGGCTCTCTGCACCCCGCGTTTATCATGTACGCGGCATCTACACGTTAACTAACCGCCTGTCAATGTGGCCCTTCTTCTTCTTCGCCATTCAGTCCCGAGTCCAGATTTCCAACGGCAGGGCGTTACGGTACGCGAAACCTTCGCCCAGCGATACATAAACATCTCCTTGTGTTCATTTTTCAGGCGGATCTTGCTCCCCCGACATTTCCCTCCTGCGCCTCGCCCCACTCGAGGCTGACTCCTTGCTCGCTCCCTAGCATCACGTTGATCCACGTCCGGTATGGCTAATCCTGCTGAAGCAGCGTAAGTCATTCTTTCCCATGCCACACGAGTAGAACTCAACATCCTTCTGTAGACAAGGTCCGATCCTCATAGGGATCTTCATCAACCTTATTCTCTACGGCGTTCGATGTGCGCAAGCGTTCATCTATTGGACGACCTTCAAGAAGTGAGTGGTCCTGGCGTTGTGTTTGACATATCGGGACTGATTGGAGCAACATAGGGACCGGATGTCCATGCAGCTTTTCGTGAGTGGCCTTACATGTACACCCCATTCTGCGTACTGACGGCATTGTAGGTCGGGTTGCTCCTTGTCGCGGACACGGTCAAGGTGGTCTTTGACATGATTTACATTTACGACGGCCTCGTCATACACTTCGGTGAGCCTTACCATTTCAAGCAGTCACTGAATACCACCACTGACGTCAACTCAGGAGATGATAGTTACATAGCCGTGGCAAACTGGTGTACGTTGTTCCTCACCGCTCTGAACGTGTACCTTTACTGACACCGACTCCAGTGTTCAACACTGACCCCGCATTGAACGTAAGTTGATTGGAAATACTTGGCCGAAATTTATCACTAATTAAGCTGTCTTGATAGGGAATAATCGGTGCTATGGTCCAAGCGTTCTTTGCATGGAGGGTCAAGCAACTCACGCGTAATAACTGGGCATTCGGTGCCATTGTCTTCTTCCTCATTACCGAAGGATGTAAGTATCGATTTCACATACCATACGCGTTAGCTAACGCTCCCCTCCACCGGCAGTGTGTGGAGTTGGAACCGCCATCGCGTGTCAGATCGTTCCTAACTTCCGGGACTTCCAGAGGTTTGAAGCCATCGTCATCCTTTGGCTAGCTAGTGCGACGATTTGCGATTGCATCGTCGCTGCTTCTTTGGTGTACCATCTGGTGAGCACGATGATGTCCTCGTTGTACCGATGTCCTTCGGACTGACCGCACATGCGTAGCAAACCCAAAGGCAAGGCTTCAGTGGCTCAGACTCGATCATCGACAAGATCATTACCCGTTAGCCATAGCATACTATCCAAATAAACATGAGCGCTAACATGATGTCTAGTTACGGTGCAGACTGGCATGATAACAGCGATTTGGGCCACGATAGACCTTGTTCTCTTCCTTACGAATGTAAGTGTTCCCCCTACCTGCATATCTCTTTTACATGCTAACCTGTTTCGGTAGAGAGATGGATAGTAAGGGTTTTGTCCTCTCCTTTCGAACTTCGCATAACGTAAATACTAGCCATTTGATCTTCAACTATAACCTGTGCAACCTCTACTCGAACTGCCTCATGTCTACGCTCAACGCTCGTACGTACTTCCGGGATGCAATTGAAAGCGGGAGGCCATCCATGAGTGCTCACACTCGGAAGTCCTCGGTATGTCAACACTGACTCGATCCTTCCGAAGCGTATCCTCATATCACGCGTCAGATGGCCAACGTCAAAGACCTAATGGGTCGACCTAGCTACAACCCGAGACGTTCCCGCGTAAGCCAACGCATATCCTCTGTGTTTGCTGAAATTGATCACTTCTCACTTGATAGATTCTGGTAGAAGTCGAATCTCAGCGGGTGGTTGAGACCGCAAAAGCGGGCACGATGGACTACGAGATAGGAGTAGATACCACGAGCAGCGACAAGACTCAAAGTTTGATTGAGCCACCGTCACCCGCCAGTCCTACCGAGCGTGCTTACAAAGAGCGCTGGGCGGGGAAGCGAACTTCTTTCTTGGAAACATGAGCGCCAGCCATGCCGTACTGCCAGGTTTTCCTTTACCTCACGTTTCCGTTATGATGTTTCACGCCAATGATGTTTTGCCGATACTTAGACTCACTTTAATCTCTGTACATACTACTGTTCACTCATGATCTTTCAACAAATGCTATCTTGGTTTCTTGGCAAAGACGTCCAGCGAGACAACAAACACGACCGGCCAAATTCAGTCCATCGCACAGGGTGCTGGTGTTGATGCAATGCACTTCTCATTAATGTGGAGCATGGTGGGACCAAGGCAGAGAATCTCCATCCCAACGACGATCAGGAGGGCTTTGGCTCGAGTAACGGCAACTGTTGTAGGCTTATTATCCCAGAATGCTACGCGTCAAAGGTCATGAAAGCAGAAGAATAACGTATGACACACCGACAGTCCTACCATCGGTCTGCAGACTGTCGTGTTTACCTTTCAGGTGGCAATTGTACTCACAAGTTCTAATGAATCAAATATCCTGTTTCTGACGTTAACACCAATGCTGACCAACTGTCCAGGTAAATAAGTAGCTACTTTAGCGCGTGACCGTCAATTACATATGTCTTCGTAGGATTTAAACAGGCATAAAGTAGAAGGTATCAAGTGTGCTTAGTAATCTTCTCGAAACCTACACCAATGGCAGCCAAAGAAGCAAGAGCTGATGCGGGAACACCAATCAAGAAGACATGGTTGGTCGCTGTTACGTATGCCGCAACTGCACCAGCTTGCTCCTTGGCCGATAGCGTAAATACCAGCTCGAAGTTGGACGCTATTCCGTCAATAAGGTCCTGAGATGCTCCCGGAAACAATACAGAAAGCTCATGCCGTAGCTGACTGGTGAATACGGCTCCGGCGGCGCTATATCAAGGAGAAAGGTCATTAATGGTTACGTCACAAATAGGGATTTAGCAGTGCGTACGCAAGGCCAACGGTACATCCCATGAGCTGAGAGAATGAGACAAGTGAGGTCACAATCGAGATGAGCTTTGCGTCGTGGGAAACCCGTCCCTGGGCGATTACCATCTATAAAAATGCATGAGTTACTTGATAAAAGATAAAGGAAAGGTTCCCATCCACCGGAAGCTGAATGGACCCAGCTATTCCAACGCCTACAAGGATCTGATAGCCAATGATGCGATGAAGATCAGTTTGAGCTTGTGCCGTATAGAGTAATCCAAATCCAGCTGAAGCAATCATGGGACAAAGTAGAACAAAAGGCCAAGCATATCCCGTTTTCTGACATTCAGACTGTAAGAAAAGACCTTGACATGATGTGACGCTCCTACCGTAACCACTGCTCCCGTTACAACGGCGGCTGTAAGTTTGGCCAGAAGTCAATAAGCGCTATCTTACTATCTCAGAGCTACATGGACGGACAAACGACTCCAGCACTGGTCCCATGTCAGATTATGAAATAAAGCCATGTACCCGAGCGAACTCACATTATAAAGGGAAGAATGTCTACACCTGACTTCACGGCCGAGTGGCCTTTGCTTTGATAAAATATGGGCTACCAGCGGGTTCAAGTTGTCTATTGGCCCTCCTTCTCGCTTCACAAAGTTTGACAACTTACCAGGTAATACTACCTCGTTTCATGAGATACATTTCGACAAAAGTTAGCAGACATACTCACCGAGACCAGAACAAAACTGAGTCCGCCAAAGAACTGATGTAGGTTAAGCATTTTAGCTATATGTGGAAGCTTCAGAGTCTCACCGTAGCTACGCAAACACAGAAAATGTTTCGCTGGAAGAAAACGCTTGTTGGCAGCATGGCTCCGTCCTCTTGATGGTGTTCCCATAATAGAAACGCAACGGTAAACACGCCTGACTGGACTGAAAGTTGAAACTAGACCTTATTGAGATCACAATGAGACATTACCAGCGTTAGCAGAGCTATGACGATTGGAGAGCTCCATGGCTTGACAACGCCACCCCATTGCAAAGGTATAAGAAAGAATGTCACCATAGCAAAACTGAGTATAGTTCCGATCCAGTCTAAACTATACCAGGTATTGAGAGCCATTTTCCCATCCTCATCTGGCGCAAGCTTCGGGAGAAACACGGCAATTGAAGCGACACATACGCCACCAAACTTGCCAACAATGAGATATCAAACCTTTTGCGAGAATCGAAGTAACATACCGGCAAGTTGATGTCTGATGTACAGAGGACACGTTAGACTGTATTCGAGCAATTGTTCTGGTTTCAACATACAAAAACACCACCTAGGTTCAATCAGCGTCGAGATGCGTAGAGACAATATATCACATACCTCCATGAAGCATGGTCTGTATTTCCACGAATAGTGAGGATCATAATCATTGTGGCAGTGTGGGATAGACTTGCCTGCGAACACCCCGCCTAGTAAAGGTCCCACAACCGCGCAGGCTGCCCACAATGCGCCAAAGGAAGACATCAGTAGAGGTCTTTGTGATAGCGCAGTAACCTTGTGGCGTTTGCGGTGTGATTAATGAGGATACAAACATCGTTTACGGAGGTAATAGAGAAGCTCACCCGTCCGACACTGGACATAATACACACCAGCAAGCCGGACGCCCCTAGTCCCGCAAAAGCTCTTCCGAAGATGAGGAAGTTGACAGAAGGGGCGATGGCGCAGAACAAACTGCCAAGTTCGAAGAGAGAAATTGTCACCAGGAAAACGTATTTGGCGGGCGCAACCGTCAAAATGCGTCCAAAGAACAACATGAAAGCCGCCTATAGTTCAGAGCAGTGAATACAGCGCCTATAATATTCTCAAGTACAATGGCAGTTACCTGAGGGAGGAAATACGCGCTTGCTATCCACGATAAGTCCGATACGGCGTCAAAGTGCGAAGCAATAACGGGGAGAGCAGTAGCAAGAATCGTTTGATCCAGGACAATGAGACCGAGAGCGATGAGAAAGGAGCTAGGGGTGATGTCAGATCTAGTTTCAACAAGGGCCGCGTATCATGCTCACGCAAAGACCACGAAGAGGCCTTTTCCTTTCAGCTGAGAGGATGGACGAGAGTTGACCACACCTGTAACAAGTAGTGCGTCAGCGTGAGGGACATATTTTTCACCACCAGCTTCGAAATTCCCGATGGTCATGCTGTGACAGTACGCAGAGGAAGAGGGGACAAAACTTTCGATTGGCAAGTGTGCATGCTCTTTTGACCTCGTCTGCTCACGTAACTCAACGACTCGAATGAGTATGGCAAAGCTTTGTTGAAGCTTCACATGTGTCCATACATGAAGCTTGAAGTCCCAAAAGTGCACCGCGAGAACACGTTCGGAACTTCACGTTTGTTTCATCGGCTGCATCGACCCCCGTGAAATGGATCCTTAGGAGCTCTGTTGAAACGTTGACGTCTGTTTGATTCTGTGACGTAAATCGACGTATATTAATTATCTTTGAATCACTCTGATGGAGTGAATTGGACGGTTCGAAGTCGGTTTGAACAACCCAAATCCCGCGGCTCCGAGAACCGAAAGTGTTCCGAGGTAGACTCGAATCACTCTTGCGATTGCAATTATGGAACAAGAGCCGCCACATTCGCATAGTTGAAATCACCCTATTTTATAACCTGTCTCGATTCTCTCAGGCTAGGAGCTCGTCGTCGTCACAAAACTATCGTTGCCGCAGTTCGGCTGAAAACGCGACATCGCGGCGTTTCCCTACCCGAATGACATTGAAATATTGAACGACGAACCTTCAAACATCTGGCTAATCGTGGGAATCGAGACTTCGCCGCGTCTGGGTCTTCCTTTTCATTGCCTCTCCACCATATACCAGTCCAAATCTCCACCATGACCCCGAGCCAAACATGCTAGTATGCCTGAAGGGATATTAGTCCCTTGTACAGAGCCAGCAAGTGCGTGTTTGGCCAGGATATCCTCATGTGAAGGTCGTGTGAGGGGTTCTTAGATGTTGCCCATTCCATAGGGGCTCCGAAGACAACCGTGCCGCGCTCCTCCTTAACGTGCTTGTCTGAGGTTTTACCGCATCTCCTATCAATGCTTGCTCGGTGACCGTTCTGTATAAGTAGCGCCTTTCGACTACATGAGAAATTTGTATGGATGCTAGCGAACTTCCTTAACGAACGCTAGCGGGTTCGCGGCGCTTCGGAGCGAAGTTGACACCGTGCTTGAGAGAAGTACCATTGAAGGCGACTCATTCCCCATTACAGAGTATTCAATCAAGGAAGCCCTATGCCTCACCAGAAACGCCACCCCTTTCAGACAGGCAACCAGTTTGTGCCACCAACCCCTTGTCGGGCAGTTAGGCTGGAAAGGACATCGAGCGAGGAGTGCGTTTCATATTGAGCTTAGTATCCGCTTACACCATGGCTCCTGTTAACAAGGCCTACTGGCTGGGATGATCCGAGTTTAATTCCCTGGTTATAGACCTCAAAACTTTGGTTTTTCTGTCCAAAGACTAGAAAAGTAATGCGTCGATCTTGTTAGGATGTACTCTTAGCATCCGAAACGGTCCTCGGGGCCGACTACTAAGGCCAAGGCCTAAGGTACTAACCCTAACCCACAGACCGTAGACACATGACCAAACAAAAGAGGTAACTTTGGAGACAACTGAGGTGCACAGTCAGGAGCATTCGTTGGCCACACACCCTTCAGTTGAAGAGCACTCTGAACGCTCCCATTCCCTAGACTCAACCTAAGCTAGCTTTGATCCTCAGCCCTCTGAGCTTCCTTCTATAATCATCAGTGATACGTCGGGGTTTGGGCAAGTGGTCTACGGACGGCTGGTGGTTATCTTCCTGGAGAATATCTCGTATCGAAGGCACATCGTTACGTGCCTTCGTCATTGTTTGCTCTTAGGTGAACGACACCGGTGAGGTTGAAGTGAGCCGCTTGATGAGCTGTGAATTCTACGCGCCGGCGGCGCCGCGGTCGCCGTCGGGGAAGTTGATCTGTTCGCACGTGACTTGATCGCGTCGAAGACGCGTACCGTTTTAACCTCCTATGGAGCGCGTTTCACGTTGTGTTTCACGTTGAACGCCAACTGTAACAATTTGAGTTACGATGAACGGCGAATTTGTGGGTGTAAATGTGAGTATTTTGCTTCATTCACACCCGTGGGGTTCAAGCTAACCACGGTTTCTTAGTCGAAGTCGTTTGGTACGAATCATTGACGAATCATAGAGCCGATGGATGTAGATGAAACGCTAATATTTCGGCTATGACTGCGTCATTTTTTTGGCCCCTTGGCTACTGCCACCTCGCTGCATTATCCCCTGCGCGTACTCTTTGAACTCCTCGAACCCCTTTACTCCATCCCATTAATAGCATGCGGCACCAGCACCCAATACGCATACCAAGTTACCAACCCAATCAGTCATCCTCAACATCATCTTCTATCTTCTTTTCGCCATGGCGTTCAAGATCACCATCCCTTTCTCCAAATCGAGAAAGCAATCCAAGCCAACTCAAATTAAGGCCACCCACAACGACGATGACAGCAGGAAGCCATCGAAGTTCTGGAACGCCTTCAGGACGCGACAGGCTCACCACGACTACACGCCGGATGTGGTCGCCAACCGCACCCTCAATCACTCTCTCCATCCCGCCAATAACAACAACATTCTCCACCATGTCCCGCCCAAGGCCGCTTCCCAGCCTGCCGCTCCTCCCGCAGTACCGCTCTCCAAGCCTGTTCCCGCTCATACCGTTGCTTCCGAATCCTCATCTAAGCCCTTCGTCAGGAAGGACGAAGATGGTCGCAATTTCATCTCCTTCTCGGCTCTTTATGAGCAGGGAGCTACCCCACAACCCATCCCAACATATCACCCTGCCTCGACTGTCATACGTGTAGTCGACACTCCCAGACTGTCTCCATCTCCTACTACGCAGAGTGTCGACCATAAAGGATCCATGGAGGAATTGAATGGCAACCACGGGCCTTCTGCCTGTGGAGGCAGTCCCATTCGTGAGCCTTATTTCCTCTCTATCTGACATACTTCCTAATAGTTTCTCTAGATGTGTCGGGCACTTCCTTGTGGGCCGCCGTAGCCATTCATCATGAATATTGTCAGAAGAACGATGAAACATCCACTATCACCTCTCCGAGTGCTTGGAGCGAATCTGTACCCACATCCACCTCGATTCGCGTGTGCCACATCGCCGACGTTAACGCTGCACCCGAAAACCTTTGGGACCTCCTCGAGGACGTCACACTCTACTGACACCTTCACGATCTACTAGTCTCCGCATCTCTGCTACACAAGCTGACGAGTTCACGACTGATCACCGATCTCCACTTCCGGCTATCCTTGTATCCCACGCAACTCCTTTGGGATGTCGCGAAACACCGAGACGATCGGAGACGACGACGATGTCTATTTTCCTCAGTCCACTCGGCGAGCGTGAGGGTTTGACCAGCCTATCGTACATGTCTATAACAGATGCTAACTATGGTTCGCCGACACTGGTTAATATATGAGATGTTAATGATGATATTGACGGTGATCGGTCAGACACGATGTCCTTCGGTTCGGTCGTTAGTAGCAACATCGATGTTTTCTTCTGATTCAGCATTATCGCATAAACTTTCTCCCGCATAACCTTCTCTCACTCTTGATTAGATATGGACATGGGATATGATAAATTTGTATTTCACCCATTCTTCATGAATGCATCACCTATTTCATATCTTAACACCTTTCACACTAGACTCATACATTATCATCAAGCATTCGAGTTATCCTGTAGTCCCATTTATTCGTGCATCTAGTTGTATAAACAGAAAAAATCATGCCCTTTCATACGCTACGCTCAACCCTACGAACGTGGGAGTAATTATGTTTACAGATGACGTTCCGCAAGTCGAGGTGGTTCAAGACGCCGGCTTTACAACCCATGGCAACTCGTATTCACCAACATCTCTGACCACAGCGGTCTTGTGTACCGCACAGTCGCGCATTTGTTGCCCGTGACTTGAAGGTAAAGGGTTCCTTTTCTGAGATTTGAGACCATCATTCGCCCACCCTAGACCAACTCTGACGCTGATGAGCATGCATGCGATGCCGGCAATTTCTGGCATTGACAACACGATAGGAGTCTCAACATTGGATCCGGCTTGATAAACTCCAAAATAAACAATAACCCAGGATCTATTGCTAAAAGTAAGAACCAGAGGAGGCGAATAATGGTAATGGGAAGCTCACGTATAAATCATGGCGCTCTCAACCAAGATTGCGACAGTAGGCTATTCCCATGTTCTGAACTTTAGTGCTTCTATGTTCAGCAATAGCAGTCACTTACCATTATGCTACGTCCGAGGACGGGTCCCGAGTCACGGCTTACGTTCCAGATCCTCCACACAATAAAGCCTATGACTGTGTTAGACAATCGTACGTGTTAAATACAGTGCAAGCGTACTGGTGCCATAGATATTTGTTCTGTATTCGGAAATCGAGTCAGCGGAGTCAACTCCTCGCAATAGTGACCCACACGAGGGTGAATATACAGGTTGAGTTTATCCACCTGTCCACAACTGGGGAGTATATGTTGTATGATGAGTCTTTCTGCGCAATTTGATACAAATATCCGGCTCCGGACACTGACACTTGTTAGATAGTATCAAGAAAAGTCGTAAGTAGACGCACCGCAGAGCCCCACAAGGGTGCAGCATGGGAATACCATGACGGTGCGATTCTTGTTCCAGACTATCCAGAGACGATATATCTGTTATAATCTAAGGTCACTCCTTGAATGTGACGACTGGTGCTCACCACCATCGAATCAGCCGTGATCATGCTCGCAATCAACATCCCATTGATTATAATTACAGCGGGCACGAGTAAATCCGCAAGAAACGACGGTGCCTTGGACGCATCTTCCGTGATGTAGGCCTGAAATAAACGGATAAAGGTGCAAATCCAGTGCTATAGTACTAGAAAGTCAACCGATGCCTTGAACAGTTAATCGGTTTCACTTACCGCAGTAATAAACACAAACAGCAGTACAGACGTGATAATTAACGGATATGTGGCTGAGCGTTTCGAGTGTGTTCTGGAACGGTTGTCCTGCTCTCGCTTGACCAGCACATAGATGGACGGAAAGAAAAGAGCGAAGAAGATCCCGTAAACAAAACTCTCGAGACAAGTTCCTGCAAGCGTTGCGGATTCAACTGTGACTTGAGATGTTGTCATGAACGTAAAACAGATGGCCAGGAAGCGAGAGCTTGGAGGTTGATCTTCGTGATCAGCTGAGATGTGATCGGCTTTCTATGTGTGCTTATAAGCTGCCAACGAAAGCTATGTACTATAAATTTGGAACATACCTGTGATCAGTGAAACTGATCGTAGCATCCTTTGTTAGTGCTATTCTTTATCAAGAAAGCACACATACCTGCCTTTAGCGTGAGTGCCAGCTGTGTTCCGCCGTAGCAATCTCGGTACCAATGTGTGCAATGCAAGTGCAATGTGTCCGATGGAACAATCTGAGATCATCAGGTGATGGAAGAATCAGTGGCTCACCGCCGATATAACATTTTCCGGATTCGCCGATGGTGATTCCAGTGCAAACCACTTCGAGAAAACAAACGGAAGGGAAGGAGCCAGCCTGAGAGTGTGTACTGGGTCGGTTTTCGGAACTCGGCTATGTAGCGGTAATAATCCGGCCCGAACGCCCGTTGCACCTACGCTCTCCACTGGCGAACAACTTGCCTCCAACGTCCAAAAGAATTTCAGACTCGTCCATTTGCCTACCCCACCGACATTCAACGTACACTCAACAATGTGATCAAGGAACGAAGGAGATGTCGATAGAGGAATCATGAGCTCCAGCCATCCATTCGCCTTCAGATCTCCGTGAGACAGACACTGGCAGACACGGCACTTTCTTCTCCAGTCCTTTTGTGTTCTGGAAGTGCGACTACACATCCTAGTGCTTTCGTGCTATCTCCTCCTGAACCTCGTACGGATGCCCTCCCGCTTCCAACGCACTGCCACATGTAATTCGCTGTCGCTCACCTGGTCGGACAGTGACCCGAGGAGAGTAGTAACAACATTGCGGTCATCCTCGGTGCCATTCGAACTACCATCGACTCGAGCCCAAAAGATGATGTCGCGTTTATTCAGCCGGAGGCGGTAGCTGCGGAGACGGTGTCATAGAAGTATCAGAGGCCTCGACTTTAGCTGATGCGCAAGTGAGTGCACTCGTTCCTCGTGCTGGGTCTTTCAAGACGGTGACAGCGTTTTTAGCTGCAGGGCGGTACACGAGCGTTTGAGTCGTGTCAGCCCAGGCTGCGGAAGGGTGATTCGGCGGGACAAGTAGTAGTGTGGTATAGGAAGCTGGTGCGTCCGAGTCGCTCGCTTTCTTGCCCGTCCCTTACCAATCTCTCCACGCATCTTGTGTCTGCTTGCTAATGCATCGCTCGTGTGTGCATACAGTGACCGTTCAGTGCACAGCGTTGCATACCAATTGAAATCGTTCACATTGTGGAGCTGGTGTACCTTGTATGCGAACACGTCGTATCGATGCGTTGCAAGGCATCATATGTATATGTGGGGTTCAAGGTGTTCTTTGAGAGGAATGTCGAAGATATTAGCGCGATTATTGACGGGCGACACGTTTGAGGATGGACATGGATAAGCAGTGCGTTATTAGCGCATGTGTGTGTAAGGCGTCTTGATATATGTGGGGCGTGTATCACAAGCTGACCGTATACAGTGTATAGTGCCATCGTCTTCTCCTTCCGTCGAAGAGGAGTCCGCGGCTGGCTGGATGCTGACTTGTGCGTGCTGCCTAATTTCTCAATAGGCATGTCGATCCATGGGAGAATGCCTCCGCGTCAGGGGGATCTTGCCCGACGGGCTCGGACGGACGTCATGATCTTCCTGCTGTGTCGCACTCCATGTGTTGCAGATCCTCTTGCCACGAGCCGGATGCGGAGTCAGAGGGCAAGTCAAAGACGCAAAGCTTATGTGAGGTGCTCCTATATGGGGCACGAGTCGGCCGATCGTCTGTCCTTGCTCCAGGTCCAGAGCCTTCTTGGGCAAGAAAGCACCTCTCCTCTCTCCACGACCCGATTGCGGCTCTGTCATGATTCAGACCACCAGACTCATCGATCATATCTATCTGCCGAGCTGTTTCGGACACCCTTGCATGCTGTTTGACTGTGCAACATAGGGGTTATGTATATAACATTGAACCAGGAGCAGATTTTTCAAGTCCCCACCAGCTCATACAATCATGTCCTCCGCAGACTTCCTTTCAAACACTCACCCCTCCCTCCTCATCGGTGGTGCAGCCGCAGCCACGATAACGACGTATCTCGTTCGCAAAGCGATTCAAGACTCTCGACGCCTCTCAGCCCTTCCTCCTGGCCCACCGGCCGAGTGGTTCTGGAAGAGCCCAATCCCGGCTCACAAGTACGCCCACTCATCCACTTCTCTGGAAGCGCTAGATTCCTGACGTGGATAAACCCAGCACTCATGTGGAACTAACGAAGCTGACTGAGCAATATGGCGATGTCTACTCCCTCCGCAGCGGGAGCAACGTCACTATCGTGATCGGTACCGTTCAGGCCGCGCTAGATATCCTCGAGCGACAGGGCGGCGTCACGCTCAGTCGGCCGGAGATTGTCGCGGCGGGGACCATTGTCTCTGGTGGGCAGCGGATCTTGCTGCAGCCAGCGGGAGATCGGTTCAGGCGGATGCGCAAGTGAGTGGCTCGCCCTTTCCTGGCCGTGCTATGACGACTGCATGAAACTGACACAATTTGTGATGATTTGACAGGGCAGTACACGAACCACTGCAGCCAAAGATTGCGAAGTCATACTCCCCCATTCAGTTCGAGGCTGCGAAGAGATACGTGCTCAATGTTTTTGAGCGCCCTGATCTTGTCCACCATCATGCAGAGCTGTAAGTTGTTTCGCACCATCTTATCGCGCCTTTCTGCGCCTTCTACTTCACCTATTTTCATCCCTCGGAAGCTGACCCACGTTACTTCGGCTATAGGTACGCGGCGACCGTCACACTCAAGATCACGTACGGAAAGACCGCTCCATCCTCATTCCAAGACCCCGACATCGTGCGCATCCACGAGGTTCTCGACCGCTTCACGGGTGTCCTCCGCCCAGGCACTTACCTCGTCGACCGGCTCCCGTGGCTGCAGTACCTCCCCGGATACGCGCCAGAGCTCAAACAATATCACAAGTCCGAGCTCGCGTTGTTCAGCGAGCAAATCGGGAAGACAAAGAGCGCGATGGTGAGTGCTAGCTTACGCATCGTATCCGTGAGCTGACACACCTCGATGTTAATAGGAGGAAGGCGCAGACGGACCCTCGTTCACGCGGTATCTGCTCGAGAACCCGGAGGCGCATGGTCTCGACTGGGATGAGATGGCGTATCTCGCGGGTGCGCTCTATGCCGCTGGCTCGGATACGGTGCGTTCTATTCCCTCTTACCCCTAAGCCCCTTGCTGAACCACACGGCATCAGACCGCCGTTGGAATGTCCAACATCGTTCTGGCAGCTGCAACGCACCCCGAGCTACAGGTCAAGATCCATGCGGAAATAGACTCTGTCATCGGTGATCGCGGTACGTCACATCCGCAAGCATCGGCTGACAGCAGCATGTCTTACAACGCCTTGGCCTTGACATACAGTGCCGACACCCGACGACATGCACACCCTGCCGTACCTCGAAGCCTTCACTCAGGAGACTTTGCGCTGGCGCCCAATTGTCCCGCTCGGATTCATGCACAAGGCAACCGCCGATTTTGCGTGGAACGGATATCATATCCCGGAGGGCGCATCCATTCTGGGAAACCATTGGTGCGTTTCCATTCATCCTGCAGCTAAGAGTGCGGATGGGTGATACTCGCTTAAAGGGCAATATCTCGCGACCCACAAGCATTCCCAGACCCAGAGAAGTTCGACCCGCAGCGCTGGCTGACCGAGGACGGCCAGCTCAAGTCCCAGAAGGATATACGGTACTTTACCTTCGGTTTCGGTAGACGGTACGCCTCCACCTTTCTCTACTTCAAAGTATGCTTCAACCATCTTGCTAACACTCTATTCTACTGCAGTGTCTGCCCCGGACAGTACGTCGCAAACCGATCGATGTTCACAACCATGGCCCTCCTCTTCTGGGCGTTCCGCATCACGGAGGACCCGAAAGCACCTATCGACGTGAACGCGTACGACGACGGCGTCATTGCGCATCACCGCGGCTTCAAAGTAGTTACTGAGCCGCGGCGGAGTGTTGATGAGATCAAGCAACTTCTCCGTGACCGTAGCATCTAGAAATGGAGACAGTTTAGTCATAACAATGAGACTTTCTTTGATTATGAGATACGAGTCTCTCCTTTTTTACTCACATTTACCTAGTTTACATTTACTATCAACTGTTTCATTCCGCATTATAATCGAACACAATTGTGCTGCTGTTTTAAGACGAAAAGGTTGATCGGAGTCATTCTGTCTCTGTCGCAGGTATTACTTGCACCCCCTACGACCTGGGTTGAGAATACAATAGTCTGAGATGAAGTATCCAAATGTGTCTATCTATCTCCTTACCTGCTAGTAAATTCCTCTATTCTACATTGCAATTGTCAAGACACCCGCCCGCCTGGAGCGAAAGCAGACATTGCGGCTGATCAAGGTGTGAAAAAAGGGTAGCGAAACCGAGAAGGGAAAACAGATATTGATAGTTCTTGCAGGCGATGTCGGTTGATCAAACTCGAGTGAAGGTAGTGGAAGTACAAGGCTGTTTACGTATACAATGTCAAGTTCTTCGCAGTTGCTTCGCAGACATAGCGATGAGGCGGAACTCGGCTATCGGCTGAAGCGCTCCGGGTGGCGGTAAGCGCTCGCTCGGGTGGGTCATGACGCGCATCGACGTCGACAGTGAGCAATACTTGGAATGACTTGCGTAGGACATTCTCGAGCTATCTAAACGCTCTCGCTCTTAGTCCATACCTCTTCTCATCACCGCAACAACATAAATTCCGTATTGCCTTCATGTCCTCATCTCTAGCGCGCTCACGCGCCACCGCTCTAACGCGCTCCTGCGCACGAACACAAGCCAGGCAATTGGCGACTGCATCGTTAGCGTCCCAAAGCAACTTGGTCAACATAGTCGAAGTCGGCCCGCGCGACGGCCTCCAGAACGAGAAGAGCACCATCTCCGTCGACACCAAGGTCGATCTCATCGACCGGCTCGCGAGTGCCGGCCTGCGCTACGTCGAGGTGGGCAGCTTCGTCAGCCCCAAGTGGGTTCCTCAGGTATGCCTATATGCACATCCTCCACCGAGATTCCCCCACCTTCCTTAGCTCCATGACGTGACTAACCTCTCATGTCCCTCCGCCTCACGCAGATGGCCGGCACCGCTGACGTCGTCTGTCGCCTCCCGCGGCACCCCAACACGCACTACGCCGTCCTCACGCCCAACACGCGCGGGCTCGCCGACCTCCTCTCCATCCTGCACACGCCCTCCCCAGACTCGCACGACACCCCTCCCCCGCCGATCAGCGAAGTCGCGATCTTCACCGCCGCCTCGGACGCGTTCTCCCAGGCCAACACAAACTGCACCGTGCTCGAGTCGCTACAGCGCCTCGAGAGCGTCGCGCGCGAGGCGCAGGACAATAAGCTCCGGGTGCGCGGGTACGTGAGCGTCGTGGACACGTGTCCGTATTCTGGGCGGACGGATCCGGGCAAGGTGCGCGAGGTGGCGAAGGCGCTGGTCGAGATGGGCTGCTACGAAGTTAGCTTGGGCGATACGGTGGGCACGGGCACGCCGGGCACGACACGGGCGATGCTGGAGGAGGTGGGCAAGGACGTGCCGGTGGAGAAGCTGGCTGGGCATGTGCGTTTCTTCTCCCTCTTTCTGTCGTCTTCCGCTTGGGTGGCTGACCGTTCGCGATCCTACAGTTCCACGACACATATGGCACCGCCATTGCCAACGTCTTTGAAGCGCTCTCCTTCGGCATCCGTACCATCGACGCTGCCGTCGGCGGACTCGGTGGATGCCCCTATTCGCCGGGCGCGACAGGCAACGTCGCAACCGAAGACGTCATCTACGCACTCCAGGGCTCGGCATACGGCGTCCAGGGCGGCGCGAAATGGCAGGACGTCGCAGAGATCGGCGGATGGATCTCGGATACACTGAGCAGACAGAGCACGAGTCGTGTAGGACGGGCATATGCTGCGCGCAAGGAGCGGCAGAGGAGGAAGGAGGGAGAAAAGGCCAAGCTCTGAAGTCTTGACAAGGGGCGCATATATCGTGTAAAATACTAATTGATCCATAGTTGTGCTAGCATCATGTAAACAGCATGCAGATAATAAAAGCGATGTATACCATCGTTCAATCCTCCATACTGTCCGATACATCCCGCTCGATTGCCTACTCCATCCTCTCCAAAAATCCAACGCCACCCGCTCTGACCTTGGCCCCAAAACTCTCATACCACTTCTGAATCACGCCCATGGGCACCATACTGTCCGGCGTGATCGTCGCCCCTCCCCCGCCAGGAACAAAGCCCGCGACATAGTTAAACAGATGCCTCGCGATGCGCTCCGCGAGCAGCGACGCGTCTGGGTTCTTGTTCGCCGCGCCGACAGCGGTACTGCTGCCCTGCGCGGCAGCGAGCCCGACGACCTGCGACAGCACCTGTGACAGGGGCTCGATGGCGAAGCCGAGGATCGCGGTGACGTCCCCCGGCGCTGCGTTCGTCTGCATCGAGGCAGCGGCGGCGGGGTTGGCGGAGAAGGCGGTGGGTGTGCTCGATGTGGAGTAGGTCCCGCGCAGGCGGAAGATGGCGGAGGGTTTTTCGTTGGAGAGCCTGGCAAGAGAGATTGGCGATGTTAGCTTGGGTACAGCGTGTTAGTGGGTGAGTATGGGGACGCACATTCCGAGCACCTGCGAGCCCTTTCCGGGCCAGAAGAAGTGCACGGTCGCGCCGTAGCCGTCTGGGAAGGGCACTGGGAGCACAGCGCAACGACTCTCGTCAGCTCTTGCCCTTCATACTAGACCAATCGCCTAATGGGAAGCTCACCAGTTCCGAGGAGAAATACAGAGATATGATTGATCGTACTCGCAGCAGGGAGCTCGAACAGCGCGTGCGTCTCGTCGACCTGCTGCAGGTCCGTCTGGAGCAGCCGTCCTGCCACGCAGCAGCCGAACATTTCTTCCTATTGACGTATGTCGTGACCTGAGCTGTGTTTTTTGAGCTTTTGGGTCCTATGCGGCAACAAGAGCGGGAATGGTAAGGAGATGTGAGGGAGACCGGGGGGATGGGCACGGGGAGGAGATGGTGGACGTCATAATCTAGATTTTGCTCGCGCGTCTCGGTGCTTTTGCATGTCTGTTCGCTTGTCAGACCGTCGGCTTACAGCAACTTCTCGCAGTTTCCGGCTCTTGCCAAGCTCTTGCGGTGACGTTCTCTAGCGCATGCAGGTCGTACTGATGTTTTGCTCATCAATTTCTTATATTCTCTTTTAATACAACCCGCTAATATCACCAACAGTATTTGCCAGCTCAGCCGTGATTGAGTCAAAGAACCTCGAAATCGCATAGGAAACACGTATGTTGCTTCAATAATAAAAACAAGACAATGCGTTGACGAACATAATCAGACGAAAGGCAGTTTCAACACCACGCCCTACATGCTCAAGTCACCCAACACCTGCCTGATCTCCTCAACGCTCCGCCGCGGCTCAGGAACGACCTTGAATCCACGGTGACGCGCAACGAGACCCGCGTCCTCGAACGCATTCACATCAATGGGAGCCTTCGGATCTTCCACGATGCGGAACGCCCAAAACAAGAGGAGCATGGTCGTGAGCATGGACCGATTCGCAACGTGCTGACCGGGACAGACGCTGCATCACAGATGGTTGATAAGACGTCACTCGATCCGGGTGGAGCATTGAAGATCTGAAAGGGCAGAGACGTACCGTCTGCCGAAACCAAAAGTGAAGTACCGTATCTCCTTCTGCGGCTTGAGCTGACCGTCCGCGTCGAGCCAGCGGTGTGGGTCGAACTTCTCCGGGTCAGGAAACGCCACGGGGTCGCGCGAGATCGCCCTTCAATATGTATAACATAAGCACGTAAGCCAGCAGCGAGTGGGGTGAACGGAGACGAACCAATGGTTACCCAGGATAGATGCGCCCTCCGGGATATGGTACCCGTTCCACACAAGGTCGGCCGTCGCCTTGTGCGCGAACCCGAGCCGGACAATCGGGCGCCAGCGCATGGCCTCCTGCATGAATGCCTCGAGATACGGCAGGCTGTCCATGTCGTCAGGTGTCGGTACTGCATGTCGGAACCAACAAGTCGTGAGACGCTGCTAGCAGTCAACGCATACAGGAGTGTCACGCACCACGATCGCCAACGACAGAGTCTATTTCCGCGTGGATCTTGGCCTGGAGCTCGGGGTGCGCCGCAGCTGCGATGACGAGATTGGTCATTCCAACAGCGGTCTGATAAAATGCGATTCAACAACAAGCTGAGGATCCGAGATTGGCGACACAGAAACGCACCGTGTCCGAACCAGCTGCATAAAGAGAGCCCGCGAGATACGCCATCTCGTCCGGGTCAAGCCCGTGCGCAGTCGGATTCTCGAGCAAATACCGCGTGAACGAGGGCCCATCGACGCCTGCATCCTATACGTTCATATTGCTGTCAGCTCATGGACCTTCTTCTCGCACGAGACCACTCACGAGCGCACTCCTCGTCTTGCCAATTTGCTCGTGGAACAGCGCGAGCTCAAGCTCACGATACCGCTGGAGCTCCGGCGCGTACCCTGGGATATACTGCAGCCACGGAAGCCTATCGACGAGATACGCGCCCGGGCGGAGCACACTTAAGAAGCGCTCGATGACCTGGTGGATGCGCGCAATGTCGGGGTCGTCGAACGAGGACGGCGCGGTCTTGCCGTACGTGATCTTGAGCGTGACTGTCGCCGCGTAGCTGGTATAACCCATAACGTCGGTCAATCTTTGAGGACCGAAGATAAATATGGCGACGTGGCGACGTACAGATCCGCATGCTGCTGAACGGAATCAGGGCGCTCCAGAACATTGAGCACGAACGTCTTCGCCGCCTCGAACTGGATCGGCGCGTACGACTTTGCAATCTTTGGTTGCAGCGGCTCGTGCACCGCCCTGTACATTCAGACATGAGCACCACACATGTAATGCCCCGAAGCAGCACGCCACTCACTTGCGCATCTTCCTAAACTTGTCCCCCGCAGGCTGCAAAACAATCTGCTGCCCGCGAGCCTGCATCGTCCCCGCCGCAACAGCCTCCGGCCTGCTCAGCGTGACGCCGCCCTGTCTCTCGAGAATGTCAACCGCGGCCTGAACTCGACCGACGACGATAGTGACGTTGTTCCCGTTGCGCACGCTGCACACGTCGCCGTACTGATCCGTCCATTCCGCCAATTTCAAGTGGGTGCTGATTAAAGTCGCAAGTAAATTTCTGCGGGGAAAGTAGATGCAAGTGCACGTACTGGTACTGCGGGATCGGGCTTTTCCAGAACCATTCCGCCGGGGGACCAGGCGGAAGGCCTGAAAGCCGTCTCGAGTCTTGGATGGCTTTGCGAGCAAGGTACGCCGTTACAGTGACCGCAGCTACAGCGCCGGCGAGGAGTGAGGGAAGTGTGTTCGAGAGAAAGTCTGTAGAGGACATAACTGCTGAGAAAACCTGCGGAATACTGGTTAGGGGGCCACTCCCATTGGTTTCCAGGTCTTAAATACATACATCCTACGATCTTGCACGCCATGACACCATGTCAGATCGCCAAGTGTTGTCCGAAGAACTCGGCATACAGCTTGCTCGACGAGTCTAGTGCCCTGATGGTTGAGGGAATCGTGAGTGAGCAGTGATAGGAGGTGACGAACAGTGACTATAGAACCGTTAATCATCGGCCCTGCGCAGTAGATATTGTACTTGCCACTCCTGGAGAGGTAGTGACGAGCACTGACTATAGGTCCGTTAATAATCAGCCCCTGTACATCAGACTTTGGGCCTATATACGGTGAGCGATCGGCCGACCCAGGCCACGTATGGGAAAGATGCGATATCAGCTTGGGAGCCTTTGACTTTTCCTTTGACTACTCAGCCGACTCTCGCTGATGGGAGTTTGTCAAGGCCTGTCAAGGGTGAAGTTCGGAACAACGAAAACAAGTCCGAGATCGGGAAAGTGCCATTAGAGCGGGAGCTGTTCCGTTCCCATGAATGTCATATTGGTGAATGTCTAGGCTGCACGCACAGTCGGTCCGATAAGCTGAGAAGGGCAAGTTGTATATCAGAACAATGCGCGATCTCATCCCGTTCAAACGCGGACTAACAACCCACCAGAACTTCTTGAAACGCAACGCTCTCATGAGCACCCTAACCTCTCCAACGCTCCTCGACGGCTCAACCGCAACCTTGACGCTCGCGTGATAACTTGGAACGGCTATGTTGAACGCGCCATGAATAGCGCCGCTCATCTTCCGCGAGACAGGAACTCGAGAATCGTAGTGAAGATGTGAGGCACACTGAGCGTTGCGTCACGCATTAACCAACACTACTCAATCCTGGCTGGACATAGAGTCAGCTTAGGTTTAAGGCAAAACAGGTGCAAAAAGGATGAAAGTAAAGAAACACGTACGTCGCCTTGTGGATGGTGTCCCTCAGGGTCCCTCAGGGCGTATCAGCCTCGTGCTGCACTGGTGCATACTACTTAGCGTCTTTGGGTTGAAGGGGTTCGCACATCGTCCTGTAGAGCTTTTCTAGCGGGGCGTGCGTGAGTGGTTGATGAATCGGTCCCTGGTGGCAGCGAGTATTTCGCCTTCTCATGCGATGTCATCGCGCTGGCCGACCTCGAAAATATTGGTCAAATTGCTTATGATGTTGATGGTGTTACTGCACACAGATGCGTCTCGACAGCAACACGGTTACTGTGCAACTGCAGACTCGTTGAGGTCGATGGCATAGCCTGGCATAGCTCGAGGAAGGAGGTGAGAAACGTTTGGTCGGCAGCTATAACTCGGCGTTGCCGCCCGAGCCCCTGAGCGCTTGATGCGCGCTTAACTACTGCCGATAGCCGATTTTCGGGTTCCGAGACACTTGCGTTGATCTCGTTCTCGGGTTTTGACCTTTTCATACTCTCACGTTCAAAAGGTTACCTCTCGCTAATGCCCTTATAATTTGGAGAAAATGAAAGAGTGGGGCACAATCTCCGTATGTTTATCTCCTCATGTTGCCCAAGAACGACGACACCACCTCAACTGAAGTTTAGGTTCAATAAGATGAACGTCGCTGCGCCCCATTATCTGTCTGCAATACATTCGTCTCGCCTGCTATTCAGGCTGCGCAGGTCCCCTTTCGTCCATGCCCTCCACGACCACCCGCTTACCTCCTTCGCAGACCTCACCATCGTGCTGGAGCCCTTCAGCGACTGGTCTTGAATGACGCTGACGTGCGTAGCTATGTTGTCGAGACCTGGTCAACACCTGATGACTTTTTCACGTCTTCTGCAGTTTGATCTTGACATCACCGCCTCTCTGTCTACCCGCTCGGCGTCCTGGACACCGTCGGAAAGAGCCTGCAGCAAAGGGAGAAGGACGGACACGGCATCGCGAGCCTGTGGAATAAGACCGACGCCGCGGCCGGCGCGCAGACCCTCGAGCCACTGGACCATGCCAACCAGGGCCACACCAACCAGGACGTACTCCACTCGGACCTTCAAGGCCGCAACTCGGCCGCGCACGCCAAGAGTGACCCCGTCACAGGCGACGCATACAGCTACTTACAACCTTCAAGCCGGCTAGAGCGCCGTCTATCGCGTGTTCCGCGTGAACGCGTCCTCGGGAATAGAACGGACCGCTCCCCCACACACTGCAAACCCTCGCGCTACGTCTACAGCGTGAGCAACCGCGGGCACTCGAGTCTGACCCCGCCACGTACACCGCGACCTACTGGTCCGCGCAGGCGCAGTCCACCAGCAAAGCGATCTTCGTTCCCGACACCGACGGGACGGAGGAGGACGGCGTGCTGAACGTGGTTATGGATGGTTTTACGGCAGGAGCTATCTCGCCGTTTTCGATGCGAAGTACATGCATATGACGGAGATGGGCAGAGCGAGTCTTGAGACGGCTGTGGGCTTCAGGTTTCATGGAGCGTGATAGATTTTTAAGCGGTACTAATGAACGGGCTTCGTTTCCCGGAAATTTTATCTGTTATTCTCCTGGAGCTGCGTAATAGAGCAAACTTCATCACCGTCAATGTACGAGTAAATCCCGCTAGCTAAAGCTTGCTGAAATCAACAATACTCGAAACTGTTCAAGAGTGTGAATGAGAAAATGAATATTAAGGATGTGCTGATGCATTCGTTGATAATACAAGATACGAGACGGTATGAGAGTCCATGCTAGGTACGAGAAAAAATGAGGCTACAGGATGCGAATCCGAGAGATGTGAATGGTTACTAATCTGATATAGAGAAAGATAATGCGTATGATGGTGAAGAGATACATCCATGAAATGAAGGAGGAAACATATATTGTCGTAGCCCATGCCCAATCCTAATCAAGAGTCCCAAGATAAAGTGAGAAATTTCCTTGCGGTAATAGATGAATGATTCAGAAGAAACCCTCGATATTGCTAGTGACGACCGAAGCCAAGGACATCGCGTCCGACTTATCATCGTCAGCATCATAGTCGAAATCTTCAAGATTGGCCAGTGTCGGCGAGCCACAGATGACGTCCGTAAGAGAAACGTCAGATAGACTGTCCGAATCATCGCCCTCGGCGAGCGGACTGAGTAAGAGGAGAGAGACCGTGGTCGTCTCGGTCATCTCGGTAATACGCGACATCCCAGAGGAATTACGCGGAATGCAAGGATAGTCCGAGGTAGAAACAGAGAAGTGGTGTTGGAGGTAGTCTGTGGGTGAGTAGCTGGTATAGTTTGTCGTGAAATCCTCAGGGTGTGTGGTAGAGTTGACGAGGTTGATAGATTGTGGAGACGATGCATAGTTTGTGAAGTCCTTAGAATGTGTGGTATAAATGGGTAGGCTGGTAGATTGTGGAGGCGCTGTGTAGTCTGCGGCGTTCTCGAGTAGGTCCCAGAGGTTTCCAGCGGCGGCGTTGACGTCGGCTATGCGACGCAAGCGGACCGAGGCGGTCGTCGAATCAGAGTCTTCGCTCCGGGCGCTCGGAGAGGGGACAGGGGATATTTCGCCGGTCTTCTGACGACATTCATGGCGAATGGACGCGGCAGCCCACAAGGGAGTGCTCGACGCATCTGGAGGAAACTAGTCAGGAATGGTGATAGAAAATGCGAAGATTAGACTCACGAGCGGAGCTGTCTCCACGAGAAGTAAGGCGCGTGCGGTCGTCATTCGATCCCTCCTGGGAGTCGGTTTTGGCGATAATCTGTGCTGTGAGGGTATCGACTACGCGTATGGCGGTCGAGGCGGGGTAGAATGTTGGGATAGACTGTGAAGTTGTTTCTTGCTCATAGAGGGCCGAGAAGGAGATGAAATTGCGGCCATCTTCGTCCCGCCTGACGAAGGGCTTTGAAAATGGTTTGGGAGTAGGGGAAGAGGCGGGGATAGGCTTGGAAAGTAGTACTACAAGGGCAGCGACGGGCTTGGGACCGGCCTTGGGCGGGAGAGAGGAAATTCGAGGAGGCGGAGTGATAATGGGCTGGAGGGAGGAAATCCGGGGCGGGACACGGTGGAGAATGATGTTGTTACTAGCGGGAGGCGGAGGGGAGTCACTGAGGGTGTGGTTGGCGACCACAGAGTCAGGCGTGTGGTCGCTGTTAGCCTGGCGGGTCCTGAAGGCGTTCCAGAACTTCGATGGCGTCCTGCTGCCATCGTCGTTGTGGGCGGTCTTGAGGTGAGCTGGCTTGGATTGCTTTCGCGATTTGGAGAGGGAGAGGGAGATCTTGAACGCCATGGCAAAAGAGGATATGAGATATGCGTGAGGGTGATTGATTGGGTTGGTATGTGTGGAGGAATGGGTGCTGGTGCTGCGGAGTGGTAATGGGATGAGGTGAAGGAGTTTGCTGAGTCCGCGCAGAGGTTGAACTAGTGAGGTGGCGGTGGCCAATCAAACAAACAAGTGACGCAACCCGAGCCGACTAGCATTCCATCTACACGCATTGGAATGCTTGCATGTAGTCGCGTCACGATGACAAGCGATTCGACCTAAATCAGCATAATCGGCGGAGGTCCCTGAGCGTCAATGGAATGAGAGACTTACATGTCTAAGTATTCCAACTCGTCGACTATAGCGAGCCGGTGCGCTGCAGAAGCATAAAGTTCGAAATAGCCTCTAGGAGGCCATGGCTCGCGTTTGCGACGCGATCGAATCACTTGCGACAAGGTCAATTACACCCTGCGATGTTTCCTTCACTCTCAACTAGTGTGCACCTGACAGCTGAAGTTTATATATCACGCATGTCCTCAACGCATGTTTTCACCATTGCTGTTTTCGCCAAATATTCGCAGTGAGCCACTTACGCTTCAAGTACCTACGTAGGTGAGTCAACTTGCCTCCTCGTGGGGCCGGTGATCGAAATATTGCAGGAGCCGAACTGTTCGAGGACCATGACCAGCGTGAATCGTGGATTGCAAGGCCTTGCTTTTACTGTTCTGCCAGCACGTCCCAGAGTTGGTGTCAGCTCGGGTGAAGCCGACGGACTACATGCTTCGCCAGCGAATATGGGACCCACGACAGTGATCCAAGGGAACGACACAGCACTCGAACCCGTTACTCGAAGCCGATGATGACAGGAGCACAGGAATCGGGAGCAAAGTCACAGGCGATGCTCAAGGGGATGAGACCAGCCAACATCTGCAGTAATATATCTACAAGAGGTTCACGGGTCGATGTGACCAGCAACCCTAACACTCAGCCTACATGTGTAACACAGGCCAAAGGCATTGCTCACCTCTAGACCACCCATCAAAACTATCATTCCATCTGTCCAGCTCCTCACTCGGACACGCCATTAGCCGAACCTAGTGCGTCGTTCGGCAAGAGCCTTGCACCGAGCATGCCACGGACACCTGGTCGTCGTAAGCGCTAGAGCCTATACCAGATGCTGCAGTACTTACCCAGTTTTCATCATTAAACATAAACCAGATTTGCGTTTGTTGCTGGCATTGTCGCCACTGTGGGGTGTGAGATACGCTCATAAATACAGCTTCAGATAGCATCGGCAAGAGCGTTTAGGGAGCGATACCGCGCGACTCAGTCCGAGGCCAGAGTTTGCGTACCCGCTTAGGCAGCAGAGTGCAGCCCCTCAGAGAAGAGGAAGTCGGAAGATGGACGACGCAAAAGAGTCAATTCAAATCATCACATGAAGGACAACGCCGAAGAGCGCGCACTCCTCCAGCTGCATCCACGCGACGCGACCAACCATTCCAAACCCCGCCGGCTTCCCCCCGATTCCCGATCCGGCGTCCGGACCGTTTATGCAACCATCTTCATTCTCTTCCTCGAGCATCCTGGTGTAGGCGAAAATATACAGGAATAAATATTCACGGGCATATCATTTGGTAAGCGGAACTATCTTAGCACATTTAAAACCCATTGACGAAGGCACCAGAGGTCCCGGTCAAGGACGATGTCAATGACACCAATCTGGACGTCAGGTCTGCAGGAGCAGTACAAGATCCACTATGTCTATGTTTCGCCGAATCAAACCCGTTGCATCGGTTCTGTGTATTTTATGATTCTTTGAAGTCATTTCTACAGAAATGTTTATACATCCAAGAGGCTCTACATAAATCTGACACGTCGCCAATAACCGATCCACTGTTGTACATTATCTGCACCAAGTGCTTTGCATTCAACGGACGATAACACGGAGCTCGCCTTCAACTGGGTGCAGTCAAGCTTGGCAGATCCCGTAAGGTCGCCTGACACGCGGTCAGGCGCAAGCGCCTGGAAGAATGTGATAAGCCTCAACGCGCGCAATTCTGAGTCAGATCCGTCGCCCGAGACCTGCTTTTCATGCAAATCCTCGAGTTTCATCAGCCACTGCTTGTAAGGAACTCTGGGGACGTCCAAAGCCGTTGCGAATACTGCCGCAAGGTCCGCAAAGCTAGTCGGATGGGGATGGACGAGGTGAATTATGTCGCTCTTGGGACGATACGACGAAGTTGCCAGTTTAACGAGCAACGCCGCAGCTGTGGACGCAGGAATCCAGAACACAGGCTAAATACCGAGTAAACGGAGTCATAATGCAGTTGGTAGCCGAAATAATGGGAATAATGACCTTATCCTCGCTAGGGAAGCAGCGCAATGCATCGGTACTCTGGACGAGAGCTGGGAACCATTCCTTGGTGTTCCAGCTTCCGGTTCTGGCGCCACCGCATAACTGGCCCACACGAACGATGAGGGCATTGAACGAGGGCACCTGAGCCCTTGCGCGCTGCACAAGCTGCTCTGCCACCCATTTTGACTCCGCATAGCCGACGCCGGCAGCAATCTCGGCATTGACCGGCGCCTCTGGAAGCGCAGTTTTCCCTTGGGCGTCTAGATACGCCATAATTAGGCTAGCGGTGGTGGCAAGACCGTGATGTAACACTTACTCTGGAGTACTCCGACTGAACTCGTGAAGACGAACTTCATTGGCACAGGCAGCCGCGAGTTCAGCGAGAAATCGATCAACCGCCTCACAGAATGAATATTGTCATCGAACGCCTCGAGTCTAAGGTTGAAGTTCACAGTCCAAGCTATATCGTTTAGGGCGAATAGGTGTATCACGGATAGTGAGTATTCACATACCATTGTGCACGACGTGAGTGACAGTGTTCAGCATCTAGTGCGGGATCCATGTTAGATATATATATAAGAGTAAGCAATGTCACAACTGACCTCCGTGTACGTATCTTCACCGATGCCAAAGTTTTCTCCAAGGATATCTCCTTCCAGTAGCTTGAGTTTCGTCGCCTTCAAAGGCTCGGTATCCAGTTCCCACTCATCGAATGCTCGCGTCTGCCGCGTGCCAATTGCGTGTCCGACATAGCTCCTCCGGTTAAGTGCATATATGCGTGTCACGGCAGGGTTTTCAAGCATCGATGCAAGTAGATGACTGCCGAAAGTACCCGTCGTGCCAGTTACGAGCACCACCACATCTCCGTCCTGAGATGTTGGAAGAGGCCGGTGCTGTGGGAGCTCCCTAAAGAGGTACTTATCAACAAACGACTGCATCAACGCTACTCGCTGGCTGAGATCCAAGTTGTCCTCTACTCCATCCCCGCGTATGAGCTTGGAAATGGAGCCAACGAGAGTTGAGATGGATGTGTTTGTGTACACGATGTTCTCCTTGACGCGCCTTGTGTCGACTGCTGACGAATCGCGCAGAGCGCGCAGGAGGGTGTTACGAATCCAAGTAGCTTGCAGACTTGCATCGCAATGAGCACTCTGAGGCCAAGGTGACAAGTGAAAATGTACTTACCTGTCGCATCCAAGTTGGAAGATGTCCACATCATCGGACACTTCCCTACCCAGAACAGAATACACGGTATGACGCACGAACGTCAGTGTCTGAGTATCATCCCACACAGATGGCGAAGCAATGTTGCTTTGCGCACTCTCCTGTGCATCGGCGTATGCTTTTTCGATCTCGTCGGAGTAGGAGTCTATGATGGCCTGGCGCCGTGCAGTGTTCTTTGCAGTGTACGTAAATGGTTTAGACGGGGTTGAAACAATAATCATCTACATCACCGTCAAAACAGCCTCGCAGCGGATGCGTATGCGCTCACCTCTTTGAATATCCGAGAGTGTTGGGGAGCGTACGCGTTCATCGACTCCACTGTTGGCCTATTCAAAGTGTGAGCCACCTGTCAGCGAGGATGGCGGTTGACAAACACGCACCAAATCAAATTGCGGAACTGTGCAAGTTTGACTTCGTCCACGGGATCAAACCGTGCTTTTTCGACAGGATCAATGATGATTCCGGCTTGGAACTTCCCCCGCCCGAACATCACAGACGACATAACGTGTTCATTTTGGTTTAGGATGCTTTCTGGGTAACAAAATCAGAGGGCGAATAAAGATATTCTGCACTTTCTCCTTGCCTAGAGGTCCTGGGTTTGTCTACTCAACGGTGAGTATATGCGACAAAAGCAGAATAGGGATTGTTGTACCTTTTCTCCCGTGCTGTGCATGATTTGATCATCAACTCGACCAAAAACCTTCCAGAAGCCTGGTTTGGTAGGATGTGCCACCAAAAGGTCCGACGTGGAGTACGCAGGTGTAGTGTTTACTGTTGTATTAACCGCGCTTGGTACGCAAAACTCACTGGGCTGCAGATATCTCAAAAAGAAGTAAATGGCGGCTTCGTAGGATTGGCGTACCAGGATGACGAGCTCGTAGGTATTTTCCCCGTATGACGCCAGTTCCGGGGTAACGGACTTTGGGAAACTAAAATAATCCCAGTCGTAATCCACAGACGCTAGAGGATTTGAATTTCCTGAACATGGAAAACTAATGAGGGGCTCACATGGAAGGATGGTACTAATCACGCCAACTTCCGTGCTGAGAAGTTCAATCAAAATATATCCCCAATCGGGACCAAAAGCTACTCACGCGCCGTAAGAGATGAAGATGCTAACTCCCTGAGACGTCAAATAGTCTCCTATTTCCTTGTTAAGGGGCCCTCCACCGAAAATCTGCAATTATGTATTCGATTCTCCATAGACTCGAGAGAGGATAGCGACTTACCACACCAGACCTCGAAGCAAGCCACGTAACGTATTGAGAATTCATTGCCCATTGCTTAAATGTCTGTGAGCATATCCATGCACATTCGAAAGGTTAGGTACGCGAACCTCAATGATCGTAGGCACACAAAAGACGATGTCGCTCTCTGTAGCTTTGGCTGCAACATACAGATTATCAGGAGTCGGAAGAGTTGTGGGGTAAGTTGGCTCAAAAGCGCTTATCACTAGCCCACAAGTCGCCTAATTAAAGTAGATTCAGAACCATGAGGGTGTGCACGCTCATGCGAAGGACTCACCGCCCAGTAGATCTGCGAAGCGCCCATCCCATGATACATTGGCATGGTGTGCAGGGAGAACACTTTCCCAGTCAGATCGCGGTCTCCAAAGAAGGGAGTCAGTTGGAGCATATTGAAGCAAAGGTTTGACCATGGCACTGGTTTAGGGAAGGCTGTGGACCCAGACGAGTGCATGATCATCTGAGCATCGTCGGGGCCGCTGTAAACATAGGGTGCGACATCAGGAAGCTCCATGATGGCTCTCGAAGGAGAGTAGACCTCTTCGAACTGCAACATGGGTAGGACTACGGGAGGCGTGACGTTGGAGGATCTTCCCCGCAAGATGTCAATTGCCCGTTGAGCTAGATCCGCCATGCTCTTCTCGCGACCAATCAAAATATAGTTGACGTGTGCACGCTCAATCAAGTGAGCGACGGCCACAGGGGAGTTCCTGGGAGAAATAGGAAAGGGAACGAAGTTCATTCGGAAGCAGCTGAGCAGGTTCATCGAGTATGGGATGACGTCTATAAACGTTGGCGTCAGACGCACGTTTCAATGCCCTGCCTTGAAGGACCAACCTGAGATAGCCAAAATGCCTACCACGGGGCGGGTAGTGCTAGTAGAGATGGAAATACGATGCCGAAGTATCTTGCAGCCTATAATGACGGCCTCGTAGCATTCAGACCAGCATATCGTACGGGTGCTCCCATCAGCAAGAGGATACTTGAAGAGCGGGTGGTTGGGACTATGTAATGCAGTCCATTCTGCAACTTCTGCGAGGTTGAACGATGGACCGAGAGGTGGGATATGGAAGGTGTCAGAGCACAGGGCTTGCGTGTTCGGGACGCCAGGGGGTACCCTCGAGGAGGCCATACAGAAGCTAAGCTCGAGAACGGGATTAATATTCCTTTACGATAGAGCCAGGAAGTAGTACCTATTCTTAGGCGGATGAAATGCCGTGCACGGAAACCTTAAGAATGCGCCCCAAGCTCATGGGAACTATCGAGATAGCGCCCCAGCGGAGCCTCTGTGAAGGCCGGGCTGCATATCCAAGGACTGAGATGAGATTCGTGCACGGCGGTGGCATCTGAGCTCGCCCTTGTAAATGAATGGAACCTCCGAAGCGCGCCAGAGACATGAGCTGAAGAGCCGTACAAACAAAGCGAAAGGCATCTCCATTGTCGAAAGTAGCCAGTTCGATCGATTCGCCAGCCTTCTACTTGACGAACTTTGAGGAAACAGACAGCCCGGAGGGTGTACGCCGCAAGCTTGCGCTTAGCCGGTGACGCGGCATCATTTCAATCTCCGCCGGACGGGTTTCTGTCTCTCAACAAAGCGGGGGCATCTCGATCCGAGCTTTGTTGCGAGTCCACTACATCCTCGCATCCCATTTCACCGATCTGAGTACTAGTTTGGAGGGAGCAAGGTTTTGATATCGAAATTCGTTCCATCATACCTGATGTAGATGGCCCTTAGGACGGCATGCTTCTAGGCTCTTTAGTTTCGGGCTTCAAGCGCTAAGCACTCAAGCTCAATTGGAACATGCAAGTGTACTCGATCTTGCAACCTTTTCAACCTCATAAGATTCCCTACATGCCTTCCATTACATACGGCCTTAGAAATACTCTGTTCTTGGTGTTCCGGATCCGGCACATGCTAACAGTCCTCGGATTATACAGATTTAATCCTCATTGACACGCACGTATGGCCGATGGCGATGCCATTGGCATGTTCCCGCCTCTATGGCCGATGGTCGCGGGAGATCGTGTTCTTTACGCACATACAAATCATTGAGGCGGTTAAAGGAAGTTCAAAGAATACTCAATGCATTAGGATTTTAGGCAACACCCCGATTTCAAGCCGCTCAGGCTGTTTCTGATAGCATGAGAACCATCTCGTTAATTTGTCTGATTCATGCACTGCTCGCCTCCGAGTCGTGCACTACTTTCTACTACTTTTCGATAGCATCAGAACATGCCTGTGGGATACGGTGCATTCTGCTTTCGCATTTGGTATCAGTAAGCCCGTGATCGCACTAGCTTTTCCTCATACGATCACAGTATAAATTTAACTACAGTGAACTCTCACTTGTTCGGAGTACTGTGCAGTGTGGCGGTTCTGCTCGCCTCCGGCGTTACCGGTAGGGCCCCATGATGAAGACACGCGATAGCGTCGCTGGTCATTTGAGCTTATCTTGATCAATGGGCGCATGCGAACAAGACAATGGTGCTGATGGATATGCAGTAGGCCGGATCGGACCCAACTCGACTGGTAGGGTGTATTCTTGGCGCAAACGCGGCCATTGCACAGGGTATCGGAATACTTTACCGACCGCCATCATGCTGAATCCACCTACAATAGACATCAGTGTCAAATATTGACCCTAATCGGCCCCAATTTAAAGAGTCCATCATACGTCACCCCTCTCTAACTAGCCCCAGTCTTTGGTTAACATGTCTAGTGGTGAAAACTCGACGGCTGCCCTCTTTCCCCTCAGCCCTAGCCTCATTGTTGGACCTGTAGAAGCAGGGTGTATTGCAAATGCTTTCATCACAGGATGTTTCTTTGTGCAAACATATGTCTACTTTACACGGTTTACAAGAGACAAGACATTATTCAAGCTTGTGGTATGTATGATTTAATGGCGGTGAATATGTTACTGAGTACACACGGGACCTTATGCAGGTAGTTATCCTGCAGTGCGCCGATTTCTTCCTGAATATTACGAGAAGCTGACCCCTGAGTCTGGACAGGCTGCTAGAAACGGCCCATCTCTTCGCGGTGTCGGCTGTTCTATGGCAGATGACGATCGTAGCAATGGATGACCCATCCACGCTCCTTATCCTATCAAATGCAGAAGTCGCACTCATGCTCCTCACAATATGGATGGAGTTTGTCTCTCAGGCAAGTGCAACCCACGTCGTCATTGTGGCTCTCACTCACACACCACAGACATTTTTCCTTTATCGCTTATGGTTGATTTCTTCTGCCAAAATTCCGACTCTGTTCGGTGTAGTATTGTCAATTCTTTCCCAGGTCACAGGATACCTATCTATGGCGAAGTTCTTTACGGTCCGGGAGGTGCTGCAGTATGAGGCCGAAACACGGACTACGCTCATTCTTACATTTACAACGAAAGTCGCGTGCGATGTATGGATTGCCTCATGCATTGCGATATACCTTTGGAGCAAGCGTCGATCGTCTGGCTTCTCAAAGTACGTGTATGCTCTCTCATGGTGATGACATACCTTGACGACATGCTTTCCAGGACTCGTAGAAGCCTCGATACACTCATCCTCTGGTCGGTCGGTGAGTTTCTCCCCAGTTATTGACCAGCCGCCTTCAGCGTTCTGACACAAACGTACAGAGACGGGGATGTGCACTAGGTATTCTACTCAGTGTAAAGCCGTCTCATGCGTGCTCACCAGCCTCCTAGCGTTATTGGTCTACTCGTACTTGCTTTGGTACTTAATATATTTTATGTTATTGAATCTCTCTGCTAACTTACTCTCTGCTAGTTCTTGTCAGAAGGCACCACAAGTAAATGGCTCTTGCTTGATACTTGACATCCTCTGACATTAATGTCTAGGTATATGGATTGGGGTGTTCCTAGTCTCCGGATCGAGTAAGCATTCTAGAAATTCCCGCTGAGCGTGTCCTTACCGTTTTCCAGTATATGCCAACACGATAATGGCAGCGTGAGCGTTTGAATACTCACATCGCTTTTCACATTGCTAAAGTTGATAATAATAGCATGAACGGTCGGTGGTTGATCCAGCGCCGTGTAGATCGTGTCTTTGAAGTACATAGTGGCCGTACAACGGAGTCTTTTCCGATGTCGACTAAGGTGCATTTCACTATCTCTTTCCTGCAGGACACCAATTTACGTGGTTGTACTCATCAGGGTCCAGTTGTTAACATTGAAGAAGATGTGATTGTGCACGAGAGTCAGTAGTTTTACTCTGAAGTAGACGGGAGGAGGTCCTGGAATTTTACGTCAACGTCAATGAACAATCATATATCATGTTACCTCTTATCACTACATGCTTCACGCTGTTATTCAAGCTTATCCAATCAACTGCGATATACTGACAATATATACTCTCCAAACAAACCGGCCCAGATCAGGAACCCGATGGTACTGTTTGCTTTGAATATATCGCCGCAACTGTTAGGCACATGCAGATCCACTGTGCGGAACTGCCAGGCAAGATGTAACACAACTCCCACCACTGATATCACATAGTACAATGGCCCGGAGTCCGTCAACAGGCCTGTGACGATGAGGGAGCTGACGAGGCCAACAGCAAACATCCTCAGCAACGGGAGGATCCATTCTCCAAAAAGGAGCGCGGTCGACTTGATTCCAGCCTTGCGGTCATCATCCATATCTTGACACGCGTAAATTGTATCGTATAGAACGGTCCAGCTGATTGAAGTTGGGGTAAGACACGTGAAGACACACAATGTGAGATACAACCAGTCACCTACCACCAACTTCCACTGAGCAATGCAGAAAGTACAGGCAGATCCATTGATCTGGCTACCGCGGCCCACGCAACAGGCAAGCCCCAGTTCATGGCCAAGCCAAGCCATGCTTGTGGCCAGTTGGTCCACCTTTTCAAAAGAGGATAGACATGGTGGCTAGCATTAGGGAAGCACAATTTTCAGCCCTTCGATTCATAAAGGAGTGGCGTGCTTACAGCGGAAATAACCCGAAGATAGCCCACTGCCAGCTGAAACATTAGATAAGTCTCAGCGGTCTGGATCGCACGACATAGTAATCGAATACTCACGCTACCTTGTTCATGAGTGCTGAGAGTGCTAAGCACACCACCAGCTGCATCAGGTAAAATACAATAGCATTCTTCGTGGCCACCCTGCCACTAGCAATTGGCCTGCTCTTGCACCTTTCTGGTAAGTATTTCAGTAGATTCGACCAAGAATCAGCCTCCGCACTCAGTGATGTTGACCAAAGTCGCGATCTCTGACGAGGTCGCGGTTTGATGAAGGGTGCTGGACTCACCAACTTGTCGATCAAAGTCACGATCCAGAATATCATTCAGCGTGCACACCGTGCTACGCGTGAAGAAGGCCCCGAAAAAGAACACGAGGAACAAGACCGCATATCTTGTGAGAGGAATGACCTGCTGTCTAGCGGCCAGCGACAGTCCCCACGCTTCATTTGGCATACGTGAGTGATTTACGATTAATATTATCACTGATTGGTAACTGAGACCATATACCGAACGGCCAGAACATGAGCCAAGTTCCTACAGGCTTCCAATGAAAAAGAAAGTGTCATGCTATGCACTGTTTCGTCGATAGATAATAGCAAACCTTGTGCACGCGCATGAGCTCCAAGTATGGGTGCATATCTTTGAGAACCATTTTTGGCGTTGCTGGTGAACGAAATGAATCTTTGCGAACCAGAAATCGACGACGTTGGGGTTAGTTATGAAAGACAAACGGATCAAGGAGGGGAGGCTGTTTTCCACTACCACGTAAGCTTCGAGTACGCTTATATTTGCGCCCTCTTGAATGTGTGAAAGGTCCGGGTTTCAAGGAAACACCCCTACATTAACTTTGAAGTGACATCAAAAGAATATAGTCGGCAGCTATGCACCCATCTAAGTTGCGCTCTAGCTGGATCGCGATCATATACCCCACAGAGAGTGGGCTAATCTACGTAATCATTTAGATTGGGTCATGGGAGCATCGAATTTCTGATGTCTTGAACGTACCTGGAAAAGGGTCCCAAATCAGGGCCTTCAACGGAACGCCGCGCGGTTAGTGCACGTTTCTGTCGCATTTATAATTGTTCACTCCGAAGAGTACGCCGGATCTATGGTCAGTTCTTCAATCCAAAACTGACAAGTATCTGAAGATTCTCTTTCCACGATAACACCTCGAGTTGGTGCTTCCAAGCGGAATGTCCATGGTCGTCATCAGACGCCGAACTCATGCAATGGTCAGCCGAGATTACAAGTGCAACAGATGAAGGGTACTTGCCCGCGATCAACGGCTTTTGGTGAGTCAATCTACACCTGACTTTTACAATGTGGGTAGATTCGTACTGTACGTAGTACAAGTAAAGCCCGGAAATGGCATGATTTTTTCGATGAGGCGTCACACATTTGTGAAGGAGGGCATTATTTAACTCCTGGCACAGAGGAGAGATAATACTCTTGGGTAAGCTTTAAGTTCTAGTTGCTTTGTAAGCCAGCATCCACGAAAGTCGAGCATCGGAAGCGCCCCCCCTACCGCGTGATGGAGAAAACGAGAAGTCGTATAGGAGCTAGTTTGTGGGTGCTAACGAGTCTTTTTCGACATGGTTCATGAGGCCCTCAGAGTAAGCAGTAAAGGCTTCGAAACTGGTATATTGTTGATAAATGGAGTGGCCCATGACGTCCTCGAGGAGGTCCCAAAAGTTCCCGGCAGTGGCGGTGGCATCCGTGATGCAACGCATGGGGATCGAGGCGGTCGTGGACGCAGTCCTCACTTCTACCGCTCGGAGACCACGGGATAGGCGATGTTTTGCCGTTCTTCTGGCGACATTCATGATGAATGGCCGCGGCAGCATACAAGGGTGTGCTCGACACATCTAGGGGAAAGTGGTCAGGAACGGTGATAGAAAAAGAGGAGATTAGACTCACGAGAGAAGCTTTCTCCGCGAGAAGAAGGGTGCTGGAGGCCGCCGATTGATTCCTCCTGGGAATCGTTCTGGGCGATAGTGTGTGCCGTAGGAGATGGGAATAGACTGTGGGTATCGACGACACGTATGACGGTAGAGGCGGGATAGATTGTCGTTATAGACTGCGAAGTATCTTCCTGCTCATAGAGGGCCGAAGGATATGAAATTGCGAGCATCTTCGTCCGCCTGACGAAGGGCTTGGATAAGATTTTGGGAAGAGGCGAGACCTGGAGAGGGATACCGCGGGAGGAGCGACTGGCTGGGGAGCGGCCTTGGGTGGGAGAGAGGAGACTCGGGGATGAGGAGTGATAATGGGTTGAAGGGAGGAAATCTGGGGCGGGAGACGGTGGAGAATGATATTGTTGTTGGCGGGAGGTAGAGGGATGTGATTGCAGGTGCCTTTGGCGTGCACATCAGGCGTGTGGTCGTGGTGAGCCTGGCGGTCCTTGAGACTTGAAGGCGTTCCAAGACTTCGATGACTTCCTTCTGCCATTGTCGTTGTGGGCGGCCTTGAGATGAGCTGGCTTGGTTTGTTTTCGCGATTTGGAGAGGTAGATGGTAAACTTGAACGCCATGACGAGAAGAGAATACGAGATATGGGTGGGGTTGACTGCTACTGCGGAGTGGTAATGCGATGAGGTGAAGGAGCTCCCTGGGTCCGCGCAGAGATTGAATCAGAGAGGGGACCGGTAGCCAATCGAATAAACAAGTGACGCAATCCGAGCCAACTGACATTCCTTCTACACGCATTGGAATGCTACATGTAGACGCGTCGTAGCGAGCGATTCGCCCTAAATCAGCATAATCAGCGGAGGTCCCTGAACACCAACGGAATAAGAAAATAACATGCCCAAGTATGTCAACTCGCCAATCACAGCGAGTCGATACACTGCCCAAGCTCGAAGTTCGAAATAGCCTCCGGGAGGCTAGGATGGTACGCGTTTGAGAGGCGATCGAATCACGTGCGACAAGATCAATTGCACTGGCAATCATTGCGATGTTTACCCTGCAAGTTCTTGACTCCTAACCGATGTGGACCTGAAAAGCGAGCTGAAGTTTAGACGTCATGCATGTATCCTTAACGCATATTACTACCTTTAGGCCGACGGCTAAAACCAGTACCAATCACCCGCAGAGTACATGCCCCAAGCCAGCTTATCTTCGGTGTCTACGTCTTCATCAACTGTTCGCAGCGAGCCATTCACGCATCAATTACCTATAAGGGCGTATGTTTAGTAAAGTCGTACCTTCACCAGAACGCGTCAAGTCGCATGTTCGTGAGGGAGGTGAACAAACTACCGCAGGAACTGAACTACTGTTTGAGGATCATGCACAACGCAGGTCGTGGATTAAGAGTGCCTGCCTTAGTCGCTCTGCCAGTTATGTCCCAGGATGGTGTGGGCTCTGGTGACACATACGAGCTACACATTTCGCCAGCGAACGCGTGATCCACGAAAGAATAATAATCCATGTGAACGACACCGCACCCGGACCGCTGCTCGAAGTCAATGCCAAATAGGAGCGCGAAGAATTGAGGAGCAGGCTTAGAGGTGAAGCAAAAGTGAACGAAGCCCGCCAAGAATTATTGATGATATTCGCCACCTGCAGGGTATGTCTGCAAGAGGTTCACGAGTCACCGTACCTAAAAACCCTTCCTCATTCCTCAGCCCACAAGCGTAGCATGGGTTAAAGACGTTGCTCACCCCCAGACCGCCAATCAACACTACCATTCCATCTGTCCGCTCCTCACTGCGACAAACCGTTGGCCGAACCTAGTGCGTCATTCGACTAGAGCCTTGCATCGAGCACATCATGGACACCTTCTCGTCGTAAGCGCTAGAGCCTGTACCAGATTTCGGAGCACTTACTCATTCTGCCGTGTTCAGCGTAGAACGGCTTCGCGTTAGTAGCTGAAATCGTTATTGCTGTGGGTTGTGAGAGGAGAGCATAAATCCGGACTCCAGACGTGCATGCATCACATACAGCACCTAGACAGAGACTCGATAGCGATACTCCGTGAGGCGACCAGCATAGGCAGAGGATAGTAGCTCTCCAAAAAAGAGCAAGTATATTCAAGTTGAAGATGGAGCATGCAAATAGAGTACATTCAAATCACCAGATGGAGAACGATGCTGGCCATCGACGAGCCCACTCCCATTCCCTGCTTCATCCAGCTGCATCCACGACGCCACGCGACGCCAAACGTTCCAATCCCCGCCGGCTTCTTCCGGTATCCCCGATTCCCGATCCGGCACCCCGGACCGTTCGTCCAATCATAGGCTTCGTCTTCTTCCTCCCACCAACCTCCCTCTTTCGCGATGCACAACCACCTTCTCTTCCTCACGGTCGCGTCTCAAGTCAGCTCGAACTGAAGCCCTAAATCGAACCTCCCCGCGATCTCCATCCTACATGAACTACCCCACGTCCAAAGTTAGCTCGTGTGCCGACCAACGCGTCACCACCCACAAAATCCTCACGAGCCTCGGACAGTGCGTATCGACAGGAGGATCGCTGGTGCTTCTGAGCTGTTCTATTTGTTTTGGACACTCCCAATCATGCAAATAACTTGACATACCATGCTCCTTTCCCGAATCTAAGTGTAGATACCGCCACCGAGCTAAGCAGCGAATCATTGGGAACACTTTGCACAACGCACACGTATATTGGGTCGCCCACATCCATAGTATCGCTGACACAGGACCTGAGAGAACGGGATCCAAACTATCCAAGACTATACGTACAATGTAGTATATCCAAAACCGTAGGTATCGACCAAAAAGATCTGACGGGCACAAAACGTGAAACGAACGCAGCGAACGCGGCACACCCAGCACTCATACTTTTGATGGGGAGGCTCGTTCCGTAGACCAGTACCTTTTACAAACATATTCATCAGCATCAAAGTGCGGCGTTTACTTACTCCAGCCATACGTCTTATCGCTGCCCGAGGTTTCCAGCTCTATCTCGCCATCCAAACTGGTCCCCTTCGTAGTCTCGATAACTCGCTGGGACTCGACTTCTACGAAAACCTGTCATGCGAGCGGTGAGGCCACGGTACCAAAAAACCGGAGGGTATCCATTCGCTTACACAGGGAGGTCGCTGGTTGCTACCTTGATGGTTCATCAGTTCTATGTTGTGGGGCTGGCACATGAACGTAAGGGATCGCTCATGGGTGGGGCTGAAGTGAGCTTACCGTAGACCTGTCCTGAGAACGATCATTCCAAGACGGCTTGCCACTCTCAGCTGCCTCCCTGAAGTACATACGAGCGTTGAGCGTAGACATGATACAGTTCGAGTACAGGTTGGCCAGGTTGTAGTTGAAGATCAGATGGCTAGAGTTCACGTTAGCTGATGGCCATAAGTGCTGGAAAGCATCCTTACTATCCGTCGGTCTGGTAAGGTGAGTTAGTATTCCGCGCATGCATGCGATGTCGTAATGGGACGTACGCTAGTAAGGAAGAGAATCAAGTCTACCGTGGCCCAGACTGCCGTTATCATACCGGTCTGTACGGTAACTAAATAACACTGTCAGCGGATTACTCCATGTAGTCAGCATATTATGACCTACGGGCAATGATCTTGTCGATTATGGTGTCTGATCTCCTGAAGCCTTGTTTGTGGGTTTGCTATACGGATGTCATCAGTCCTACGAACCTCGACAGAACAAAGGGCAGCATCGCGCTCACTAGATGATACACCAAAGAAGCAGTAACGACGCAGTCGCAGATCGCCGCGCTCGCTAGCCACAGAATGACAATAACCTCGAACCTCTGGAAGTTTTGAAACTCGGGCACAATCTGACATGCGATGGCCGTCCCGACACCGCACACTTCCCAACATAAGGCGAGTTAGCCAAAGCGTGAAGCACCTGAGAAAGAGTACTCACGTCCTTCCGACACGAGAAAGAAGACAATGACGCCGAATGCCCAGTTATTGCGCGTGAGGTTCTTGACTCTCCACGCAAAAAACGCTTGAACCGTAGCTCCGATGATTCCCTGTTCAGAGCTATTACGCCAATCCGACGCTAGTCAAGCCTCGCGATCGACCTACGTTCAATGCGGGATCTGTGTTAAACACTAGAGCAGGATTCAGTGAAGTCGGACGTTTAGAGTGCGAAAGAACAACATACGCCAGTTTGCTGCAGCTATGTAGCTGGCATCTCCTGAGTATTGTCGTCAGCAGCGCCTTTTTGTCGGAGGCAGAGACCTACCGAAGTGGATGACCAGGTTGTCGTAAATGTAAACCATGTCAAAGACTACCTTTACCGTATCCGCGATGAGAAGAAACCCGACCTATGTGATCGTCAATTCGAGTAATGGAAGATAAGTCGAAGTAGTGCTCACGAAGAGTTGTATAAACATGCGGTCCCTATGTGGCTCTAATCAGCAACCTGTTTCCTTGGACAAGGTTAGATGCTTACTTCTTGAATGTCGTATAATAAATAAACGCTTGCGTGCAGCGAACGCCATAGAGAATAAGGTTGATGAAGATTCCTATGAGAATCGGGCCTTGCCTGGAAGAAGTCAGCTGAAAGCCGTTCCTCTGCGAGAAACGCTGACTTACGCGGCTTCAGCAGGATTGGCCATGGTGGGAGTAGCGTGGTACTAGGGAATGGAAAAGAGGTCGATCTCGAACGGAGCAAGGTACGTGGGGAAGTGTCCGTGGCAGGACCCACCTAAACATTGAACATGAGGCTCAGGTGAGGTTTATGTATCGCCCTGACGGACCGGAGGGCGAAGTAAAACGAGTAGAAAGAAGAACCGCGCCCAGAAAGACATGGATACCAGTTCAGTGACATGCAGAGGTCTGGTACGCGACAAACGCGGCGCAGAAGAAACCTAATGCGTTTCAAGCTATATTTGGAGACTTGGAATCGCACAGAATCAAGCAGTCGCTGGCGGAAAATCCAGGGCAGCAACGCCGCTGCGCAGTTGTTTATGCCGACACTGCTACCCTCGACTCGATAGTGCTTGAAGAACGCTTACGTTCGTGGTTGGGATTTGAAAAGATCTTCCGCCTATTAGAACGAGACAAATCAAAGGAAGACACTTGCTCTTTTGCAGTAGAAATGGTCAGCAAATGCCATAGCTAGCAGCTAGGGCTCGCGTTCAGATCTCAGATAACGCGAAAATTCTCAGAAGGGAGCCATAGCGTTTCAAAGAAGTACATGCATATGCTCGGCAAGACCGGTGATGCGTTCCTGTTAAAGTTTTCAGGGTAAGGAATATGTGGAATGCATACACTGGAGTGGGCAAACACTTACCGTAATCGCGAACCCCGCAGTACCGCTGAACAGGGTCACGGTCTTTCCCGCTTCATGCATTCGTGGCGGTATTGGATATTGAAATCAAGAGTTGTGAAATGCGAGGGTTCCAATAGACAAGGTCCTGTGGGAAAGCTTGGAGCGTTCACGCGCACATCGGATGCGAGGTCTACACAGATGCACCTGTACTTCAAAGTTCAAAGTATGATTGGTGTTGACGACAAGCTTGAAGTGAAGCGTCGTCGTTGCACGGTTTTACCCAACAGCCGACGGCTTCGGAAACAAAATGTTATAACTCCGATGTCCGATTTCCGAAAGGTAGCGCCGATATTCCTGGACGCTGCTGCTTTTGCAATCTCCATCAACACCGAAGTTCAAACGTTTACATTCAGCACATTAGTATCAAGTCACATTCGAACTCCGTACCTGCGAATCATCATGCCAAAACCGCTTCAACCGCTGGCTTCCCTTTGCTCTTGGGCGCAAATGGGGGCGGCGCTGCCGGTAATTGGCTGCCAGCTCTCTGCATCCTGCCAATCGGTGATCTCAGTCCCGGCTTTCCCCATAGCATTCAGTCGTTTGTAACCGTTCTGGCAGCTCATACAGTTCCAAGCTTCGATTCGATGACGTTGACAGCTTTTGCGTCTTAGCTGCATTCTCGGTCAATCGCGTGATGCGTTGCCGTCGTGCAGAGCTTTGTGGTTGTCCCTGGCGCGCCCATTCCGATCTTGAATTGGAATCCTAGAGACCGGGTTCTTTGCTCCTCTCTCCGCCTTTCTGATGCGCAAGATGTCGCCCGACGCCGCAGGAGTATAGAAGAGTATAGATAGAAGCTTGGAGATGGTTTGAGCGGGCGTAAGGGTGCGCAAGTCAGGTGTCCTATTTTGGTAGTGAGTCTTCTCAACTTCGTAAACAAAGGATGTCTTATCGTGAGCTATAGCAGCGCCAAGGGGTTTCATGGTAGCCGGCGAATCGCGAAGCTCTTTTGAATCTTGCTGATCTCGGGTAGACGACTCCGATGCTTGCGGTCGTTCCTACCCCCCTCCCCAAAGCAACCCGGCCGGCACCCGCTCCCACACATCCGAAGATTGCCCTCTAAGAACCCAAGAGTTGTGAGACAGGCTGTTTCAGTTTTGTGATTTGGCTGAGCGTGGCAAGAAGCGCCGCTGTCACCGTTTGTCCGTATAAAATAGACAGCTCTGATGGTAGGCGTTTCAACTTTTCAGCCGGATTCCTTCTTCTCTTTTACTAACGACGATGCCAGGCAACATAAACGTAAACGAGGTTTCTGGTAAAAGCTTCGATTTTATTGTAGTCGGTGAGTACGATATTTGAACCATCCATTGGTATGATCGCTGATCATACTTCTGTAGGCGGCGGCGTACGTTACCAATCCCACATGCACATCATCAGGGGGACTCACGACCTTCCACACAGACGGCAGGTCTCAGGCTAGCCGAGAAGCTTACTCGGGAGACGCAGTTTAACGTTATCGTCTTGGATGCGGGGGACATTAGTCTAGAGGATCCTAACATCTGTGCGTCTGTCTGTCTCATTCCTAATCCACTGACAGTCCCGACACACGTCATCAGTACTTCCCGGTCAATATGGCTCTCATTTCGGCCAGGATCAGTACGATTGGAATTTCCAAACGGCAAGTTGTCGACAAAGCTCTCGCAATACATGCCTCTAACGTATATCATCTATAAGACCTCGCAAAAATGGAGTAACAACACCAAGTTTGCATGGAACAGGTACGCTTTTTGGGCTTACAGCATGGTCTGATTTGCTAAAATGCGCGTTAGGGGAAAGGTTCTCGGAGGAAGCTCCGGTATCAACTTCATGTGTTGGACCAAGCCGCCCAAGGAGGAAGTCGACGGTAGGCATTGCGATCCTACATGCGCAAGTTGGACTGATCATCATACTAGACTTGGAGCGGCTCGGTAACCCCGGGTGGAACTGGAACAACTTCCAAGCCGCTGTCAAAGATATTGAAGGGTACGAGCGAACCTGCTTCGTTTCTTTTCCCCTGTCTGATGGTCCTCTCGCCACAAGCTATACGCAACCTACATCTAAGTCCACGGCCGCTCATGGGCTGAACTTTCAAGACTGGGATATTGGAACCGATGGTGGGCATTCTTTGGTTTGAATTTGACTTGTACTGACGTCGATGCGTGTGTCAGGCCCTATTAAGTTGTTCCACCCGGCAACAATCTCGCAACCCGAGATCAAAGCTTATGAGGCATAGTGGTTACGTACACTCAGAGACATGCCCGACTAACCTTCACATCATGTAGACGATGGTCAAGCTGGGCATCCCAAAAGCTCCTGCACCGGTAAGCGCCATTTCACGAGGAATATTGCTCAAGTCGCTAAGCAATGTTACTCATTCAGATGTCTGGGAATGTAAGTACATCAAGTCCTGCGTTATGCCTTAGCTAATAGCGACATGATAGCCCCGAGGCGCTTACTTCGCGCCCAAGACCATCGACCACAACGGGTATACCCGCAGCTACTCAATGACGGTATGTGTTGAAGCTTCTGCGGTAGACCATTCGCTCAACACGATGCCCTCAGGCTTTCTACTTTCCTCACGTCAATAGGTCGAACCTTAAAGTCCTCACTCGCGCTTACGTCACTAAGCTGATGACGTCGGGGCAGGGTACGCTCACCGCAACCGGCGTTGAGTTCACTCACGACGGCAAAACATATGTCGTTAATGCGTCGAAGGAGGTCGTCCTTTGCGCAGGGTATGTGCTCAGATGACATATCTTAACTCGTGTTGAAGGATCATCTAGGGCCCTCAAGTCGCCGCAGATACTCGAGCTGTCGGGTATTGGTCGGCGTGACGTCCTTGAGTCCATCGGAGTACCCCTGAAGCTCGAGCTCCCTGGTGTTGGCGAAAACGTACAGGAACATATGTTCACGGGCCTATCATTTGGTAAGCAGGTCTTGTTCAACTCATATGACATCCATTGACGACGACACCAGAGCTCAAGGACGATGTCAAGGATATCACTCTGGACGTGTTGCGGGACCCCGAAGCAAGGAAAGAACAAGTCGAGCTCCAGTGAGCTACCTTCCTGTGCACCCGTCTGTGGAGTTTGCTGACATGACCCATTTAGCAAAAAAGCAGAAGGAGCGTTCACGCTGGCAATCACAGGCTTCGCGTTCACCCCTATGCACGCCATATCCGACCGCATCAAGGACGTATACGCCCTTGCCAAGAAGAAGATCCTGGACGAATGGGATACGTACTCGCCGGGTCTGCAGGAGCAGTACAAGATCCAGCTACAGAGGCTCGAGGATCCCAACAGCTCTCCTGGCGAATTTGTCCTTGTCCCAGGATTCCTGAGCCACCCGAGTAAGTCGTGCTCTGGGGTAGTGTCTGGCTATGATAGGTACTGACTTGGCGTTCAGACCCTCCCAAGCCCGGAAAGAAGTACTTCACAATTCTGCTGTGTCTCAATCATAACTTCTCTCGGGGAACTATCGTACGCCAGCTCCATCTAGTCAACCTTGCGAGGGCTAACACGTGTACTATAGCACTCGGTATCGTCTGACCCCAATGGGAACCCGGAATGCGATCCTCATTACTTTGAGCATGACGTCGGTATGTGGAAAGGGACCCGTTCGGTTGCTGGTTACGTGTTCTCAGCTCTGCTGTAGACCTGCAGACGTTCGTCGAACTCGCCAAGTTCGTGCGAAAGATGGCTAAGACCTCGCCACTCCGCGATATCCTCGGTAAATCATCCTAGTTCTTATGCTCCATCCTGTACTCATATCCTCTGTCAGTTGACGAGCCTGAAGTCAACCCAGGTCCAGACTGTGACGATTCGCAGCTCGCAGGTACGTTTTCGCTTGAGATCACGGTGGATATATTTGGCTGATTCAATCTCCAGACTGGCTTAAGACGACGAGTGCTACTACATATCGTACGCTTCCTAGCCTTCAACTAAGTCAAGGTCTCTGATATCTTATGTTCAGACACGGTGGGGAGTTTGTCGATGTTGCCTAATGATAAGGGTGGTGTAGTCGACCCCAACCTTAAGGTGATATACTACTGCAAACAATCATCAACTCTAGTTATTGAACTCCTCGGGTTTGCCTATCTAGGTATACGGCACTACAAATGTCCGAGTCGCTGACCTCTCGATCATTCCGCTCCATTTCGCGTCACACACTCTTAGTACGTGCATCCACTTGAACCTTTGGTTCGCAGTGAAGTAACATTATGCGTTGCGGTCTCTCTAGCAACTGCATACGCGATCGGTGCTCAAGGTATGCCAGGTTGTCGTTCAAGCAATGTGTCGTGACTGACTCTCTGTCTGTAGCCGCTGACATCATCGCTCGCGCTCATAAATCATAAATAGAGCTACCTCTGGTTCTAAACGGGGTTGGAGTCTGCTTTCAGCTAAGATACCCACAGATCCTAGCACGGCAAATGTAACATTTTTGTCTATCTGATCCTTCCTGTAAGCTGTCACACCTCGAAGCAGGACCCTTGTTTGGTAGTACTTATGTGCTTTCAAAGTATGTGTCACGTAGTCTCAAATAACAAGGATACAAATACAATTCCACCACGGTGATGGTAATGTACTCGGTGAAATGCCTCAAATGCATGCCCATATATCATTTAGACTGTGTTGTGTGAGACAGGTCAGGAACAGTCCTAGATTGGGGCCAGTGTTGGTGTCCGGTGGGTAAGCATGAATTATCTTAGGCATATCTCGGGAATGTTTTAGATAATGGTCGCAAATCGCCGGCAGATGCCATCGGCTGCGGCCTGACCATGGCGGTTAGTCGATAATACTCAATATTAATACCAATTGTGTGGTGATTCATGATGCGCCTGTGTGATGCCAAAGCAGATATCTAGGGTAAACGCTACTGTGCAAGTTTTTGAGTCCAAAAGATGAACTGGAACAGATGCCATATTATTTTCAAGTTCCCTGAGGGTTTCCTGAGCGCGGAAGAACCTATCGGGGTCAGTGAACCCGCTCTGAACACTTTCCTTGTACATTCCCCCTGAAATCAGCCTGACTCATGCGAAACTGACTTGACATCAGGTCATCTCTAGTTACCACATGGATGCCCCACAATCATGGAGATTAGTGGCATCTTTCATAAACGAAATACGGACTACCATACCCAGGGAGCCCGAAGGTTGTACATTCTTCACCGTGACATCAATCCTTTGCGACGCCAGTAGTCAAGCCACCTCCGCACATTATCTGCGCCGAGCGGCTCGCACTCGGCATCCGCCAGCACAGAACTCGCCTTCAACTGCGTGCAATCGAGTTTAGCAAAACCCATCGCGTCACCTGCTGTCTTGTCTAATGCGAGTCCCTGGAAGAACGTGAGCAGCCGCAAGGCCCGGAGATCCGATACGTCCGCGTCTCTCGCCTCGCCGTTCAGCGCCTCGAGCTTGGACAGCCATTCCTTGTACGACACCATAGGCACGTTCAGGGCCGACGAAAAAGGCGCCGCAAGGCTGGAGAACTGGACCGGATGGGGGTGGATGAGGTGGACGATGCCGCTCCGAGGGCGATATGTAGACCCTGTGAGCTTGACGAGGAGAAACGCAGCGACGGATGTTGGAATCCATGATACCGACTAGGCATGTACATGCGATCAGCAAATATAGTACATTTCAATTGAGGCAAAACCAGACACATACCTTCTCCTCGGTTGGGAAGCACCCCGTCGCCTTCACGCTTTGAACGAGGGCGGGAAACCATTCCTTCGTGTTCCAGCTACCTGTGTTTGCCCCTCCGCATAGTTGTCCCACTCGCACAATAAGACTATTGAACGAAGGCACTTGTGCGGACACGCGCTGCAGTATCTGTTCCGTGATCCATTTTGACTCTGCATATCCGCTGCCCGCTGCAACTTCTGCGCCGACGTGGGCCTCGGGAACGGCAGTTTTACCCTGCACGTCTGAAAAAAGCGTTCAGGAGCACGAACGGGTCAGGTTTAAGTGAAGCCTACTTTGTAGTACCCCTATAGAGCTCGTGAAAACGAACTTCGGGGGTGTTGCAAGCGGAGAGCTGAGGGAGAAATCGACCAAGCGCCGGACAGATCGTAGGTTCTCGCCGAAGGCATCAACTTGGAGATTAAAGTTGACTATCCAAGCTACAGCCAATTTCAGTAGACGTAGTCGCCTTGGGGTACTAGAACATACCGTTATGTACAATGTGGGTGACATTCTTTGTGATCTATCAATGGCGACATTCACATCAGCATGTTAATATCAAATATTACAGTGGGGATCATACCTCTTGATACGTCGCCTCTCCGACCCCAAAATTCTCGGCGAGAACATTTCCCTCCAAAAGCTGCAGCTTCTCTGCTTTCAGAAGCGCCGTATCCAATTCCCACTCTTCGAATGCTTGCGTCTGCCGTACCTCAATCGCCTGCCCGCTTGAGCTTGCCCGGTTCAATGCATACACACGCGTGACTGCAGGATCCTGGATCAAAGACACCAATGTCTGGCTTCCAAATGTCCCCGTCGTGCCGGTAACGAGCACGACCATTCCGTCCGGCTGCGAAGACGAACGAGGCTGATGCACTGGTAGGGCTTCGGAAAGATGCTTGTCGACCAAGGACTGCATGAGCAAGGCCCGCTGCCTGAGGTCGATATTATCCTCTGTGCCTTGTCCGCATACGAATTTCACGACGAATGTAGCAAGAGCCGAGATGGACGTGTTCATGTAGACCATGTTCTCCTTGACTGAGCGCGTATCAATATCAGAGGAGTCGCGCAAAGCGCGCAGAATGGAGTTTCGAATCCAAGTGGCCTGTAAACTTTAGACGAATTAGTCTTAGTGAAGCTACGAAGGAAAAGTCGCTTACCTGTCACAACCATGCTGGAAAAGGTCTACGTCATCGGGTATCTCTTGTCCAAGCGCGGAGTAGACAATTTTTCGCACGAACGATAGCGTCTGAGCCTGGCTCCACTCGGAGGGCGGCGAAATTCCGCTCTGGGTACTTTCGTGTGCGGAGGAGTACGCCTTCTCAATCTCTTCCTCGTACGTATCGATGATAGCCTGCCGCCTGGCCGTATTCTTTGCTGTGTAAGTGAATGGTTTGGACGGGCTTGCGACGATGATCATCTGCTCAAATATTTTGAAAGTTTATTCGATTAACTAATTGGCTTGCAAATGTGCTCACCTCTTTGAAGATACGCGAGTGTTGCGGAGCATATGCGTTCATAGCTTCAACAGTCGGCCTTGGTAGAAAGTCTACATCAAACAAGCACTGCACTTTGAAGGGAGTGAATGTACCATATCAGGTTACGGAACTCGGCGAGCTTGACCTCGTCCACCGGGTCAAAGCGCGAGTTCGGGGCGGGGTCAATGAGAACGCCAGCTTGGAACTTCCCTCGCCCGAACATGACTGAGGACAATACGTGTTTGTCCTGGTTGAGCATGTTCTCTGATATGGCAGTGAGCAGGACGAATAACGCTACTGCAAACATTGTTTACCTAATGGTCCCGGGTTTGTCTGATCCACTAATGAGTCTCATGTGTATTATCGGAGAGAAACCAAAGCTGACCTTTTCTCCAGTACTATGCATTATCTGGTCGTCAGTCCTGCCAAAGACTTTCCAGAGCCCTGGCCTGGTAGGATGGGGGGTGATAAGGTCGGAGGTCGCATACGCCTGTATGCCATTAGATTTCGTGTTTAGTACGTGAGGTTCAGAGAATTCATTTGGCTAGAAGCAGCTGAACTTGAGAAAACCGTTTGATTTAAAGAGCAGTTGAGACTGACCACGATGAGGAGCTCAAAGGAGTTGTTACCATATGGAACAAAGTCAGGCGTGATGAGCTTCGGAAAGGTGAAATAATCCCAATCGTAGTCGACGGTAGCTAATCGAATGTCAGATCTTCTCATCATGCAGGAAGCAGCTCACTTACCAGGTAGGATAGGGCTAATGATGCCAACTTCCGTCCTAGGAGACCATTAGGTCACACCGCGAGCCGAGACAAAGTCTACTTACAGCCCGTATAGAATGAAGATGCTGACTCCCTGCGACGTTAGATAGTCGCCAATCTCTTTGTTAAGAGGACCACCCCCGAAGAGCTACAAATGTTCTCATCGGCTTCTATGTCACCGCTAAGGTCATTATTGACTTACCACACCAGATCTCGAAGCGAGCCATTTGACGTATTCGGGGTTCGAAGCCCATTGCTGTTGCGAGGCTGAGTACGTCCCCGTTATGATGAGATATGGGTGCTTACTTCGATGATTGATGGCACGCAAAAGATAACGTTGCTGTCAGTTCCATTGGCTGCGACATACAGGTTATCCGGCGTGGGGAGAGTAGAGGGAAACACTGGCTCGAAGGCGCTTATTACGAGCCCACAAGCCGCCTAAATACGAACTTTTAGCTGACATGCTGCATTCTCTTGTGACGCACTCACCGCCCAGCAAATCTGAAGAACACCCATGCCATGGTACATTGGCATGGTATGGAGAGAGAAGATTTCCCCAGTTAAATCCCGTCCGCCAAAGAACGGAATAAGTTGCAGCATGGTAAAGCGGTAGTTGGTCCAGGGAATGTGCTTTGGAAACGAAGTGGATCCAGAGGAATGCAGTACAAGGGTGTCTGCATCGGGGCCGGCGCCCACGTAGGGAGTGACATCTGGAAGATTGACTGTGGCCTCTGATGGGGAGTAGACCTCGTCAAACTGGAGCATAGGCAGAACTTCTGGCGGTGTAACCTGAGGGTACTTAGAGCGCGTGATATCGAGCGCGTGCTGTATGAGATCCTGCATGCTCTTCTCTCGGCCTACTAGAACATACTCGATCTGTGCGCGTTCGACGAGATGAGCGACGGCCAACGGAGAGTTTCTCGGTGAAATTGGAAAGGGCACGAAGTTGCAACGTAGGCAACTCAGTAGATTCATCGCGTACGGGATCACGTCTATCACACCACTCAGCACTTATAGCGAAGGCAGTTGGTGACATCAACGAACCTGAGATAGCCAGAATACCGACAACCGGTCGCGGGTTTCTGCCAGTTGTGTGAATGCGATGCTGTAGGATCTTGGAGCCATTCAAGACAGCAGCGTTTGCCTCTGCCCAGAATATCGTTCGAACGCCTCCAATGGCGAGCGGAAACTTGAATAAGGGATGACTCGGGCTATGGGCAGCATTCCATTCGACAACTTCGGCGAGAGTTAGCGAGGCGTCGAGGGGAGGCACGTGAAAAGTGTCTGAGTCAAGAGCCTGCGTCTTTGGATGAGGAGGGAGAAGTTTTGTCGAGAGCATGTTAGACGTGCCGTTGAGTTGGTGGGACCAGCAGGCAAGCCTGCTTTTGAGATAAAGTGGAAGATCCACCGGTATTCTTTTCCGATTGTATACTCTTAGGTGCCCTTTCCTGTTCGATCAGTTCAAATATTCATATATACATTCTAGCAAATGACACTTGATGCGACTTTGTGAAAGAGCACCGTAACCTGAACTTGAAGGAGAAGATGATCGGAAGGTCGAGGGCCGTTGACCTGCACCATCGCTGCGGATCGGGTCGGATCCTCGGCTCGAATCCGACGCGCGGCGCATCCAAGTCGGATGGTCGCATGTTTGACGCATCAGGACGCATCCGCCGTGATAATACCGATCAACCTACGCCATGGACACGTCGTCAACCCGTCGCTCACGAAATCTAGAACTCGCGATGGCTGCTGCGAGTCCGCGACACTCCGAATACTAACCCAAACAAGGCTTATCCGCCCCTATTCAGGTCTAATTCACATTCATCCTCGCTACTCGGCTACCCTGAGTCAGACGATGTAATGGAATCTGAGAGAAGCTCCTTCGCTCTTCTCTTCGCCTCTCTGATATGCAAGATATCACGCGGCGCCGCAGGAGTATAGATAGAATTCGAATTTCGGTGATGGTTTGAGCGGGCGTAAGGCAGGTGTCCTATTTTGGTGGTGAGCCTTCTCAACTTCGTGAACATTTGATACCTTATCGTGTGCTATAGTAGCCCGAGGGGCTGCCTGCAGTAACCCGCGAATCGCGAAGCTCATTGGAATCTTGCTGGTCTCGGGTAGACGAGTCCAATGCTTGCAGTTCCTACACTCCTCCACAAATCAGCTCAACCGGTACTCGTTCCTACGCTTCCGAACATTGCCCTCTAGGAACCCCAGAAAATCGAGACAGACTGTTTCAGTTTGGCGACTTGACTGACCGTGGCAAGAAGTGCTAATGCAGCTGTCAGCGACGAGCGTCTATTGCGCGCTCGAAAGATGGTAGACATTCTAACTTCTCAGTCGGATTCCTTCTTCTCTATTACTAACGACGATGTCAGGGAACATCGACGTCAACGAGGTTTCTGGTAAAAGCTTCTATTTCATCGTAGCTGGTGAGTACATATGAATCATCCATTGTCTGATCGCTTACCGTATTCTTGTAGGCGGCGGCGTACGTTACTAACCTAACGCATGATCAGGGCAAGATCAGGGTGACTCACGGCTGCCTTCACAGACGGCAGGTCTCAGATCTCAGGCTAGCCGAGAACCCTACTTGGGAGACGCAGTTAACTTAACGTTCTCCTCTTGGATGCGAGGGAGGATCTGGAGACTGGTGGTGAAACTGGCGGCGAGCAGGAGCTAATGGCGGTGCATGCGCGACTGTGGGAAGTTGACTGCACCGTGGGAATCAGGGTTACAGCCGTTCAAGCCAAACGCCGATAAGCCGCGCAACCTGGACTTCCTCTTGCTCAATCTACTAATAACGTCAGTCCTGATACACATCATTAGTACTTCAGGGGCAATATGATTCTCATTCTGGACAGGACCAGTACGATTGGAACTTCCAAACGACGAGTTGTAGACGAAACTCTCGTACCACGTGTCACTAACGCGGATCACCATACCAGATCCCGCAGAAATGGAACAGCAATACGAAGTTCGCTTGGAACAGGTATGATTCTTGAAGCTGGATCGTCGCCCAACTCGCTAATAGACGCGTCAAAGGATGGGTTTTGCTGGTATAAACTTCATGTGGTGGACCAAATCACCCAAGCAAAGTATGTATGGCAAATGTGTGCGGGGAATCTGTGCTGACCACTGTACTAGTTTGGGAGCGATTTAGAAACCCCGGTTGGAACTGTAACAACTTCCAAGCCGCTGTCAAGGAGATTGAAGGGTACGTGCGTTAGGAACTTGTTTCACCCCTGAGTCCGATGTTCACTTCGCGCTTTTAAGTTATACGCGGTCACGCATGGGCTAGACTTCCAGGGCTGGGACATCAGGACCAATGGTGGAGATTATCTGGTTTGGTCTCGTTTTGGTACTGATGGCGACGCGTGTTAGACACTATCAAGCTGTTTCAACCAGCAACAATCTCCCAACCCGAGATCAAAGCTTATGAGGTACAGCGACTATGTGGTCTAGAGAAAGTGTCCGACTAACATTCAACTCATGTAGACGATGATCAAGCTGGGCTTCCCAAAGCTCCTGTGCCGGTAAGAGTCATTTCAAGGGGGATCCCGTTCAAGCCTTTAAATAATGTTACTCGCTCAGATATCTGGGAACGTGAGTAACCCACGTCCAATGCTATAGCAAAACTGATAGCGACATTATAGCCCCGAGGCGCTTTCTTCACGCCCAAGACCATCGATCATAAAAGGTACACTCGCAGCTATTCTATGACGGTACGCGTCGAAGACTCTGCGATAATCATGTGCTCATCGTAACTCTATCAGGCCTTCTACTTCCCTCACACTCATAGGCCGAACCTGAAAGTTCTCACTCGTGCTTACGTCACCAAGCTTGTCACCTCGGTACAGAGTACGCTCACAGCAACCGGAGTCGAGTTCACCCACGGTGGGAAAACGTTTGTCGTCAATGCGTCGAAGGAGGTGGTCCTCTGCGCAGGGTATATGTGCAGCCGAGATATCTTTCCTCGTACTGATGAGATCTGGGGCTCTCAAGTCACCTCAGATACTCGAGCTGTCAGGTATTGGTCGGAGTGATGTTCTTGAGTCTATCGGAGTACCTCTCAAACTTGAGCTTGCTGGGGTTGGCGAAAATGTACAGGAAGACATGTTCTGGGATCTCGTTCGGTTAGTGCTTGTTGGTCATAACATGTAACACTCGCTGATTAAGTCGCTAGAACTCAAGGATGATGTGAAGGATATTACTCTCGACGCTTTGCGGGACCCAGAAGCAAGGAAAGAACAAGTCGAACTTCAGTGAGCAACTCGCCTACGATCTCGTGTGAAGGGTTTTCATATCATCCTTCCAGCAAGAAGGCGGAAGGAGCATTCACGCCCATGAGCGCCATATCCGACCGCATCAAGGACGTCTACGCCCTTGCCAAGAAGAAGGTCCAGGACGAATGGGACACATATTCGCCGGGTCTGCAGGAGCAGTACAAGATTCAGCTCGAGAGGCTGGAGGATCCAAGTAGCTCACCTGGCGAGCTCGTACTCGTCCCTGGCTTTCTGAGCCACCCCAGTAAGCTATACTCAGGGTCACCGTAGGTGCTAGCTGCGACAGGCGCTGACTCAGCTCCCAGACCCTCCGAAGCCCGGAAAGAAGTATTTCACAATTATTTTGTGTCTCAATCATGACTTTTCGCGCGGCTATCGTACGTCATCTTCACTCAGTCATCCTTGCGTGTTTAACGCATGCGCTACAGCACTCAGTGTCGTCAGACCCCAATGAGAGCCCAGAGTGTGATCCTCAGTGCATTCAACTTGACGCCGGTATGTGAAAAGGGAATCGTTGACTTGCTGGTTCCGTGTTCTTGGTTCTACTATAGACCTTCAGACGTTCGTCAAAATCACCAAGTTCGTGAGGAAGACAGCTAAAACTTCACAACTCTGTGGCATCTTCGATACGTCGGCTTAACTGGCATGCTCCATCCTGCGCTTATATTATCCGTTAGCTGATGAGCCGAAAGTCAATCCCAGTCTAGACTGACCATTAGCAGCTCGCAGGTGCACTTACCGTTGATGTCATGAATGGTGAACTTTGCTGATTCGATTTCCAGACTGGCTCAAGGCGACGATGGTCACTATATATCGTAAGCTTCTTGGCCCTCGGCTAACACAAGGTCGCTGACGTCTTAACGCCAGACACGGCGGGGAGCTTGTCAATGCTGCCCAAGGATAAGGATGGTGTAGTCGACCCCAACCTAAAGGTAAGTACTACTGTGAGTGAATACGGGATTTAGTTACTGAAATCCTTGCCTGTATCGACCTAGGTGTACGTCACCACAAATTTCTACGTAGCCGATCTCTCAATCATGTCACTTCATCTTGCGCCGCACACTCTCAGTACGCTTATAGTTTGAGTCTTTATTTCGCGTTCAACTGATATTATGCGTTGCGACGTCTCTAGCTACTGCATATGCCATCAGTACTCTCAAGGTATGTCCGCTTGTCTTGATTCTCCATCTGTAGCCGCAGACATCACCACTCGTGCTCACATATAAAACTAACCTCGGTACTGTAGCCTCTGTTAGGGCCATACTTTCGGTTGGCGATTGCATGGGAATGGCTTACTGAAATCTTAGCTATCTGGCAAAGAACCGCTGTCTAGGTGATATCAACGGCGTGATCAATGTTGGGGGCGTATGAGGTTTTGTCCAGGGCGAACAAGGTTTAGTACGACAGTTGATGAGCACCGAGTGTTTTGCCTGGCTATTGCATGGAGGTGATGGTACAGTACCAGCATCAGACGGTCTTCCAGATCCGATCATAGGATATCATAGGATATAATAAATGATGTGACACACGTCGTCAAAGTAGTGTACAGGTGCCGGTGAAGCCTCAAGCATCAGGAGCGGCTGATAGAACAAGTCACCGGCGATTTGAAGTGATGCACGAGGGAAACAAAGTGACTGTTGGTCCGTGAAGCGCGGCGGCTTGTCCTCGAGGTACCTAGAGTTCGTGGGAGTACAAACCGAGAGAAGGGTGCACCTTCGAGCGAGGCAGAGTCATGATGACAGTTTATATGGATGTGCTGTCCTGTGTCCATCATACGATCTCCATCTCCATCTCCATCTCCATCTCCATCTCCATCTTCTGATTCATTCTTGCCAACCTAGTAGGCTGTGTAAGTTGCCCAGCTCCTTTCTTATTTTTATTCTTCCTTTTCCCCCCTAAACAGTGCAAATGAACATCGGTCCACCGTAAGCCTGTGCATATACACAATGCGCCAGGTAAAAGCTGTTCCCCTGAACTTATTTGCCGTCATCTAAAAGAACATCCAACATCCCTCGTATCCCTCGTATCATTAAAATTATGACGCTTTCTTTGCTTGCCACTGTTTATTGCATTGCCTTGAAGCTCCGGTGGCGCCTTTGCGTGAAATTCCGTGTCTCCGTTGCATTTTGCACTGGATCTCCATTGTGACACTTTATCTGAGTTTGGTGTTCCCTCGTGTGGCGCTATGTGTGATATCATTGCTTAGCAACCTTTGCGTAAGTCCTAAAATGGTAACTAATTGGCAGACTGACGCGTATAAAGCAAGCCCCAGCATTTAGAATTTCCTCCCCATTGTTCTCTCCCGAGCTCTCGTAGTGGGACACCTGTTCTATGTAGCTATATGCCCATGCAATCAAGCTTAACGGACGATTGCTGTAGATTTTATAGCTGTCCTCTAACCTGCATTGTGCTACCATATCCGAGACATCCTAGATTGCTGTCGTACCCAAGGAGTAGGTGTTCCGGATATTCCTGTTGCATATCTGTCTCTTCAGGACGTTTCCGGGATGCGTATAACGTGCTGTTGGCTTCCTCCCCGTTTTCTTTCTTCCCAAAGATTCGGAGATATCTTGCATGTGTCATGTCAATACATGTGCCGTTTGTTGTCAGCTTCAGCATTTCAATGCTGTTCCTGCCGAGTTGCATGTGTCAAACAAACATTAGAAGGAATTACTACCCTCCAAGACGTCTAGACTTCCCATTTTATACCAATACAATTCATCGTAAGTTATGTTATTTGAACCTTCCAGCCTGAGTATGTGTGAACGGGGAATGTACATTGCTCACATATAGTCAGTACACATGCATTAATATTGCAGATAACCTCAAGCTATAGATTTGTAAGTATCGAAGCCGGCGAGGGCTACGACATGTGCTCGTACGAGTTCAAAGGGGATCAAGGGAGAACCGAGCGCCAATCGATTGATAGGGAGTAACTACGAAATTGCGAGTATTTCAATCTTCGAAAGCAAAAACCTCGAGGCAAACGTGCGATGGACATGTGGTGGTCTAGGCACAGACACAATGCTACCCATACAGAGCTCTCGCTTTGTTTGTCATTTTTGACAGTTACACTACCAGGAAGTTTCGTAGAACATACTGCATGAGTCAGTGGTGCTGTGACCTGAACTCCAGGTGAAGCGCTATCGTAACCTTTGAGTTCAAGTCCCGATTTCCGTCCCCGATTTACAGTGGTGCATAAGTAGGAACACCAGGACATCCAATATTATTTATCCAGCATCCATCCACCGTATCCATTGTATCATTAAAATTATGACCCTTTTTTTATTTGCCGCTATTTGCCTATTGCATTGCCTTGAAACTCCAGTCCGAAACGAATTCCGTGGCGCTCTCCGTTGCATTTTGCACTGGATTTTCAGAGGGCTTTATCCAAATTTGGTGTTTCCTGGCGTGTCATTCTAAGTTAAATGTGCTAGATATGCATTAGTAGGAATAGCTACTCCAAAATATCCACATTTTACGTTCCATATCACCTCCATTTTTGCTGTACATTGCCCATAAATAGCCAATTGTGGATCGCGGGCAACCTTAAGCTATGGTGCTGTCACTTTGTTTGCCATTTTTAGCGATTTCGTCGCGGCCCCGGAAGTTCCGTGGCACACTTGGCATAAGTTAGTGGTGCTCTGCCCCGAAATTCTAGTAGTGATCTGTCCTGGACTTTCGGTACTCGTAAAGCTCTTGTTTCACATTTGCGGTTGACTACTAAACAACTTTTAATTGTTAATTAAGGGATATCGCATCCTACTCGTACTACAGTGACAAAACCAGGGAAAATTGTACGGCTATCTATTGCAAAGCAACCCTTATTTTCTTATATTGTCCCTTTTAACTGTATCTGACCTCTTAGTTGATATCCCACGCACTTCAATCGTAGTCAATTCTCAGTCATTTTGGTTGTTTGACATTTATCTCGACTGTACTACGGCCATCTGTCATGCATTCATGTCTCGGCCTTATTCTCCTATCACCACTCTTGGGTGTTCGAGTGCGAGAAGTGGTATACATTGGAAGTAGCACAAGTAATCACTCAATCCAACCCAGTATCAACTACAGGAACTATAGTGTAAATAAACCGGAGTGGAACGAAGGTGTTGGCCTTGTGGGCAGTAACAAAATCCCACCATGCTATATAATGGCTGATATGCTGTTTTCTGACTGTTGAAGTCCCAGTTTCTCCCTCCGAGTCCACAATCATGTCCTCGTTTATTAGTCCCAACACGAGTTCGCAAGCATTGCCTTTATCAGAGTTCACGGCCTTGATCGAAGTGTTGCATGAGGACAGAGTCATGCAATACATTGCAAGTGAGTGTTACTGGAGTCTCTCTCCCTCAGTCGTCGTAATCATGGGATTTGATTTCAGCTGCGTTAGTTGCACTTTATGTGTGGTACTTTCGTAAGCCAGCCGGTTTGGCTTAGAGAATATGTCACAAAAATCTTACCATAAATGTCATGCATAAGTCTTGACCTGGTTCCAAGAGGTGAATTTTCACCCTTTCCGCATGAACATGTGACCCACATAAATGCCCTTTTTTCAACAGGTTGAGATACTGGTAAGTTTTCGCAGTTCCTTGTACCATCTCCTCAGATTATAGACATATAAATTCCAGCAAAACAAGTTCAAGCTGTCGACTTTCTTCTTTTTACTTGTATGCATGTCTTCTACATTTCAGAACTGTCTTAAAACATATTGCAGAACCGATACTACTCTCTTACAGCATGCTTTGTATGGTCAGCTGGTACGACTAGCCTGAGATGTGATCATGAGACTACAAATGTGACTGTTACCAACTTCTACAGCTACACTTCAGTGGCCAATGCATCGGACCCTGTAAGAGTTGAATCCTCTTTCACTGATGATATACTATTCTGATGCCCAAGTTCTAGCTGTAAGGATGGAGATCTTTCATTTACGGTTTTTACTAACGAATCTACAGGCAATTTTGGGATCATTAGCGGCATAGCCATTGGTGAGTCACGAGCACGACAGAATGAGCCGACATAATGATATGTACACAATAGACACCTTATCTTGGCTTATCATAGAGGGTCAGTGCTCGGCATTGCGCTCATCATTCGTGCGTAGAGGAATAACAGCGGCGGCCTTGATACAGTCATTCTGCTATACCATCTATTTGCGATTTTCTCGTTCAGTATGTATTTCCTTTGAGCTTACATGAAGGTCCGCCAATAGCTGGATCTATTCAAAACTAGGTCAGGTCGTGGTCATCCCCATCACGATACTCTTTGTTGCATGTGGCGGGACGTATGCAGCAGGAAATATTGTCAATGTAAAGCTTACTCAGGGTATGGCTAGTGTCATCTCCCTTTCATTTAGAGCTGACAGAAGAGGACCCCTGCGCCAGAGCTACCAATTGTTTTGGGATTGTGCCATCCAAAGCAAACATCTATTACGCCGTGGGTTAACTGGTGATATTTCAGTCTCTATTGCAATTCTCCGTTCTTTACTTAAGTCACAGTATCCCAATCATGATCAATGATGGAGTCGTAGCTCTCCTGTTTGTGTCAAAGACGATCAATTATCATTTGAAAGCCATGGACTCAAAGTGGAGCGGTGCGCAACTGTTAAGAATCCTTGCAGGGTGGGCCTTTATGTGTTATATATGGTAGGTATGCCGTGTAAGCTTGATGATCGAGAAAAAACTAACATGCGCAAGCGCGTTTTTACTGACATTGTTCACCTTTGTGTGCTACTTGGTCCGGCCTGTTTTACTCAAGGTTGCAGGGGTTGGCTGGTTCACGCTCTGTGCAATGGCCATTAACCAGCTTTTTTGGAGGCTACGTCAGACCATCATTGATCAAGCCACTGGAAATGTCGACACTGAATCAGCTGTAACGACTTTGGCCTTTAGGCAAGGAGAAGGATTATTGTTGGGCATCTCTTCCCCGCCATGATTATGACACTCAAATTTTACTTATATCAACCCACATATTACACCTAAAGCCTTTCGGTTATACTGTGCCGCAAGATCGAGCACTATAATCTCTCCGTATCATTAAGCACATCATCGGCTTTTAATTGTACATGTTTGCCTTGCTCCACTTTTGTTCTCATCATGTCTCAACCCTATCTCTCACTGAATCACCGTCTAATCAATCCATGGTTCTTCAGCCAACTCTGTCATCCATATTCTGTCCCAAACATGCCCCAATTACGTTTGATGTCTTCTTACTACCCCACTGTCCATGTTAGTGACGACAATCTCAACATTCTTGCGGTTGTCATCTCCCCACTGACCCAAAGCCTTGCGTCATGGCTGCACCACCATTCATTTCTGCTCAATGATATTCAATGGTTTTTGTGCCTCCGTGTTTCCTGATGGGTGGCTCATTACGCCGCCCCACTCTTTCTAGATATATCAATTTTACTATTTTGAGCATGCACTCTGTGCTTGATATTTAAACACCCCACGCTGCGTTTCAAAGCCTCACTGCTTCCCCCTCATTTCCTCTCGTAGTAAATAGGCTGTAAGAATATAAGCAGGGCTGCGTTGGGTCCGCCCAGTATCCGCCCCCAACACACTTTACCCATGTGCATACAATGGTACTACACCCAATGTATGTATCAGTGCGTTCACTGTGAGATTAGTGACTGTCAGTGAGCGCTTGAGCCTCGCAGGATTAATACCTTAGTTAAGCATAGACTTTTGCAAGCGAGGTTTGATTCTTCTGTGCTAATGTATATGTATATGTGGTATACATCGACGTCTGACAACCTCCCTGTCGGAGCGAAGCGATGATATGTCTTGTTCAGATGTACTTGCATCTTGCTCACGTCATTATAACAGTGTATCGCCAAATGTTGTTCCATACTTTCAGTCATCATTATCTGCTCACCGCCAGCGGCAACAACAACGAGCTCTACTATAATCATCATTGCGGATTCGAGCACCCTTGTCTTTTGAACCTTCACTCGGTTTCTCTGGTTTGTTTGTGCTGTTACCTTGACTATTTCCTTGGACCGTCTCCGGACAAGATGAAGAGAAGCCGAGAAAAAGAAAGACTTGTTCACCGCATATGTGGAGCAAGCCATCATAGGGATGAGTTAGTTAGTAGTAGTAAGTTTAGTGCACTGAGAGCTCTGAGTTCATGTATGACATTCGATACATAATTTCCCTACACTTCTTTTATGCCATCTGCCACCTTTGTTATTTCGCGGAGTCTGCAGTCGTCACTATGCCTTTTATCAATGTTGCCAGCTATGAACTAGAGGGACCTTACACCAGGGCAGTGAAGGTTTGCATACTCAGAACAGTACAAGTGCAGGTCACTGGGCTCGCGACGATGACACAGCGCGTTTGCCTGGGTGAGTTCAGGGTTCCAGAAGGACAATTGGGTGACGAATTGAGTAACCGCAATACTATGATATCATACATACAACTATGATAGTAAGAATCCGAGTTAAGGATAATGGAATGACCAGCGATGTATGCCAGCGAGATCTGAGCATAATCAACACTAGAATTACAACAACAAGGATATGCACAGCCATAAGTTAGTTGAAAAGCTGCCAACTGAGAGGGCACTCTGCTGAGAGCGTGCAGAGTCGGGAGGTGAATTCTGCGAAGGGTGTGGGGTAGAGGAATTTGATTTAGGGAGATCAGGATTAGGGAGATATAAAAAGTAGAGACTGATGTGAAAGCGGCGACCCACGGAGGAGTAACTGCGAACATGCTAAGACAACGAGAAGTGCAGTGAAATGAGGCGAAGTGTGTCATAACTGACATTAAAAGTAAATGCATCAAACGAGGCAAGACGTACGATTCGGACGAGTTGATCGGGCTGTAGCTGAACGAAACTAAGAATAAAGGGGAACGGACGACATACGAAAAAAGATACTATGTTCGAGGGAGCGGGATGGGGGCAGCGAGCTGACATTTGCGTTAGCCGAGATACCAGGCCTTCGGCTTCAGGCCCCAGGGTTGGATCGGCGTGGCGCGTGGCGTATTCTCGTGGTCGACTGGAGATAGATGCTACGGCTGACGCGTCCCTCACACAACCCGACGTCGGGTGTTGATAAATCATTGTCTATGTAGTGCAGACGACTCATTCTCGTAGCAAGAGATGAACTAGCTAGCTTAGCTCTACATTTCAGGCTCGGCGTTCCAGAGTATGCTGGACGGCAGTGTGGATTTGTGCAGTGGGAAAGATGTCGGGTATAAGATGCAAACCTCTCTCTTACGAGTAGGTGGGGGATATGATTACCGAGGGCTGTCGAATAGCTCAGCATAAAAGTCGTCAAATTCAAGGCAATTTACAGCTCACATTACATCCGTGCCAATGCTGTTGTTCGCTAGTAAGTATCTCGAGGTTTGTTCGAGCTCTACTTCAACGTGTATTTCCCTCCCATGTCCTCCATTAATTCCCCTTACCCGACTCAGCTCCGCATGATTGAGAAGCCATGATTGCTCAACGTGCCAGGTGTCCGCAAGCGAGCGGATATGTAGCATAGCTCGACACACAGAAATCACTGTTGCCACAACCACCATGCTGAGAGCGTTTCAGCCAATATTGAGAGAAATGAGGCAAATCAGCATACTTGCTCTCCAATGCTATCATAGATTCCTCAATTTAATGGAGTAAGCCTTCATGCATCATGCACTGCTTCCAGCGCTTGAAACTCACCAATACGCCGGATACACTCGTCAAGGAGACAATAGTATACAATAAGCTGGCTGTGGTTACCAGAAGTCGTTCCTATACTCGTCATGCGCAAAGACAATGATAATCGCTTACCCAAGGCAAATAAATAGATAATGCATCCTCTGCTTTTGCTTAGCGTGAATCCGCTCTGTTGGGTAACAAACTCACTCTTGAAAAAATAAGGACAGAAACGTTTGTTGAACAGGCTCTAATGCTGATGCAAGTCTGATGACCTTCAATAGAAAAAAGACGGTATGCACCACGAGAGAAGGCACATATATAGCCCAAGGCGATTCGTTGATTTGTGACACAGTGGGGGAGGTAATTTCTGACTGAAAAACCCGATATTGCTGTTTTGCTGCCACAGCCGTACCAATCGCGCACCCTATGTAGGTGGCAACAGTGAAAGCCCTTGTAACTCTGCTCCTCGGAAAGAGGTACCACACGCGCAGTCCAATGACAGCTAGTGCCCGAGTTAGCTTGGTAATACCTGCATATGAAATATACAAAAATGAGAAGAACCTTGTGAAACGAGGAGAATAGCTGAATCATCGGAAAACAAAAGAACGAGGAGACCATTCTGTGTCGAGGGTGACATTATAGTCACATAACCTAACATGTGGGGTTAGCAACCGTGGATACTCCTTGCATGGTCTCTTACTTAATGCTATTCGCAAACTATCGATCTGTTAGCGAGAGTCGAGCGTATTGTGGGCAAGAAACACGACCTACGCCACGTGAAGCAAAGCTCCGTAACGGATCTGATCAAGCGGGAAGATAAGCGTGGTGGGAGTAAATTTCAAAGGACAGCGTACTATGATGTAAAGAGCCTTGCTTAACGTCCACGAACTATCCCAAATGCACGTCACCTAGTTTATATAGCTGAGCTGAGCCAAAAGTCTTATACAAATCATGGGTGGGAGGATACTACCTCTTCTTCAAGCGAAATAAGATGATCATAGAGAATGAGGGTGTTTGTTGCGTACCCTGTCCATCCTGTATATTGCTTGAGCTCCTCCAGGCTAATAATCAACTGAGAGTCAGACATTTCGAGTGGATCAAAGGAGGAGGGAAATAGTCAATCGCAAACCCTCGTGCACGAATGTCTTATCTACCCATACAGGTGGTGTGATGGCTAGGCGCTGTCTTCAAGCAAGCATAGCTCATGTCATGCGATCAAGTCGCCATCTACCCTGCGATAGATGGCCCTCAATGCTGGTGTCTCAACCGATCAAAGATGGTCAGCTTTTAGACCACAAGAATGGATGATGGATTATCACAGACGGATGAGGCTCTGGGGATGTCTTCGATAGTAATCTGACCATGCTCATGAATACTAAAGAAACGTCCATATTTTCTTGTTACCGACATACTCTGCAATCGTATTATTAGTTGGTGGTGTTGACCACCACTCAGTACTCAGAGGCCATACATTTAAAACTAATTGAATGCCCGTGTAAATTGTGAACCCGATTGACATGGACTCTACTCCTAAATGCATCGGGCTGATTTCCAAGGGCTTGGGCTGAGCTGGGCTGAGCACAGGCTGTGAATATGACAGTTGGACTTTTTTTTTTTTCAAAACGCGTGTACAGCCTCGGTGTAAATGATCCAATAAGCTGGAGCAGCGATCCGTAGAGCTCACAGAGAGTTCAAGTTGAAGGAGATCGGGAGGCGTACTAGCCCATGGCAATGACTGACGGAAAGGTATGACGGGCTTATTTCGTTGTCAGGTAACTTGGGGAAAGATGGGACCATGCGTCCCACCACCCTACTTGAGTAAGGCCCACGTACACTGCCTTGGCTTTTCATGATCTGAGCGGTCCGCGTTCGTGACCCTTGGGAGAAACACCGTGGTACTTCACATGAGCCATTTGTATCTGTGCTATCAATATTCCATCGCTGGTTTTTCCAGGCGAATCCCGTTGGACACTGGGGCGGTTCATGAGGCGGGCATTGAGTTGCGTAGTGCCCGGTAATCTAACTAAAGCTCACTGTATCAAGTCAAGAAAGTTATGACGCTGCCACATTATGCCTTTGGTGGCATATGGCTGCTTATCTTTACACTGCATTTTTGATCGCCGTTCTCAGGAGAAAGGAACGAAGAATTGCCATAATCTTAATGATCTAGACCGTTACAGGCCATACGCTCCTATGGTTCAGTATCGAAACTGGTGAGGGCTACAACATGTGTTCGTACGAGTCCGAACAGGAACAAAGGCAAACCACCGACGTGGGAGAACCGAGTGCCGATATTAATCGATTGCTGTGGAGTATCCACGAACATGCAATCGTTGAAGTCTTCGAAAACCTATCCTTGAAGTACACGTGCGATGAGCATGCGGTGGTTACAGTCCAGACGTAGCCACGACATAACCCTTACATTACTCATGACCGCTACAGGACATGTGAGGGAGATATGTACTGTGCTACCTGGGCATCGTCGGAGCATTATGGTGGATGAATTGACGACGTCTCTGATGGATGACTTGAAATCTCACAGAGCACGCCACTGCAGGGCGTCTTCAGATCTTCATGCAACCACCAAAGCATGTACAGCCCCATACACGTATTATTTCAGGATTTCTCCACAGAACTACACCGAATATTCCCCCACAATGTTATGCCACCTACGAGCGCTATCTATGAACTGTGTAGATAACGTTCAGGAAATGCCGCCCGTCGAGGGAGATTGATGCTCTCGCTTCCACCACTGCACCAACAATGTTCAGTCAATAATGTTAAAATAGAGATTCAACACTTGCCTCGACGGAAATCTTGGCACCCTCTTCGATACTGACGTCTGGGTTGTAATCTAGAGCGTGGCGCGCCTTTGATATGTCACACCACCTCGAAGTACAGCAGTAGATCACTGTCATTCTCGTCAGCGAGGGCTTCCTCCTGAGCGCCCAGCAAAAAAACTCCATGAGTGTAGCGATGGCGTAAGCCGCATACTTAGGAATAACGGTAGTCTTTTCAGGAATTTTGTAGCCTCCTGTCTTCCATAGCAGACGAGGGAAATCCCACCAGGGCCTTGGATCGCCGTTGGTAATGAAGAATGCCTGACCAGCCACAAGTCGGAATTTGGGATGGTTGGGGCTTAGTCGATCTGCAGCCAGGAGGTGAGCCTTAGCGGCGTTGCCAATGTACGTCCAGTCGAAAAGATTTTCGTTGTCGCCAAGCTGTAAGTGTGCGCGACCAGACTGAGCAACGCCCATCATGGAAGGAATTGTGAGACGATCCTTCGGACTGTAGCAAAATCAAGAATGTTTCAAAGAGAAGGAGTCTGCGATAAGCTTACCCGAACAAACCAGCCGGGCGGAGAGACGTTGTATACAGCCCTCCCTTTCCACTCGCTTCCAATACGACTTTTTCAGCCTCTGCCTTTGTTTCGTTATAGTCGTCAACATGAGGATTCGCGTATGGTGCTGTCTCGTTGACGTTGTGTTGATCCTTCCCAGCAAACACGACGCTTGCGGTGCTTGTGTACACGAGCTTCGTGATACCTTTGCTGATAGCTGCCTGCACAATGTTCCTTGTTCCGATGATGTTGACTTGCTCTTGGAAATGACGGGGTTTCCCGGGCAGGGATGATGCCGTGTGGATGACGCATGTGGCGTGAGACTAGGACCAAAGTTTCAGACGCAGCTGAACCCGTTGGGTAGGGAACATTTACCTTTTCTATGGCGCTAACGATATCACCAACATTTGTGATGTCCCCCACATAGACTGGCACAACGGGGTTCGGTGATGGCGGTTGAGAAACGTCCAGAATGGCAACGTTCTCTTCTCCTCGGTCAAGGAGTTGCTCGACTATATGCTGGCCGAGGAGGCCGCTGCCACCGACAATGAGATACGAGTCCGTTATCATGAATGAGCAACGAGCAAAAATTCGATGAAGAGAACAGACGTCGACGCTCAAGCGCTCAACGAGCTGACTGATATAGCAGCCGACGTGAGAACTACATCAGAAGCAATTCAATGCGGCTTCCTGCAAGAAATCTCGTGCACAGCAAGAAGTACATGCTTCCGTGATATTCTAATGCCGAAGCTTCCGGGAGGATATAAATATCACCATTGAAATGGGAAGGCTCGATTGGTACTTGATACGGCATGCAAGATAACAGGCTGATATCCGCGTGAACATCCACCAGGTGGATGACGGCCATCACACTTCAGCGTCAAACACCTTGTACAGAAAGATGATCAATGTGAAGCTGGGAAGACCTGATGAAGGAGGCTGTAGCTGCATTGCGTTCTTGTTTCACTCCAAGATGTATGGACCTACAGCCTCCCCGGTTCTATATCGTTAAGCGCTCGAGCCGTGGCATCCTGTTCCACAAGGTCTGCATTTGGGAGTCACTGCCAGTCAGGAATGCATCTACTTGTGCATCTACTCCCTCTGATCTCCGGTCAGAATCTAGGGCAGACCAGATCGGTACCTGGAATGTGATTGGCCGAAGAGCGTCATGGTCCAAAAATATGTATTGGTACAAGGCCCGCACCTGCGTTCCACTCCGGTTTTTTTGAGTGCCCGACTCGGGGATTTCCTAGCTTTGAGACGTTACATAAACAATGTAATACCCTCGTTGCTCTCCGGCTGTAGTTTCAGCTTCTTTCAGGGCTCTACGACTAGTGACATGCACATGTACTGTACATACAACTGAAGTAGCCACTGAAACCTTCACAAATCCCCAATATATTGCTGAAGGGCTTTAAGATGATACCTAACACCGATATACCATACGCAGGGCTACTCGCGATTGTAAACCTAAGATGCGATTTTGGAGCCAAGATACGATTGTAGCCTCAGTAGGGCCGCGATTGCAACGGGCATCACAGAGTGATTATACGGATGGAGTGGGCTATCATACCAGGAAACATGCTACGATAGAAAATGAGCTGAAATGCGACAAAGGGCTGCCACTAAAGCGATTACTACTGAGAAACGAGGGCATTCCAGCAGCATCAACGAACGTGAATAGCCCCAGAATTGGAAGCCTCAATCGAGCGGTTCCCTAGCAGTTGCGTCATCATAGATCACTGCGTCAGGATACTGTAACACCCTGGCTAGACTTAGTCAACTTGTAATGTAAATGCAGTGCCAAACACTACGGGAAAGCGCCACGTAAATATTAGGCAAAAACGCCACCGGTGCTTCCGGGCAGTGCAATACGCAAATGGTAGCAAACATTATTTGGCCAAAATAGGGCAACACGATTGATTTGATGGTCGGGGAACACAGCATGGAGCTTTCAGGGTACCGCAATGTTTAATGATCAGGGATACAGAGCTTCAGCGTATGGCGGAGTTTTTGCCATTTGCCCTAGAAGCACTTCTAGAAAACAAACCTTGATTTTCAGGCCCTTAGCGCCTGTTCACAGCATATGCGATGTCACTAACAAACCGAATACTTCACAGGTGTGAGATCACAGTGGGGAAATACCAAATGAACAAACCCCAGTCTATTGCAACCTTGACTATAGCACATCGTGACAAAGGACTTGCGAGAGGCTAAACTTTGCCCTAATCCCAGTTTGACGAGATTTGCTGTGCGAATGAGCGAGCAAACCCTTGCTGTGCAAACGAGAGAACAAACACCAATGTTCCCACCATAGTGGCGCCAAGAGCAGTGGCCTAACCAATAACAGTTAGTTGGCGCTAAGTAGCCACCTCAAGACCTTACCTCACATTTTCTGGTGCAACACGCTACGGAAGAGCGCCACGGAAGTGTCCGGCAGAACACCACCAGTGACTCAGTGCCGTGAAATACGGTAGGCAGACCGTGGAATGCAATCTGGCCATGATTCACGACCAAGATGATACTGATGATCATGGGACCATGCCACGGAACTTTAAATGGCCAATACACTTGTCATTCGAAAAGCGGGGTGCTCAACATTCATGTTAAGATGTTACAACCACAAAAATGAGCTGTTCTCAGAAGAGACAAAAGGATTGCATTGTCGTTGCAGCTCAGCACTGAATCTCATTAAACTCGATCAAACAGTCTTTGATGCGATGAGCAAAAGCTGTTGCAAATATACTTATACAAAATGAAGACATGTATCCTGCGTGCAAGTTAATCCAACTACAGAACGTCAATAAATGTCATGAAAAAGGTCTACTATCATCGTTATCGACTAGTATTTGGAGAGGCACAAACTCTACAAATTACGTGCACATGAAAAGAAGTTTTATGCCTGCCGCCTCTAGAGTACCAGCAAGTTCGAGCACACATTAATATTGGCAAGAGCAAAAATCTCAAATCTTGTCCGAAAATTCAAAATCTCAAAAACATAGAATATCATTGTTACTCCTTAATACATAAGAAAGCCATACGACACATCTGAACACGGAAACAAAGAGACCATACTGTGAGATCGATTTTGGTATCTCGTTACTTATTCTATGTGGTTAAAAGAACAGAGCGGGTTACAAAGGTTAACAATCATGAGAAATATCGCCCTCAACAATGGCATGGATGAAACAATGCGTGATGGATACTGGGAGCGACATCAGCTACATGGATTATGGCGAAAGCATAGGAGAAGGGCGTCAGGAGCTCGTCGATGATAGGCTACTAAATGCAATATGCAAAACACAACATGCAGCTGTTATTGGGGACACCAGAAAATGGGAGGGGATGCTGGGCGAGCTATGGAAGTAGGAGCAACCGCACCGTCATTTATACATTGTAGTACGAACTATATCCGGTAACTTGAAAGAGGCGTGAGGCAAAACGTCATGCTGTGTTATTCTTGACCAGTGGCGTTGCGCCTCCCAGGGCGCACGAAAGCCTTGGACTTGCCTAGGACAAACGGGGCAAAAGTAGGTACGATCAAAAATTCGTCCAGAATTTTAATGATACGGGTTATTGGTATGGCATGGCAGTCGTCACCCATGGGCGCCTGGACAATGGGAACACGTCGGATACGTCTCAAGATGAGTTGTTATCAGCATAAGAAGTGTTCGGTGAAACTTTGAGTAACCCCATGATTATCTGATATTTCGGATTCACCCGCAGCGCAATCAGGAACTTCGAAACCGGACCACCATCAGCCCAGATGATAGATAAAATAATAGTAATGAATACAAATGGTCATACATGAAAGCCGTGATATACCAGTAAGGTGGCGTATTTTATACTTTAGGCTGGCTGACTCCCTTTGGCTAGTGCTGGTGCTACTTTCTCCTTGTCGGTGATACTAGTTACCTGTGGTGAATCGTATGAAATTATGTGAGAACCACTTCTTTGACCTGGTTCCCCACGGAGTGTGGATAAAACAATTTCTTGGCTACGATGGTCCTCTTTGAACCGGTAACCCATCGTCCATATGGTTGCAAAAACAACGCTGACAATGATGACATATCCGTTGGCCATGAAGAGCGAAGCGATTGAGACGAAAGCTTCATTAGCGCCGGCAATGAACCACACCAGAAGGATAGAACTATCCATGAGGACTGGAAGCAAGAAGTTCGTGAGCGAAATGAGCAATAGGCCTCGAACTCTGGTAGTCCAGCTGCCTGCATGTGATTTGAGCATTTGATTATAGATGAGGCTTAAAAACATGCCTGAGCGAATAATAGCGGTGGATGACATGCGAGAATCGTGTTTTATCATCCTGTACAGAAACAACACAGAGACGAACCTTGGGTGCCAGCGTTAGTAAGATAGCACATACGAGATATTCATGATACTCACGTATTGTCGACGAGGTGGAGGATCAGCTCGGCAGTAAAGTTTCCGCCACCAAATATTTGGAGAATCTTTCCTTGAGCATCCGCTTGCCCATCAGACTGTACAGCGGACCTTTGGGCTGCGAGAACCAGGAAGAGTATGAAGTTGACCAAGCGTCCCACCTTCATCAGGACTGGTATTCCGATGACAATTGCATACGTTCTTCTCGCAGTAGTAACACGCGGAAGCACGGCGAATAGTCGTATGATAAGGGCTAGCTCTGCTATCATAGGGGCAAATTGAAAGCTGGAAACAAAAAGCAGAAGTTCTGCCGTTGATTGAGGAGTGTTAGGCGACAGCATTGTGTGGATCTACAGGTAAGTTAGTGAACTGATTTTGTCAACAACGGATTCATCAATCAAGAATATGCACCTGGCCGTATATGTTCCCTACTGCATCCACAAGACCAAAACATAAAGAGAAAACGTTCAGAATAAAAATGGGTCGTTTGCGAGAGCTGGGCGCCGAGAATATAAACAACATGATAGACATCATAACCATTATAGCGGCCATGAAAATCCCCAGGAAGAGAAACGGGAGCCCGCCCTTGACCTGAGCAATGTAAGAGTCAAGGGAAGAGCATGAAGACTCAGACGGGGAAGACATGACTGGACGCGAGGATAATTCGCTGTCAGCTGCTACCTTAACACCTTCAGATTACCTTTTATACCTGTGTGGCTCGAACGGTAAGGGCCAATATCAGATATCGAGCCAATGCTGGTTCTAGATTGATAATGGATTCGGTTGATGTGTGCGAATCTTACATAGGTTCCTCCATACCGCCCAAAGCACCTGGCGCATTTGTGATACATCGTGCTCGATGTCTGATTTATTATATGTAAGCGTAAAGGTGCAGTGAAATGAGGATACTTGGATATTTACCTAGCAAATGTCAACGGATGCGACCCACACATATAAGTTGAAATGAGTTCAGCGAAAAACTACGAATGGGTGTTCTATGTGCGGATCTGATCCCCTACGCTTGCGATCCAGTTTCGGAGATGCCACAGCCAGCGAGTGGGAGCTCCGTTCTGTTCTGGAACCGACCTTCCGGTCCACTTTCAGCGCCCCGGATATCAGATGGTGCCTAACTCTAAAAGGTTTCAACCGCGTGTGGCTCCAGCACTGAGCTGATCTATGTCCACGCTCCTATATCTGATACCCCTAAAGTAATAGGACACATAAAGTTAGCTTATCTGCATCAAGAACGGCTCATCTTAAATGCTCAGATTCTGCCTGATGATCTGGTATGAATCGATAAAGTTATATCGCGCGGAACAGAACTTGAGGCCCGAGGGGTTAAGGAGTCCAAAGATCAATGGATTGAGTGCACACTGGAGGCCGCGCGCATACCTTTATTGATGCGCCATCCTCCTGGATGAAGACCAAATTGGACACTTTAACCTTGGAAGGCCCCTGACGAATCCGAACATGAACAGACTGTGGTATCAAGTACTATCAACAAGGTTTAGTCGAACCAGTCACATCGATTACCATTTCCCCGCACCATTGGACTTCTAGTCTTGAGCGATAGCTGTCCCAAGAACAGGAGGACCTTGAATACTTGATGGTGATTTAAGACTCGCTAATTTTCAGAAGGGTCCCGCACACCATGTGTCAACCTGAAGCTGGTCCCGACAAAAGTCTGACAGGACTCGGTTTAAGGATGTTGACTAAGTTTACAAGACATAGAAATCCGCTGCGCTCCGCCTACACATTGCTGTCAATGGATATGATGACTGGAAATGTACGAGAATTCATATGCAAATTTCAAAATTTCATTACTCTTACTCGTATATTCATACTTTTGCCCGGCTTTTGTTTGCTCATGCTTGGCAGAAATCTATACGAGGGTTAGGGTTAGTGCGCTTCAGAAGCCAAAGCGTAGCGGAGGCAGGCTCTGGCTTAATGGCTCTGACTCATCTACTTGATGTGAGTACGACGGAAATGGGTGTATTACCTCTAGGTAATTCCTGCGTCTGTATTTCATGTTGATTACCCTCGGTGCGACCACGGTCAAGCTTTTGCTCCGAGCCATGTCCTAGTATCCCCTTACTCATGGGCCGGAGCTTTAGCGGAGGCACTTCTCTTGTATTAATCACACATTAAATTAGGAGGAGAGGAAGAGGGATAAAACGGTAAGAGGTTGAACACGCGGAATCCCCGGAGGTAAAGGAGAGCTAAGACACACACAGCGGACCTCGAGTACAATCGAGAGGGAAAGAGTACTCAAGCCCTCGACAGCTCCTTTGCTGCAAGATATTCGTTCTTGGACGAGAACCTGAGGCCTGGGCCTGAGGCCTGAAGAGTGGAGTGCGCGAGCTTAAATTTAAGGGTGACTTTGGCCTTCAATCAAAGTGAAAATCGTGTACTAAATTTTACGTGCGGCGCAACCTTCTCTGCAAACGCAAATAAACAACGAAGGTGACGGGCAAACACGCAGAACGACTGTCTTCTGATATAGGGTCTGCCTATAGGGGAGACTAGCGGTTTGCGGTTGGTGTACTTGTCCACCTCTCATCACCATCTTTGCCCACCACTTCCAACACCGCCATGGCCCTCCCATCTCACACCCACCACCTCATATATGACATCCCCCCCACCTCCACTGCCCGGCGCTCGGCTCCTCAGGCCTCAGGCGCCTCAGGCCTCAGCGCTTCAGCCCCAAGACCGATCTCGGCGGACCGCACAGCGGCGGGATTATCACGTCATTGAGTCTGGTTACCGTTGCAACCAGTGTTTGGAGTGCCAATGGCATGCCATTTGGCGATTGGCACTCGGAAGGGCAGGTGAGGGAATCGAACTCGCGAGCTGGAAACAAAATAATGTCAATGGCAACCAAAACCACTGGGCTACGAACGCTACGTTGATGGTCGTACTTACAGCTATATATATGAATCGATACATGGGGTCTAACACGCAACTTCCACAATAGGAAACTTAGTCATACCCATTGCCAGCCGCCAATGGCATGCCACTGGCGTGCCAGGAAATGGCTGGCCAGCGCCGCCATTCTGCCATCAGACTTCAAACACTGGTTGCAACCGTAAAGATGTAGATGCTCCCTCATATCACCTAGCAGCCACTTCCCCACCCTTCGCTGCGCTGCGCCGTACGCTTCTCCACGCTATCCCACTTACACATCGCCCAACTGCAAATCTGCGACCCCCGCCAGCCCACCACTTTCGCCTCAATATCACCACCCTCTCATTTGCAAGTGCATGCAGACGCTCGCTCGCCTCCTTCCTTTCCAACTCCACCATCTCGTTGCTGTTTGCCCCTCCTCAACGTCGCAGGCGCAAACAGCAATAATAGCACCGGAGGAGGGCAGGTTGTTCACAGTCGTCCGCGACACTCAATTGAACGAGGTCACGCAGGCGTACAAGCAACGGCCTCTGTCTCCGATCCCGCGCACACAGGAGACTGCACCGGCGAGCCCAGCGAAGAAGCTGACACCGGGTACGAGAAAGCCGGCAGCGGCAGCTGTGGGGAAGAGGGAGGGGGAGGACATGAAGCATGTTGTCGAGCTGGGGAACATGGACGTGATATGTATATACCGGGGATGGTATCGCTCGTAATTATCGTCGTGTCATCTCCCGTGTTTTGCTACGTGCCCGTGAAACTCTAATCCGAGTATAGGTGACTCGCTCCCACCTATGTCATGAACCATTTGTCTCAGGCTCCCGATATCCTCTTTGACGCTATCTGCTTTTACCCTTTCATCGGTGACTCTCAGGACTTCTCAGATCTCCCTTTCATGCCCGAAGACTACGAGTGTCCTTTCTTCTTCGGCGTTGATCGTGTTTCCACTCCCTCTCCGAATGATCTGCCGGAACCGACTTTGAAGATGAGGGTCTTCAATCGGGGCGTTACAGATTTCGTTCGTCATGCGCCTTTTAGCTCTAACGTTCAGTACGTCTTCTTTATTCCGTCATTGCTGCATCTCATTAACATTATCTACCATGTTCTCATCTCAGCAGCACTCATTCTCGTTGGTCAAACGCACGTGCCCCGAACACCAATGCTTGCACTGCGATCCTCGGGGTTGCTTGCAATGTCTTCCCTTGTGGGCTCATCCTCTCTATGCAGTCCTTCGCCCTCAACATTGCCGCGCCACAGTCCGTCGGAGGGACGCGCTCGCAGCCGGGTGCTCCAGGCGGTGGCACGGGCTCCTCTCCTTCGACACCTTTCGTTTCTCCCAGCAAGCGAAAGCTGTTCACGCCCCATCCTCCTCCCCGTGTCAGCGAATGTAAGTATCTTAATCTATTCTTACCACTGATTCTTCTGACGTGACCACCTTCAAGCTCCGGCCCGTCGTCTAACACCGACGAGGAGTTTCAGGGACAGGGAGAAACTCCCGCACCGGCCGTTGCTTCTGGGTATGTGCTTCCCTTTATGAGTGCTGTTATTATTGCTGATATCATCAACATCGTCACGGCTAGTACGGCAGTCCCTGTGAACGATCACCCGGCGGCCCCCCCTTCTCGTCTTCCTGCTGAGGTGTTTCACCCTCAAATCGATGCTTTAAGCGAGCAGAGATATGGAATCATGCGGTTTCTTGACTCAGCCAGAACATGTCATATATTGTTTGAGAGGGCTAATCGGGTAGGTAGTAAGCTCGTACCCAAACTACGACTTGACAGTACAAACTACAGACGAGACTTGAGTTTGATGCTGACATTTTGATCCAAGCGAAGAATGTTAACGGCCCACTGATTTACTTTTGGGATATTCGAAGTCTCTTTCTCGTCTAATTCGATTTCCGCAAGGGAAGTCAACAGCACCACGAATATTTTCATGTGCATGATAGCGAATAGGCGACCCTTGCACTACATAGACAAATTAGTCTCACTGTACTAGAAAATACAGCCGATTCAACGTACTGCATGTATTCCACCGCCAAACGCAATTGGCACATCCCGTCTTCTATTCCGAATGCTGAAGCGGTCTACAATGAAGGCATGGGGATCTGGATATACGGAAGGGTCGAAATGATGAGCGCGTATGTTTGCCATGACAAAATCTCCAGATTTGATCAGAACTGAGCTGTGTCCATCGCTAAGATGGATGTCGGATGCCGCCTGACGTGAGGGGGTAGCAACACTGGTCAAGCGTAGCGTTTCGTGGATTGCGGAATCTATAGTGGGAAACGATAAAATATCGAAAGCATTGGGATCGCCTGATAGTCTAAGGATGTCTCCTTCGTACACTTCGAGCGCGGAATTTACTTCTTCTCGAACCTTGGCGAGCGCTTGAGGATTGTTGAGAAGAAAGACTAACATCCAACTTGTGACACCGGTAGAAGCCGCTGTGAAGCCCCAAACAAGGGACAGGAAAAGAGCGGCTCGATTTTTGCCGGAAATGCCGACGAGCTGACATACGTTCAAATAATCTTGCACAAGAGAATAACCTGGCCAGATATCAAGCTTCTGTCCTTCCACGCGCGTTAGATACGCGCTCAGACGTTCCAAGAGGCGTGAACGGGCAGATGGAAAAGCAGACCCAGCAAATGGAAGGCGACAAAGGCGAGGATAAAATGTCTTGTCTAAGAGCTGTAAGTCCGCAATAATGTCGGTAGGGAATGATGGCCCAAAGATAACTTCAGAGATGGAAGAGATGAGGGCTGTATCTACAAGTTGCGAAAGGTCGTGCAACTCCGAGACTGATGCCCGAGCTTTGATGAAGGTTGAAAGAGACAGTGCTAATGCGGGAGAGACTTCGTTTAGAAACTCCTTTTTCCTAAGAAAGCGTCCGGCGATTGGATGGATATGATGGTTAAGGATGTCAGCAAGTGCTGCGCGTTTAATTTCCACCCCACTAAGGGCAGAGACGAGGTCCACTATTTGAACGTCAGCCTTCAGTATGTCTGAAGAGAACAACGCCTTGATGAAACCGCCATTTGAGACCACTGTTGTGGTTCTATCAGCGATCATGATGTGGCACACCGACCCATACTGGAGTCTGTGATCCATCAGCTCAGCCTTACTGAAGATTGTGAAATGCGCTCACCTAAGTCTGTCCATAGCTACACCGGGTCCGCGATAAACGAAATCCAAGGTTTGCTTCAGCGCTTTCATGGCGTTGTACAAGGCAAATAACAAGGGTGAAACTAGGCGTGCCAGTCCGAGGGAGAGCAAGACATGTCCTGCAGTCGAAAGGCACGATGTGAATGAAGGCATACTAAGATGTCCTGTGCGTCGCGACGTCTGACAAACATTACAGTGGCGACTGGCGGTTAAGTACTCTGATGCTGCCGATGCTCCTCATGCACCATGCGCCAAAGTTCCCATCTTCGGACTGTTTCAGCATCGTGGGGATCCACTCTAGGGGATCCAATGGCACTTTGATGGTTGTCCTAACACGACCAGCACGCATGCAATTAGTCCATATTTACAAGCCAGATGTACCTCAGCCAAATAAGCAAACAAAAGCCATTAAGGTAAATGTCAGGTATTAAACAATACTGCTTATATCATTCACCGTACGTGTACATTTGATCACGAGGATATACTATATAGAGTTGAGCCTTGACATAAATGTTGTTGATCCGTCGGAATAGCCCGCGCCCCCAGAATTGCTTCGGACTATAACTAATTAGCTTCCCAGTGGCCACTTGAGTGGCCAGGTACCGGATGCTGTGGGTTATAATATCGCGTGGGATGCATTGATGCATCATGCACTCATGGGTGTACAGTGTTCGGTGAACGTACATGGAGTCTGGACCTAGCCTTGAGCTTGAGTCTCAAGGTCGCACGTACATTTATCTCATGGATGCCGGAGCTTGCGCCGGAGCGTACGCATTGTCCATCGATCCGCCTGCACCATCCTTCTTGAACACGCGCGGGAAAGTTTGCGGGAAAACATACTCTGCTTTTTAGAACATATCCAATGTCAGCGAATTCAAGATGTACACTTGAGCACTCGATATAGCACATAGAGAGGTGACTAGGTAAATTTCTCAAGGACCCAATCGGGTACACTAGAAAGACAACGGGACATCGTCAAGCGTGCACGTGTGACCCTAGTACTCTTCCGAGTCGCTGCTTGAAGCAGACATCTAACAGTAAGCGAACACATGAGAACTCCTATTCAGAAACAATATCGAGCTTTACTAATCCAGATGCACCAGAGACTGCCGCACGTAGTGTGCGGAGCATGAAGGATAAATACGGTCATTCTATCTCGTGTCCTCGCGGTGACGACGCTTTGTCCTGATTTTGATATCTCGACTCATCTGAGCGACATTGAGCGATCTTTCATTCAAGCTCGGTATCTTCAAGCCCTGCTCCCCGCCGTCGAGCTCTATGTTTACCAAGTAGACCAGTAATGCCACAAAGGCTTTGATATGTCTTATCGCAAAGAGACGACCCTTGCACTATTATGTTGTCAGCACCACCTCGCGAGTTAGATTAAGAACGTACTGCATGCTTTCCAGCACCGAATCCAAAGAAGGGTTGGGTCCCCGGTTTGACTCCTGTATGCTCAGCTTGAGAGCTTGCAAGGAAGCGATCGACAATAAAGTCTTGGGGTCTCGGATAGACAACGGGATCGAAGTGCTGGGCGCGAAGGTTTGCCATGAGGAAGTCTCCGTCCTTGATGGGCACCGATGTATTCCCGTGAACAAGGTTTAGATCACATGTAGCTTGGCGGAAAGGAGTGGCATTACTGGTCAAACGCAAAGTTTCGTTGACTGCAGATTCTATGATGGGAAAGGATGAGGGACCGAACGCTTCTGGATCCTCGATAAGCTTGAAGGCATCATCGTGGTAGCGTTCGCGCATCGTAGAATCAACTTCATTTCGGACCTTTGCAAGAGCGGTAGGGTGATAAAGAAGGAATACGATCAACCAGCTTGTTACATTTGCAGAGGCAGCGGCAAATCCCCAAAATGACGAAATAAAGATGGCTGCCCGATCTTCATCCGATAGATCGTAGGAACGCACTGCGTCTATAAAATCCTTTACCAGCGGTCTCCCTGGCCAAACTCCTGTGCTCGATTTGTCCACGAGCGAAAGATACGTCATAACCTGTGACATAAGGCGAGAACGAGCCTCGAGGAAGGCAGAGCCCGGAAACGGAAGCCGGCATACCCGTGAATAAAGGTGTTTGTCGAGGATGCGCAAATCAACTGAGGTGTTCGGTGGAAATGAAGGACCGAAAATGACGTTGGCTACCGAGGAAATGATAGCCCGATCAGCCATTTGAGAGACTGAATGGGCGTCATCGGAGCACATCTGGACTGTGACAAAACCAAGAAGGTCGTCCCCCAGCGGAAGACTGACACCCTGCAAGAAATCTTTGGATCGAAGAAATCGCCCAAGAAGCGGATGGATGTGATGTTTGAGAACGTCCCCGAGTGATTTAGTACCTGCTCCACTCAGTGGATATATGATAGCAACTGTCGACGCAGAGTTATCTAGCGTTGACAGAGAGTACATTGATTTGATCAACTGTTCATCTGAGACTACAGTCATTTTTCTGCCTCCAAGTGTAATCTGGAAAACAGGGCCATAATAGGACCTTTACAAACGTCAAGTCAATACTCCGTCGAGATGTTAAAGAGCATTGACCGAACCTGAACTTGCATAGGGCAACCGCGGGTCCAAGATATACAAAATCAATGCTTTGTTTAACTCCGTTTACTGTGCGAATTAACGTGCGTAGAACGCTGCCGGATAGAGAACTCCAGAATAGCTTAACAAATATCAGGAGAAGTACACCAGCTGCGATTGAAGCCATGGTTGATAGCATGACGGTTAGCGAATATGACCAGTGAGTTGCAGGACGTTAAATACTCCTAAGTGTAGCACTGCCGCCAGGTTGCGTGCGGAAGCATTACCATACTTTACCTCATGTTTGGAACTCGAAAATAAAAGCCTGTCGGTCTGAGGATGTTCCTTACAATCATCGCAATTGGATCCATACTCATGGAACCCAACATCGATGGATCATCTGCCCTCCTTCACAGCAGCCACAGGTGGAAACTTTCGATCTTATCTCTCACAGCCGCGCCTACTTGATTCATGTCCATCGTAAAGGGTCATATGCACTCACATGGATCGCTGGCTTATCATCTGGACGTGAGATCAGAGCGTGGTTACGATAGCTCATAGAGTATACTGTACCTGTTTGGGATAATGGGAGAATGGAGCTAACGGACTTGCTAACGGAGCTTAATTTTTTATTCTTATGCTTGCCCCATGAGAGCAAACGATGAGCCACCTGCACATAAAATGGACCGTGGGCGCTTAAATACTAGACCAACAGGACTGAGACCTGAGAAGTGGAATAGCTTTGCTCGATATGCTACTGGTTATCAAAGGAATTTAAATAGTAAGTGACTTACAATTGATATGATCATTCACAAGTCTTTTCATCATACAAAATGTATACAAAACTCAACGAGAAACTTCGGAATTCACGACGCTAGGCTGTAACGTCTTGATGATCGCAACAAAAGAGGTACAGCTCGTAGCGCTCAAGATCCAGGTCCCAAGAGATTCAGTGCAAGTGGTGATGAACCCGAAAGCAGTGATATCAATCAAGTGTTTGAGAAGACGAATGTATATTTCCCTTGTGATCATACCCGAGTGAATGAACGAAACCTGGACATCCGGGCTGGACGTACGGAGGAATAGAGCTGAGTAATCCTAGTACAACTTGAGGCTGGTCCTGACACGCAGCGAGGAATATTGAATTCAGATCTCACCTTTCGGGTTCCGGTTTAGTACCGTAATATCATGGGAAATCCCGTGGGTGTGATGCCCGCACACAGCACTCGGACGTTCGACCCCAAATCTGAATTGACCGTGCCATGTAAAGGTAGACGGAACGCATATGCATCCCATATGTTGCCTGTTCTAGATACATTGAATTCCCATGAGTATGAAGACCATATCTTCGGTTTAATCTTCCCCGATGCACACCATCCATAGAGTATAGCTACTGTTTGAAACTGTTGATAATTCTACCATGCTGTCTGACCGCATCGGTATTTTTCAGGCTGCCGGCTCCCGCCTGCGGACCATGGCTGCCAGCTGGAGGGTCTAGACCCTCTATATCATTCAGCAAGTTGCACGGTCCTAATAAAATACACCTTACACTACTGCTACCTTGCTATTTACGTTGTTTGGAGTAGCGGCATGCGCTGAAGCTGGCCGGTGTGTTCTGTGATTCTACGATATGAAGGAGCAGCTTGAACGCGCGAGCGCTAAGTAGCGCTAAGTCTCTGTGCCACAGTACTTGCTATGAATAGCCGCAGCAACTCGTCGATGCATCAGTACGGAAATAGGATATCGAGAACCCACGACGAGGCGGCAATAAAACAGGCATCGCAACTTGCCAGCAAGCGTCGCGTCTGTCATCAGCTGGCAGTAGCAGCAAGCCACAAGGATGTGTCCATCCATTTCCCTTGCTTGCGTGAGAGGAATGTTGATCTGACTGCAGCATTGCTCTATTGCATTACTTTACTTCGCGGTGATCTTAAAATGGAAGATGTGTAGATCAGTACAAGGCTGTACCTGCGTAAATGTATGAACTATCGGGCAACCGCGGATTCGGACACCTTTTCTGCTTCTTCCGCCACATTCCATAGCTTGTTACGATCCTATCGGAAGTCCAGAGCGCTGTACAGGTTCTCGAAAATTGGCTTGGGTTTCTTGGAAATCACAAGTTCTTTACTTGATTTGCACACCTTTGGACACTTGTGATAACGGCGATCATGGTCTCTGATCTTTCTGATTCAGAATGTTCCTTGTTTAGATATTAATAAATTTCTGAGTGGTCTAGCTTGGATTCCTGTTACAGTTGCGTCTCACCCAGCTCATCGCAGATCCCGAGATTTGTCGATTCTCAGTGCCTCGTGGGATCTCGGGTAAGATCATGGACACAGTAATTTCAAAAGTATTGGGCTCGGCCATCTAGGCATCAGTGCTGCAAAGTGGAATTCTCGGATGCACTCGTTGAGCCGGAATCACGATCCCAATACTCGCCAGATCGTGCACCAATTATCGTACCTTTAAAAGCACGGATTCTTTATTTCAAACCCAGCTATACCTCTCACTTTCTCCAAAGAATGACGGAGGAAAAATCAGTGACAAGCGTAGTCGACGCTGAGCGTAGTGATACCCAGACGGACAATACCACAACGACAGTAGGACCACGCATGTCTAATACATCTACTCTTTTGAAAGGGAAGCGACTCGCTATTGTTTTTATGTGAGTGCTTGGTAATGGATTCATAGTAGCGAGCTCATGGTCTCCTGCTTCCAGGTCGTTCTTGATAGCCCTTGGTCTCGTTGCCTTGGACCAAACAATCCTTTCTACTGCATTGCCTGTTATCGCTTCGTACTTCAACGCTGTTTCAGACCTGTCGTGGATAGCAAGCGCGTACTTTCTTCCACAGGTCAGTTGCCGCGAGTGAGCTTGATTATCCTGATATAATTATGCATATTAGGCCGTTTTCATGCTGTTTTTTGGACGCGTCTTGACGCTTGCTCCTGCAAAGGTCGTGTTCCTTCTAACGATCTTTTTGTTTGAGCTCGGGAGCCTCTTTTGTGCTGTGGCTCCCTCGGTGGATTTTCTGATATTCGGCAGAGCTTTTGCTGGACTAGGTGCATCAGGCTTATGGGTTTGTATCATGTCTATCATCGGAAGGGTAAGTCCTATGTTTTTGCCCCGCTTATAGATTAGTAACAACGCTCCAAAGGTTACTACGCTTTCGCAGCGCCCACTTTTGATGTCTCTATTTGGTGCGCTGTGGGCGGCCTCCTCGGTAGTTGGTCCCTTGCTAGGAGGCGAACTTGCAGGTGAGCTCTTACTTTATTAACTATATCAACATCTTAACGTTCGAGGCCAATGCGTTCCGGCCTGTAGATCATGTTTCATGGAGGTATGTGTAACAAAGCTCTCGTTCGTATTTTCTTCTGCTAAGCAGGCACTAGGTGGTGCTTCTGTACGTTTGGATTCCACCTCTAATCTTCTCATATCTAAAATGCGATCATGCAGATATTAACCTTCCGGTGGGTAGTTCTTATAGTGCAGAATTAAAGTCTTAGTTTGAGACACGTTATCCACTTAGCTTGGAGGCGCCGCCATTGCTGTAGTCGCCATTTTCCTCCCAAACCTTGCTACGGACAGTGAAAAATCGGGGTCATTCCAAAAATGGCTTCACTTGGACTGGGTCGGAACCTTACTTAGCTTTGCTATGGTGACCTTTCTTCTCATCCCTTTGCAATGGGGCGGCGTCGTCAAGTCATGGAGCTCTCCCGCAGTCATTGTCTTATTGACGCTGGTATAATTATTCTTCCTTTCAGGTGAACGATCTCAGTTAATTGTCATACTATCCAGTCAGGATTGTCCATAGTAGCTTTCCTCTTATGGGAGATACACCAAGGAGATAATGCAATCTTGCCTACCAAGATCTTTTTTCAGCGCAACATGTTCTGGATCTGTGTAACCACAGTAAGTACAGAAACCATAATCCTTCCTAGAGGCTTACCAATCCCCCTAGTTCTTCGTGGGGGTCTGCTTTGTTCTTGGCTCAGTGAGTTTTCTTTTCTTTCGAAATGATAATTCCCTTCTTACCCCTTGGTACAGTACTATCTTGTAAGTCCATTTTTGTACATTATTAAGGATATATAACGAATAAGCGTTATCCCAGCCTATCCTTTATCAAAGCAAAGGTCACTCTGCCATCAAGTCAGGGATAGACATCCTTCCATATATGATGTATGTTGCTAGCTTTGGTCGCCTTCGCCTGTTTACTAATCGCGGCGGCTTAGTTCTGGTGTTATTGGTGAGTTGATTATACATTGTGTTAACCTATCCGCTCACAAAACCATCGAAAAGCGTCAATTATAACGGCCAGTGTTGTAACAGTAAGCCAGATCATGCGTGTCCGTGAGCTCGCTACAATGACGTAATACAGGCCACTGGATACGCTTGGCCATTTGTTATCTTCTGTCCCTCAATTGCGTCAGTCGGGTTCGGTCTTCTCTATACTGTGACACCACAGACGAGCATTCCTCACATTATTGGCTTTCAAATACTCCTTGGTGCGGGGTTGGGAGGAGCCATGCAAATTACGGTAGGTTCTCGGAGCAGGTCGTCCCGTCTTTATTGTTGACACGTTCCATAGCTCGTTATCGCTCAAGGAAAAGTTGCACACGACCCAAAGCTCATATCAATTGCTACATCGCTTGTGACATTCTCTCAGCTCATGGGTTGCTCCGTAGGCCTTGCGTGAGATTAATATTTGTATTTTCGTCGCCATTTTAACGCCTAATTTCTTAGGATTGCCGGTGCTATTTTCACCAGTCAGCTGCGACATCAGCTTACGGTATTATTGCCTGAGGCTTCTTCCAGTGTGATAGATGCAATCGCATCTAATATCGAGATGGTGTTTGAGCTTTCGAGTGACGAGCAAGTCCTTGCTATACGTGCGTATATGTCGTCTACAAATCATGTATTCTTGATTGGCGTTCCTTCCGCTGCGCTTGCTTCCTTGTCTGCCTTCGGTATAGGTTTCGGAAAGATTGTGAAGGTTACCTAGAATAATGCTCCGTGAAATTTACACTGTATATACAATTTACGTCTTTAAAGTAGCTTATTATGGATACTTTGGCCGAGGGTTTTGTCCCCAGCATGCTGGCTATTACAAACTCCTATATCAAAGTGCGCCTGATTGGTAAGGCAGCTGGATTGGGGCCTTGTTATTGTGGACCCGTTTTGGTCGGTATACGACATAAATGCATAACTTTTGACCTTGCCTTTTCACCGGGGTTAATAACTGCGTCGATAATGCTTTGTGGGGTTTGGCATCGCGCTATGGCAAATACTCGTGCTATGGTGTCTTATCAGTAGAAAGTTTACATAACCTACCATGCAGTGCTTATCGTAGGGCGACATGTGATGGTTCACATGAAGTAACCACTATTCCGATCAGATCAGAGATATTCGTGTGAGATTCCAATCACGCAAGGCGATCATATGCCCATTTCAGATGTGTAAAACCCTCTAGCAGGTATCAAGGACGTAGTATTCTTCGAAGGCCAACGGATAGCAGAACGGCCGCCATGGAGTGAAACCCCCGAAATCAATGCTGTCACGCAAATGCATCATACCATAAAGTCGGACAAAACCTAACGGAGCCACCATAGCGAATATACGCAATCGATCACATCATATATAACTCATGCCAGACTGAGGATATATGTGCCAACAACAAGGACCCGAGGGGATCATTCTGTCGGGGAAGCGATTATCGCGTTATATCCAAGGGGATCAAAAGATGGATGCAAGTGCGATTCACCTGCGATGTGATCGTATCAGAACATGAAGCTGAAAGTTTGATTATCCGTTTCTTGCTTATGCTGATATCTCCCTCCGCTATGTATAGCAGGGAAAGAACAAGAGGGAACCATCAGGGAAAGCGAAGACGAAGCTAGACCTAGCGGTTGCACTGCTTCGTTCAGGGGTAGCCCCAAAATCATGGGCGATAGATGCATTGATGATGGCTCATTGGGCGAGTCTGTGCTACGTACCAAAGCAGTCCAAGGCCTCCTTGCAAAGTCTGGTTATGAAGTTTAAACCCGGGGACTTGTATAAATTACTATCTTCGTGCGTTTCTCTCTCACTTGACGACAGTAATTAATGAACAGCTCGCAGCACACCCATGGGCCTCTCGCCATAGTCCTCTACCACACACAGGATTATGTAGCGGCGAACCCCACCCGTTGTGTGCTTCTCGCGCTTCTATCTGCACCCCTACTTGCGATATTCTTCAATGTTCTGAAGCAGCTCGTGAGTTGTATTTAATTTTGTGTGAAATTCAAATATGCTAAGAGAGCTTCTCAGGTAATCCCCAAAGATCCTTCGTTGCCGCCTGAAGTATTCTATTGGCTTCCTCTTATTGGCTCAGCGATTCAGTACGGTAATGATCCCCTCAAGTTCTTTTTCCAATGCAGAGAAAAGGTTTACATTACTTTTCAATCCAATATATTCATTCGTGTTCCTCATTCATTTGATCGCAGTATGGTGATGTCTTCACCTTTGTCCTCTTCGGTCGTAAAATTACGGTTGCGCTTGGAGACAAGGGCAACAACTTCGTCCTCGGCGGCAAGCATACCTCGTTTTCTGCTAAGGATGCGTACACTGTAAGGTCATATGATTCAATCGAAACGCGCTCATTTCGTTTTTTTTTTGGCTAGCACCTAACCACACCGGTTTTTGGGAAGGGTGTCGTCTATGACGTTCCACACGAAGTCTTCATGGGGCAGAAGAAGATGGCCAAGGTCGGGTTGTCCGTCGACAACCTCCGCAGCTATGTCGGAATGATTGAAGACGAAGTCGAGGAGTTCTTAGGTAGCGATAGCAACTTCTTGGTTTCTCAGGAGAACGACAACCAAGACTGGGGATGTTTCGACGTCACTGAAGTCATGTCCCAGATTACCATCTTGACGGCTTCTCGTACACTCCAGGGCAAGGAAGTTCGTGAATGCCTTGACAAATCCTTTTCTGAGCTCTACAATGATCTCGATGGGGGGTTTACGCCTCTCAACTTCATGTTCCCCAACCTTCCCTTGGACAGCTACCGCCGCCGTGATCGCGCCCAGCAGAAGATGAGTCAGTTCTATGTGGAAATTATCACGAAACGCAGGCGAGGGAATTTGAGCGTGTGTTTGTTCACATCCTACGGTAGTGATTTATCCAGCTAACACCGGTCCCAGGCGGAGCGCGATATGATTGCTGCTCTTATGGAGCAGAAGTACCGTGACGGTAGCTTTATGCGTGATCACGAGATTGCCCATCTCATGATCGCCATCCTCATGGCAGGACAGCACACTAGTTCTGCTACTAGTTCTTGGGCACTTCTCCACGTCGCTCACGATCAGAACATTCAGTATGTATGCTGGTTATTATGTAAACAATTATTTTACCATCCTTCATTCTTCCAGGAAAGCACTCTACGAGGAACAGGTCAAGTACTTTGGTACTGGTGAAGGCCAGTTTCGCTCCGTCACCTACGATGAGCTCCGTCAACTTCCTATTGTGAACTCAGTCATTCGTGAAACACTCCGCATGCATCCTCCTTTGCACAGTCTCATACGCAAGGTTTGCGAAGATGTCCCTGTCCCTCCCACGCTTTCATCTCCCTCGGGGGGAGGCACCTACATTGTTCCTAAAGGTCATTATGCTCTCTCATCTCCCTCTGTCAGCCAAATGGATCCTCTGGTATGGTTGAAGCCCAACGACTTCGATCCTTCCAGGTGGCTTGATCCCAATGATACTGCGGCGAAAGCCTTCTGTGTTTACAGTGACGAGATGGGCGATAAAGTGGACTACGGTTTCGGTGCTGTGAGTAAGGGTACAGACAGTCCATATCAGCCGTTTGGCGCTGGTCGGCACCGGTGCATTGGCGAGCAATTTGCCTACCTTCAGCTCGGTACAATTATCTCGATCATTATTCGAAAGTTCAAGCTCCAGCTCGAGGTCGACAGGGTTCCAGATCATAACTACCATGTGAGTTTCTTTGAAACCCTCAGATTCCCACCACCGACGTTGCTCTACTATGAAGACTATGATAGTGGTGCCTAAAAAGCCGCGCAACATCTGCTATAGACAGCGCAACTTTGGATGAGCCTATAGATGTATGCCGATTGGCTTTACGAAGCCACGTTAGACTCAGGCACCTTTGTGATGTAACCCATATCCTGAAATATGAAGGACTCTTTCAAAGCTCGAGACTTTAATTAAGAACCCCATGTTTCAACATGGTCGGTGGAAGGTGACTTCAACTCCAGTTAAAGCAGAGTGAATGTTAGCGCAGTGTTTGAAGCCAGCGCCCTAGCCGTCCTCTTTTGTGTTAGAATGTATCATCGGTCAATCAGGAAACCTGACAGTGAGTAGGATGATCGAACCAATAATATAAGTAAAGAAACATGGATATCAACGATTGGTTATGTGTCACTTGGAAAAACTTCCAAATTTTGATCCAAACGTTCAGTCAAATCCTTTTTAGCAAACGTTTTGGATTGCACAATTGCGGCTCAGAAACCTGGTCAATAAGACCTTAAGGTAGCAATCTTTTCACTTCACCCGTTGATAATAACCAGGTGCTGGAGGGACAAGCTGCAGTATTAGGCATGAATGCACGGTAGACATGCTTCGCCACTATGAGCCATGTACTAATACCCAGCCTTGATCATGCAAATGCATCACAGCTCTTTGGCAGCGCTGGGGTAAATGCGGTGCCTTGCCAGACCATGTTGAACAAAGTGGCTGAGGACCATTGATAAAAGGGCACCTCCCGTTCTTAGCCGAACTTATTGTTAGCTTTGCCAGCGGACATCAGAGATTCCGCAACACTCCTGGGACTCAACGTGGTATGAATTACTCGTATATTCAAAATTTCTGCCCGCTTTTATTTGGTTCTCTGTTTGTGGTATTGATGAGATCCCCTTCAGATCAGATTCGCTCTCGATCTGGACATCCTCACCCTTTTAGGGCCATACTCCCGGTGATAAGATAACGAACCCTAACCTAGCGCTTCCTTCGTTGCCATCCTTCCCTCCCCTCCTTCCTCCCCTCCCCGTTTTCGCACCAAGGATCCCCGCGTCCGCAGAGCTGGTACGTCGCTCAAATTCTCTAACGTCAACACTCACTTATTTCAGCCCTCCCACGAGGCAGCTTTAAGTGCGTACCACACTCCATTGCTGTCGGGCTATGAACTCACGAATACCTGACGATAGCACTCTCCCGACTTTGTAATGGTGATCTCCGTCTCTATTCCTTCTCCCGACTTTTCCCCATATCGCCCCTGTCCTCCCTACAGATGCAGGATATACAGGTACGCTCTCGCTCGAATACCTAATATCCCCCAACGATAAAAGTATCCATCATAGACCCGAACTCGTCGGTCGTGAACGCATACTTGATCGCGGATAGCTCGGGTCCCGTCTTCCGGCGCGCCCTCTCTCATTCCAGGCACCTTGGGCAGCCCAACCATGGCCAAGGCTTTGCTCTCACGCCGCCCGTCCGCACCTCGCGTTTAGCGAGCTCATCCCCGCGTTTGAAGCACGCGCCAGGGTGTCCTGTTTGCGTCAGTGTGTACCGCTGTATATCTTGCACTCCCCGTACTATTATAGGCAGGCGTTTCGCAAGATGTACAATGATGCTGGTACGCCTTTTGCTTGCAGACTTATACCCTTTAGTGACATTGCAGCTTAATTATATATTTGCCTGTCCGGTGTTAGGCTTCGAATCGGTGAGCACTTTTCTACATATTTGGATTTGTTTCACTTGCTGTGCATACATCTGCTCACGTCGGAGCTTCTGTCGTCACGCAGCGTCTCTTTGACTGTTTGACCGCGGATCGGTGCTGTTTCATCGGTTTTAAACTATCTTTCCACAAGTCGAATCGGGAGGGTCGGTCTGCGTGTCTGACGCACACGCCGATCCGACGTGTCGCGACAAGTCCTATCTCGCTCGTGCGTAGCTGGCTTCTCAAATACTGAAGTAGTAGGATTACCTCATGCCGGAGATGCTTTGCTCCTCTGCGTCACATGCTGCGCACGAGCCATCTTAGAAACTGGGAGGCAGGTTAGGAGGTGGGTGTCGGTCGGTCGCCCTCCTTCGTTCCAGGGTATTTTTCTCGTGCCCTCCCGCCATCCCCATCGAGCTCGTATTTTTTCCTGCCTAGATACGTCGAACTTTGTTGTTTCTGTTCCCGGTTTTTCTTCTTCTTTTTTTTTCGCCCCCATGTTATACTTATGTCGGGTTATTCATCATATATTGTAGTCTGCTCCACGTAATATTCTCGAGCTCCCGGTCAGCCTGGGAGTCGCGGCGCTTCTACCTCTTGGTGGCGAACCAGCCACCAACTACAACCCCGATCACTCCCCCATGGTATCTTCAGTATCCGGCTTATATCGCTCCCATTCCCTTTCCACGTATAGCCACCGTAGGTTCCATTGCTCGCCTCTATTTCTGACTTTAATGATCGTCTCTTACAAAGGTGATGTCGCGTTCATGTGGAGGTGCATATTACTCAGTTACTATAGTCTGCTCATCGTAGGTTATTTCTATTGAATGTTCAAATTGTCTCATCTGCAATGTATGTTACTTTGATGCTGACTACATTGCGTGACGTCTTGGCGTATCAAGGGTCTCCAAGCTTTACTAGCTTTATAGGTGTGAACAAAATTCCGTCGCATAAGATGTCTGATTTAACCTTGATGGGCGCAATGTGGTCGCACCTTGATAACTACCGTCCATCTGCTGTTCGTTTTCGAAAGGAGATACGTCTTGGCTAAATCGGTCACTATTCCCATGTTTATACATAGTTTAAAATTCCGTGCATTGTGCTTTTCCCTCCGCAAACGTTATGCTAGACTTCATGCACTGAGAACACTCGGATTCTGCGTTAATCATAAATGAGTGCCTTCAACGTTTTGGTGATTGCGCCAGTGCACTAGGAAGATGATCATCTCAGCACTCTGATGGGACATGTTACCCGTATCTTCAGCTTCAATGTTTTCCCCAGCTTATTTTTGCTCCTATTTGGCAGCGGTCACAGGGTTAGGGTTAGGATGGGTTATTGTCCTTTGTCTTCATGTTATGTAGCAGGCAAAAGTTCACACATATTCTAATTGTTCATGTCCTCGCCCATTAGAGCTAGCATTAAACGATGCCGTAGCGGAGCACGGCATGTCTTGTAGTACTTATCTCTTTTATATCTGATTCGGGTTGCCAGTACTTATCATGGCGTGCGACATCGACTCATTCGGCTGAGGATCGTAATCAAACTAACAGTTATTGTGAACCCTGGATGACCTTTATTAACAGTACAGGGACGAACATATGTCGCATCAAAGACACTGGTTCTGATGAAACGACTAGATGATCCGGATAGTTCCATGCACAACGCCGCTATAAGGCTGGTCTTAAGTTCTAGGCACACCGCACTGATGCGCAACGCACTAGACTGAGTTTTCCCTTCCTCGTGTACGATGAACAAGGAAATCAGCTAGACGAGGATAATCAAAGAAAAACAAAATTTCCGGGTCGATGAAAGCGTGTAAACAGCCCAAAGAGCGTGAGAGGCTTGCTGAGAATCAACTCGCGGTTGTATAGTATATATATGATGGCTGCTAGGAACTTGATGGCGGCGCTTATTGAATCCTGAGTTTCACCCGCTCTCCCACACGTAGGGACAAACTTCCATTACAATATGTTATAGCCTTAAGGATGTGAGCGTCCTTTTCTGTTTTTATTATTATTGGAGCTCTTCCCGAGCTCATGCAACGTACTAGCTAGATGCTATTGAAAGTACGCTATTCCATGCATAGATGATATATAGACGCTACTGTATAGATAATCAATTGGCGACAATATTTGCAACAATAGATCTTGGAGTACCTTCAAAACCAAAGGTTTAGCTACGCGCAACTTGTAGATAGGTTAACCTATTTGGAACATTCATTATCCAAACGATCCGAAAAGACCGGTGACGGACAGAATGAGCTGGGCCTCTGACTGTATTCGCTCACTGCAACGGTAAAGACCTGCAGAGCGTAGGAGCTTGAGAACCCGGGAAGGGTGTCATATAACAAGTCATCATCGATTGAGATATTGACTGTATGATCCTGAATCACCCTAAGGGTCATTGAAGCGTCAGAGACGTTGTCCGGCTTATTGGTAGCCGGCTTGTTTACTTGATTACTGGTCATTTGGCGTGGAGCGCATGATTTGCTGTGAGGAACGCGGAAGGGGAAGTTGAAGGCATTGTTGGGTGTGTTTTTGAAGGGAGGGTCTACGCCGCGGGAGAGCCGGAAGCGATCATCTGAGGGAGGAGATAGATTCCCTTGATGAGTGAGAAGAGACTGGCTCAGGACAGGAAGAACAATGGACTCCAGGATAACGTTCGTGGAATCCATTTCGCTCTCAAATCTCGAATCAAGTTCCTGTCAAGTCAAGAGTCAGATACAGGTTGTGGTGCGACGAAGACCGTTTACCACGGAAGGGGCAGATACCTCCTCAAGGGTGGTACTCATCTCGTCGGCCCAGATAAGAATAGATGTGCTGCAGGTTTCTTCGTTGATATCGATGACTTCCAAGCGAAGCGGATCAGAGTTGTCGGAATCATCAGTGTCGTCGGTATTGTCAGTGTCATGGCACGAAACATTAGGACTTGTACCCGTGGGCGAACTAGGCTGACATTGGCGACGGTGGTGGGGGCGAAGGAGGGTGGGGTGCATAATGACGAGAGGAAACGTGGCGAGGGCCACCACAGACCGAAGAAAAGTGAAAGAAGAGGAGAGGAGCGAGTCAGACGTAGACATGAGCAATGCTTTGCTATGAATCCGGGGCACAGCGGTGGCAAGGAAGAAACGGGAAAAGGATGGGGAGGTGCATTGATATACCTGAGGAAACAGGAAGCTACAGCAGACGGGCTCGGCCAAAGCAGTGATAGGAGAACCGACTAATCAAGGATTGATATCGGGTACACAATGCACTCTGGGTTATGCATCGCAGCACTTTGTTGGCGTTCGCAGGACCAATGTTGGGTTTGAGGCCTTGTAATCTATGGATAGAGGAGAGTGTTAGTTGAAAGATATGAGAGGCACGCATCGACCACACCTGGTACCCGTTCATACTGGTATTGCATCACAAGGAAGCCGTCGCTGTGCTTCGGCACTTACAGTAGGTAGAGGCTCGTCTCGGCCGATAAGACGACTCCCATAGATATCTGTCACGGAACCCACCGACATCCAACTTTGCTGAGCATTTCCATCACCGATCAAAACCTAAGCTTGCTGTAGATTAGACGGCAAGAACATTAACCCAGTGCATACAGCCTGTTAGTTTGTGCCTGATTCTGGGTAAATTGTATCCGTATCACAAGGACGTATTTCCCCGGGTAGCTACCCGACAGGGATATCAGGCCTCAGGAACAGCGGACAACCAGAAGATCAGACGCCTGAGTCATGGGCGCCGCTACCAGCATAAGTTCGGAGTGTACCGAACGAGTGGACAAGAGATATAGCGGGCCTACAACATAAAAATAAGCATTTTTCATACTTTAACATTGACCTCCCTTTCTTTACATCAACCGGGTTCAACAAATTGAAGCAACTGTACCTTAGATGCAACGCTTTATCCTGAAATGTAAATCCCTGCAGTGGAAGATCGAATTATTCGTATCTTCAACATTTCTGATTTCTTTACCGTATCATGCTTGGCAGTAAGCTGAGGGTTAGGGTTATTAGTTCATCCGATCACCTCATGAGCCGGACTAAGGCAGCAAAGGTATATCTTAGTTGAGCAAGAATTCATATCAAAGGTTGAAAGCAAACGACGTTTTTGCACACTGGCAGCTGACTTGCAACTCACTCTGATATAGCACGGCTCTTTGAAAATCAGAGACCCTGAAATGCCTTGAGTATGATTCGGGGTATGGGACCACGTACCGTTGTGGCCGCCGCAGTGCTGACCGGACCGCCGATGTCAACACAAACATAGCACTACAACAGCCCAGGTGCGATCATAGTCTCGCGGAAGCTGCCGCCGCTGGGCTGAGGAACCTGATGCTTCATGGATAATGGAAGCAAGTATGATTCACACAAGAAATTTGAACGCTGAGCGCTGGCGCTGAGATCTGGGATCTGAAGATGTGATGCGTTGTGCATGCGCGGCATACATGGACGAATCACATCGCACTGTGATGCGCGCGAAAAGGGAGAAAGGCAGCGAACGAAGGCAATGAGCGGAGATTGAGCTCTATTTTGCTGATGAGGGCGAGGACACCCTTATCGCGTGTTTCGACCAAGACCCTAACCCTAGTAGCCTTCATATTGCACGAGAAAACACAAGCCGGATAAATATTGAAGATACGAGTAAAGTAAAATGATCGGCGGGTATTAACCAGTAGAAGTCGGATATCGGAACGTGTACTGCCCCAGACACTCGGCGCAATACTGGCGCAATACCGTAAGTACATACCAACTTGAAGTAACGTTACCTTCAACTTCCGCTGTTCAAGCCAAGTTTTTAAGGGTCGATGGCTAACCTGCTTGCCTAGGTAATTTTGATCTTGTTTGTCCGACATCTCATCGATCTCATCGATCCATCTTGACTCTTACACTCTCGTAAGCCGACAAGCAAATGAGGGCTAGCGCCCATTTGAGCCTTTCAGAAGACTGACGCGGAAGAAGGGGAAGGTGCGTTGAACCCGAGTTGGTCCATGGTGCACGATTCCCTTCAGCGTGCCAAGTAACAAAACTCACAGTATGGCAAATTCTACAAACCTGATCCTCGCTATATATTTTCCTTGAATTCATATGTAATTGTTGGTGGCTAGCACTAGGGAACACTGATGGCCTACGCTATCCTTTGTGAGCGTTTTATCACATATATATCATAAGTCGCCTCCCTGACGATGTCACCGTCTGAGCTCATGGTAACTCTGACCCTTTAAAACGCGTATCCCTACCAATGATAGTATTACACAACCGAGTTGAATCCATCATCCATCCATCGGCGCTTCTTAAGCACGCACCTCGGACACTGCTAAGCTTTGACATAGAAGTCATACTGGGTGGTCATCCACACAAGGGACACAGCTTGTTGGTGGAGTGTTGAACAACGATCGAATGCGGACATAGGTGTGATAGCAACTCACTCGAAATCACCAGGGTGCTGAACACCGGGGACATAACCTTGGCTGTGCGGTAGACAAAAATCTCGGAGGTGAAGTGACCAAAGGCGATCAGGTATGTTAACAAAGCCATGTCATAGATGCTGCAGGTGATATGAGCAATTGTCCCCATATGTTCGAACGACGTCAGACCTCTTGTTGTTAATATGATATGCCGCATATCCTCTCACCACCGCAGAAGTGAGTGTCCATACCGCGAACGTCCTCGCGTGGAGGTTTGTGACTGACATCTTTGCTTAGCAACTCGCGCGCAGCAATAATCAGACATGGCAAACCGGACTGAGGGGGTGCAAGGCCGTATAATCGACGCGTGAATTTGAGTGTAGCGAAGTTTTGAACCGTATTGAAGATGGATAGGGACGCGGCGACAAGCTGGAATTTAGGCAACAAGCCTTCCGCTTGGGGTAGAACTGAAGAAGGTGTAAACCATGCTATATTTGTCAGAGAAAGATGGAACTCACAGCGAAGGAACAAGCTGAGTGACGACATGCTGGAGGATCTATACTACTAACAACTAGTGCAAGCGCTTGCGCCGACCGTCTATGCTGCTGCGAATCGGTAAGACAAGCCCGGGCAGACCAAGTGAGAATATCTGTGTTTATATAGCTCTACAGCTAATAATAAATCATTGAGACGCAGCCCTGTACATGTAAGGCACACGTATGGATGCAGCAGGGTAAAGTGGCTGCGCATACTGCATGAAAACTCCAATTGCCAAAAGTTGTGACTTAAGTTATGAATATAGGGCGAGCAGCCATGGAAAGCTGTAGTAGTGCTAGTATACTAAGTCTTAGTCGTTAGTTATTACGAAATTCTTGCGCGTGAGAGGTCAGACATACGGCGATTATATTAGGATATCCACAATGCAAGAAAGTCAGGCAAAGCATGGGAAGGCGTGATCAGAAGGATCGTGCATCAGTGAAGTCGAAATACCGGAAATCGTTTAGGTTGGCCATGAGGCCGCCGCATCGCCGTCTTCAACGTTCCGATGCCATTGCTTGCGAAAAGTGCTCATTGAGATTCTTTATTTGTAGATTAGATGAATGATGAACGATGAACTCTGCTGGGATGGCCATGGGAATCTATGGGACTGAGATTCGTATCCCTTGGGCAGATCGTTTGGAAGGAAAATAGACGTTCCTTCTGGATCGAGACTCGGAGCCTTGTCCCAAGTATATCTCAGGGGGAGATTCTGGTAGATCGCGTCGGAATCAATCTCAATGAGACTCACATCCACCGGCGGAGTACAACACCCAGTCACAAGTGATGTGGAGTGATTCGCCGACTATACCTGGTCCTCACATGAGGTCGGTTAATTGGCGTCGTGCCGCTCCCAGTTGTGCAGCGGCGGTGATGAACGGGCTAGTGAATGGGAGACATTTGGCTGTTGAAACGTCAACTTGAGGCGTTTCAGCTTTCGTTAGCTGGATGCATGAGACAGACTAAATTAGCGACCCGACAGAGCTTGACACACGGAAAAGCACCAGCGGCAAACCTTGGCAGACATCGTCAGATGGTTAGGCGAGGCAGTCAAGATACCTAGCAATCCGCTGTAAGTTACCATCTCCAAGCGTCTTAAACTGTCTGTCGTGCTGCCGTGAGTACTAGTAAACGTTAGTAATATCCACTTCACTTGCTGATTCTTCATGGCTCTGGTCTTCTCTTCATAGGGAACTTATATCATACTTATTCTTTTCTTTCTGCACGACGCAAGGACACACGCAGATATGCATAGCGCGAGGCCCTCGGTGAGTGGCACTAGTTGTTCCTTACCAGTCATATTGAAAGCCTGTTGTTCAGTATCTTTTTGCATGAAGATGAGAAAGACATTTCAGGATTAAGGCCAAGATGGACAGCACATATTCCACTCAAGTTCAGCACCACACTTAGTGCCGTCATCTTCCACCTTCGACAATCGAACTCTCAGTCTTCATCGAAATTTCATCGTCAAGTCACGCGTGCCAACCGTACGTTTCCTAGGCGAAGGAGAATATTCAGCGTCATCTTTATCCCCACTCTCGCCTGGTTAGAGTCGCTCATATATGCCGCTGGCGGCATTATTATACCGCCTTCTCTCGCTGTCGGTTCCGAAGTGACCTTCAGATGATTCAGCTTCCCTGGACGAGGAAATTTTACCAATAGTATAGGCGAGGTAAATGATTCCCAAGGCGATGCCCTTCGCAAGTGATATAGTGATAGTCAACTGTGTTCATCCCGAGCGCTCCAGGTCGGTCGTCTGCACCGACTCAGGGAACCTTGTTGCATGATTTGGTTCTAGTAGGGAAAGCGCCCCCGTTGTTCTTCTGGCTGTTGCATCCGTCATAAAACTGGTGCACGGGCCTGCCCCACTCTCCAATCCACGCCTCCTTTTTGAAAACGCTCATAGATCTCGGGTTTCCTCAACTACGTTGCAAGATCCAGGCCCGAGTCTGCCCTATAGTTAATGACTCACCATCCGTGACAATCCTGATTTCGAGTTTCAACGTCGCCACCCGCTCTTAGTTTTCTCCGTAGTTCCGCTAATTTTCAGCGTCCGGTGAGCTTGTAATGTTTTAGAACTAGCGGATATTGACCATAGAGCTATTCGCAAGGCTTTAACATGTTTCGCCTACGGGTGGTAAATTAAGCGGCCTGGCACGTGTACTCGCGCTTCATCAAACGTAATTTCCTATCCTCGACTATGGCTGCGAGGTATAGCATCCTCAGTGACGACAGTATGCCGTATTACATGCTCGACGTGGTTACCTCAAACGCCAAGTTCGTCACGCACCTTCATTTTCTTTCTTCGTATACAACAATACGGCAGCGATGTCCCTTTCGCCGAGACCAATCTCCGACATATGGGATTTCTTTCTGGAAACTCGGGTTGTCAGTGAGGTCGTGCTCAAACGAGGAGTGCTGCTGAAATTATAGATGGATCCAGTCAATCAGAGCTGCAATTTAGGGCTGTTAGGCCGAGCTGCGAAGACAGGAGAATTGCCCAGCTGAAAACTCGATAATCAAGTTCCTGTCAACCTTCAGGTGTCGGTACGTGCTGAACGCTCAATATCTTGCTTCTGCATACTGATTCGACCATGTACACTGATAGGCCTGATGGAACTCACGCGAGGAGAGCTTGACGCATGTCTCATGATCTCCTCACTCCTCTCAACTTCATTCTACTATCTCATTGTAGGCATTGCCAGTGCTGTCCTCTATCCCATCAGTAAGTTTGAATGCCTGCGGTATTTCAGACTCGGATAGTATCTGACGTTGTGTCGCTCTTCAGGTTTGTTCTAGCTGGCATTCACCTCGTATCTTGAGGTCCCTTGGACTGTTCCCGAGCTTGCCACCGTTTTATTCGGGACAAGCATCCTCTTCGTCTTCACGTCGGACTTTACATACCTCATTGTCGTTGATTGGCCCATTGCTACTTCTGTGCTCGCGAGCAACAGCTTTATCCGTTCTTCGTTCGGATTCGCTTTCCCCTGGTTCGCGGGTGCCATGTACGAGCGCCTTGGTACAGCCGGTGCCACGGCGCTGTTGGCCGGCTTAACGACAGTCATCGCACCGCTCCCGAGAGTTTATCTTCCTCTGAACCAGATCCCCGGCCTTGGCCGTACTGTCTGAGGATAAATTGAAAGTGTATGCTCGCCAGTACTTCATTTCCTGTCAGATCCATATTCTACAAGATCGACGCTCGCCTCAGGCAGAGCTCGAGATTCGCAGCTTCGTAAACGATCGTACGTTGGACCTTGTTCTTGAAAATTATTTACACAGCTCGCGTATGCTTGTTTATAAATTATGACTTGTGTCAGGAACGTTACAATGGTGAAAGGCCGTCACTAGCAAGAGACCGCTACGGTCTTTTTATTAAGGGCTACGGGCACCTTTGATCTACCTACTCCTCCACGCTCGGGTCGCTTTGCATATCTTGTCTCACAGAAGCGCATAGATAGCCACCTTACGCTCGAGACCAATAACCATGGGAGAACATTTCTCCTGGTGTCTACTCAACTTTCGATCGCCTGTGAATTGCGACGACCTGAAAGCCTTACGAAGGTCGACAGATAGTTATCAAACATATAAGGTCCGGGAGTTGCAAGTTACGACGAAAGCCACTCGCGTCCAGATCAAACAAGTCGCCGGCACGATGGGTATCGCTGCCGGTAAGTGTATGCATGTGAAGCGAGCCAGACTGAAGCACATTGTCTTCGGGGAACCAACAATAGAAATGCGAGCACGCGGTCATACTCCCTGTGGAGGTTACCAGTTCGCTATGCCGGGCACGACCAGACGAGAGAGCAGGTGTGCCTCTGTGTGCCTCAGCTTTAAGTGACCATAGTGGAGTACGAAACCATCAGTAGCGCGGGATGGTTTGACGCTTCACTAATCTCGACAAATAGGGAATAAAGAGCGATCAATCAGGGAGTCGGGCGAAGTTGTAAACGGGTTCATAGGAGACGACGCATGTGAATTCACAGATTTGAAGCTTGAAGATCAGAGACCTCCTTGGAACCCCCTTAAGCTTCAACAAGATTGTGCGGTCACGTACCTTTCCGCATCTAACTTGTCCCACCGCAGGCTGGCTATGACCGCCGATCTCAGCACATTCATGCATGTGCTGCACCAGGATGAGGGGGCCTGCAATAAAAGCTTGGGTGCGATCATAATCCCGCGGACAACGTACCGCCATATTGAGAACAATCGGATGATGAAGCATGCGGAAGCGTGTGCGACTCGTCTTGAATATAGCTAGATCGAAATCTGAAGCGCTGAAGATGCGAGCGCCTATCACAGATGCACATGCGACGCGGGCCGATATCATTAGCCCAACGCTGCGCAGAGCGAACGCAGAAAGAGGAAGTCGATGAGTCGAAGGTGAAACCCTGAAGAGCGGAGATTGAACCTTTTTTCGGGAGCGTATCGCCCACTGCAGACAGGCTGCGATTTCTTTGTTACGAAAAGTCATTGAAGAAGGCGGACAGATGAAAGCCTTTTTCACCCGTCTTTTGCCTGCATTTGTGAGCGGGGAATGGATGAAAACACATCTAAATCAGGAAGGTGGACACCAAATGCGGTAATAACCCATACATTTACCAGCGCAAAATTGACGCAAACGTCGGCTAAAAGAATACCTTTTCCTTGCCTTTTCCTGTGCAAAAAAGGGTCCCAAACCTCGGAGGAAAAGGCTTTCATCTTACCACCTCTTTCTCTCGATTTCATCCCGGGTAAAATCGCTGTTTTCCTTGTGTTTTCCCGCAGTGGCCATGTCTTGTGGCACAGCACCGTAGGATAGCCTAGATCCTATTGGCTGACGGAAGTCGATAGTCGGACTTCGGAAGTCAGGACTCGGAGTTCGGGACTTTGTCGCGTCTCGACGCGTCTCCGATGTTCGCTCGGCGCTGTCCAGTATCTCTTGCCATACACATCGCGTTCTTGAGTCCATCCTTCTCTACCTGTTCTCCTCCGCCTCCCGGGTTGGCTTCATGACACTCGCCATTACCCATTCTATAGGTTATCACAGGTCCTGGTTCCACGTCGGTTCCCAGGTGCGAAATTTCTTCCAACTTTCAAACGATCAGCTCCTAACCATGTGCATACAGACCTTTCATTGCACGTAGTCCCCGCCCTACACCGTGTAACGACCTTTCCTTCCCAGTTTCTCTTCACCTTCTTTGCTTACGGAGTCCCTCTGCTACCTGTAGACACAAGCCTTGGGAATGAATGACTCGTCTAGCGACGCAACTGAACGGGGCTATCTCTAATATCGTCAAGTTTGACCGGTGCGACTTCAATCTACTGGTGCGTGGCATTCCTGTTCAATAGCATACACAATGACGGATTTGTTCCAGCATGCATAACGTGTATGCTGGGGCTCAAGAGAGGGGTATGGAACCGGGGGGTAGTCATTAGGATCGTAAGCAGTACGTTTGTGATTTCCTTCTTGTTCTACTTTATCCGTCTCATTTCCAAATCTTAGTCTCGACAACGCTCTTTCTCCCTCCACGGCCCATTATTATCCCAAGTCCTCAGTATTATTCGTCTTCGCGTTTATTTGGAGAGGTAATTGTGAATCCACGGAATATTTTGACTGTATATTGACTGACTCAATGACCACCGCAGCGAGCACCTCAGCTCTACTCACCTACACGGCCGACAATGCAGCTCTCCACTAAGCCATCATTGGCGCGTACGAAGAGAACCAGAAGACTGTGCTGCCAGCGTCGGTCACTGACAGCTCTCAAGGTCTCATTCGTGAATCTCTCGGGCTCCTCCCCGGATATGCTACACCAGAGCTCAAAGTCGATGTCAAGGATATCACTCTGGACATCTTGCGGGACCCCGAAGCAAGGAAAGAACAAGTCGAGCTCCAGTGAGCTACCTTCCTGTGCACCCGTCTGTGGAGTTTGCTGACATGACCCATTTAGCAAAAAAGCAGAAGGAGCGTTCACGCTGGCAATCACAGGCTTCGCGTTCACCCCTATGCACGCCATCTCCGACTGTATCAAGGACGTATACGCCCTTGCCAAGAAGAAGATCCTGGACGAATGGGATACGTACTCGCCGGGTCTGCAGGAGCAGTACAAGATCCAGCTGCAGAGGCTCGAGGATCCCAACAGCTCTCCTGGCGAGTTTGTCCTTGTCCCAGGATTCCTGAGCCACCCGAGTAAGTCGTGCTCTGAGGTAGTGTCTGGCTATGATAGGTACTGACTTGGCGTTCAGACCCTCCCAAACCCGGAAAGAAGTACTTCACAATTCTGCTGTGTCTCAATCATAACTTCTCTCGGGGAACTATCGTACGCCAGCTCCATCTAGTCAACCTTGCGGGGGCTAACACGTGTACTATAGCACTCAGTGTCGTCTGACCCCAATGGGAACCCGGAATGCGATCCTCATTACTTTGAGCATGACGTCGGTATGTGGAAAGGGACCCGCTCGGTTGCTGGTTACGTGTTCTCAGCTCTGCTGTAGACCTGCAGACGTTCGTCGAACTCGCCAAGTTCGTGCGAAAGATGGCTAAGACCTCGCCACTCCGCGATATCCTCGGTAAATCATCCTAGTTCTTATGCTCCATCCTGTACTCATATCCTCTGTCAGTTGACGAGCCTGAAGTCAACCCAGGTCCAGACTGTGACGATTCGCAGCTCGCAGGTACGTTTTCGCTTGAGATCACGGTGGATAGATTTGGCTGATTCAATCTCCAGAGTGGCTTAAGACGACGAGTGCTACTACATATCGTACGCTTCCTAGCCTTCAACCAAGTCAAGGTCTCTGATATCTTATGTTCAGACACGGTGGGGAGTTTGTCGATGTTGCCCAATGATAAGGGTGGTGTAGTCGACCCCAACCTTAAGGTGATATACTACTGCAAACAATTATCAACTCTAGTTATTGAACTCCTCGGCTTTGCCTATCTAGGTGTACGGCACTACAAATGTCCGAGTCGCTGACCTCTCGATCATTCCGCTCCATTTCGCGTCGCACACTCTTAGTACGTGCATCCACTTGAACCTTTGGTTCGCAGTGAAGTAACATTGTGCGTTGCGGTGTCTCTAGCAACTGCATACGCGATCGGTGCTCAAGGTATGCCAGCTTGTCGTTCAAGCAATGTGTGGTGACTGACTCTCTGTCTGTAGCCGCTGACATCATCGCTCGCGCTCATAAATAGAGCTACCTCCGGTTCTAAACGGGGTTGGAGTCTGCTTTCAGCTAAGATATCCACAGGTCCTAGCACGGCAAATGTAACATTTTTGTCTATCTGATCCTTCCTGTAAGCTGTCACACCTCGAAGTAGGGCCCTATGCTTGGTAGTATTTATGTGCTTTCAAGGTATGTGTCACGTAGTCTCAAATAACAAGGATACAAATACAATTCCACGGTGATGGTAATGTACTCGGTGAAATGCCTCAATTACATGTCCATATATCATTTAGACTGTGTTGTGTGAGACAGGTCAGGAACAGTCCTAGATTGGGGCCAGTATTGGTGTCCGGCGGGTAAGCATGAATTAACTCAGGCATATCTCGGGAATGTTTTAGAGAATGGTCGCAAATCGCTGGCAGATGCCCATCGGCTGCGGCCTGACCATGGCGGTTAGTCGATAATACTCAATATTCATACCAATTGTGTGGTGATTGATGATGCGCCTGTATGATGCCAAAGCAGATATCTAGGGTAAACGCTACGGTGCGAGTTTTTAGGTCCAAAAAATGAACCGGAACAGTGCCATATTGGTTTCATGTTCCCGAAGGGTTTCCTGAGCGCGGAAGAACCTATCCGGGTCAATAAACCCGCTCTGAACGCTGCCCTTTGTATTCATTTGGCTGACGCCTTTTAAAGGAGGTATTTCCCGTGCGGAGGATCGTTCTTGCTTTAGAACTTTTAAGATCAGAGCACGTCTATGGAAGTAGCTTCGAATAAGCAGCTTTCCAGCATGAACGGCATCTACATCTATATCTGTTACATCAAATCGTGAGAATGCAATACACTTCCTCAGCCAAGCATCATGCATCATGCATCATCAACACCATTTCTAAGAATGGAAGTTTGACCGGAGATCAAATTTTGAAACCTAACGTAACACGCCACACTACATCACTTACTGTGATTCACCGTCAGAATAGACAGACTTTTGTGTAACGCGTGTGGAATATTTTGCCTTCGCCCAACTTGCTTAAATTTAGGTTTGAGATGTCCTTGGTATGCGATCTACCTTACAAAAAATCGCTGAGTGACGCAAGCATAGGGTGCATGTGCAATGCACGAATCAGTGTTTTAGGCCGAATACCGTCAGAATAGACAGTCCGCGCGGGTGGCGATAATCCATATTAGGCAGGCCGTCCACCATAGCCGGTCTCAAAAAGGAAAGTCAGGGCGTTATCGCTGAGCCGAAGTCGCCGTTACAGCGGCTATAAGATTATGGCAAGGCTCGAGAGGACACTCTGTCATCGTTCCGACATATTGAGAGTTGTCGCCTTTTGCAGCGCCCAAAATTGTTTCAACGAAGGGTAAAGATGTCCTTAAAACATATAATAGCTCTATCATCCACACTGTGTCGCATGTTCACAGCTGGTTATCCGCCGAAGCTCAG